AAAGAAAAACCTCATGCAACTTCCATCCAACACTTGTCGACATTCTGCAATAAACAGTCCATAAACGATTTGAACGATCTAAAGCATGCGCTTGCAAAGGTGCGGACTCCAAGTGAAATCAGTCACAGCCATCTCAGATTCCTCCACAAACCAGACTAAGCAGGCCGAGCTGACCAATCCACATATGGGTGTGTTTGCAAATATTGTATCCCCAAATATCTGATTGAATCATCATATTCATTCATGTTCCCCCGTTGCAATGGTGGAGTAAACCGGATTTTGCTCAAACCCAAGTCCATTCTTCATTGGTGAAACATCGTGAAATCACCTGGAAACATATTTTTATCTTCAAATCACCATATGGTCAGCTTAAAATCACCATATGTTCAGCTTTAAATCGCCATGTTGCCACGTTTAAATCACCATGTTGTCAGGTTTCCAACCACCTTAAATCATCTTAAATCACCATTAAAACCCATTAAATCCCAATTAAACCGAGTTAAATCACCATTAAATCACCATGGATTACGCTGAAATTGTCGATGTTCCAACACCCACCAGATTGGTGGACTTCGACCCTCCATGGCTTGGGTCCGGCCTCAGGGGAAGCGATGGTGTGGTATTGATTTGGGATCACAGTGGGATATAGGGGGATAATAACTAAATTATGGGATAGTAAATATAGAAATATATGAGAATAACACAATTATATATATAACATGTAATAACAATTAGATTATTAATAATTATTAGATTATGGGATATTATGGGATAGTATATATATATATATTAGAAGTCATCCCCAAGTTTGGGGATTAACACAAGAAACATGTAGAAAACTAGTGATTACATGGGAGAATTGGGATATCGAATGACAGACAATGTGGTAAACCCAATAGTATAATTACCATCTGGTAAACTAACATAGCTATGGATAATCACCATTTTACATGGGTAAATCCACTATAAATCACCATGTTCAATAGCTATGTAAACGTTTACCAGAGGGTAACCCCCATCAGAGGTTTGTATATTGGGTATACTCCTAGCAATGGGATGATGTTTTTGATGACCAGTCATGATTGGTTCATTGGGTTTCCAACTTCTAACCTCTGGTAAACTAACATAGCTATTGAAAATGGCCATTTATAGTGGATTTACCCATTAAAAATAGTGATTTTCTATAGCTATGTTAGTTTACCAGAGGGTACCTCTGTTGATGGGTTAGAAGTTGGGGGTTATGTAATACTATGTAATACTCATTGCCTTCTGGGGGATTTTGGACTAGCTATAACCTAATATTTACTAAGCAACCAGGATAAGGGGATGGGATCGGGGGTATAATTTCATAGCTCAACTGGATGGATCATAGTCCTTCCCTCAGACTTTTAGCGAGGGATCGGTTGCAAGCGCCAAGTTAAACCCCAAAAAGATGGGGAAAATTGGCAAAAGCTGGAAATTTAGCCATCTTGGTGGTGGTTACTAGATCTTAATTGCGAAAAGATGGGTGAATATATTAAGGGCAACCAGATAGATGCAAACCACATATCAAAAGGAAAGCTTGGCTTTGGCTTTATCCTTTTTGGTGAATGAACATTGGCAATTGAAATGGTGTGATGGTGATATGATCCACCTCTGAATGTATATAGAACTGAAACGACAACGACAATGATGTCCCTGTGCCAGGGATTACCACAATATCCGATAGTACACTTCCATTATTCATGGTTTCAGCAAAGGTCACTGCAATGCTTTCAGCGAATCCATATTTTACATACCTGGTTGGTGGTTTCAATCATTTTTTATGTTCCATAATATATGGGATGTCATCCTTCCCATTGACGAACTCATATTTTTCAAGATGGTTAAAACCACCAACCAGTAATAGATCCATTTTTCATGGTTAAATTGGTGAGCAATCTCCATTTTTCACGGTTAAAACATGTTAAAACCACCACATGAGTTGCTAAAAACTACCAACCAGATACATTCCCAATATTCCAGATTGAATTTCCACTGGCTTCACCAACTTGTCAAGACACGTCAAGACGATTTTTACAACGTCCAGGTGACGCCTTTGGTACAGAGTCTCAGCCGGCTGGTGATGTGCAATACACGAGAATCTGGATAGGAATATATATATATATATATGTATACATATACACATATACATATAGATTCAAATATATATATATATATATATACACGAAACCAACAATAATCAAAAACAGGGATATGATTCATGGAACATAACCGGATATCACGGATTGTTAAGGGGATGTAATGAAACAATATATGGGATATAATGGGAGATGACTATATATGTGAGATATATTGACTAGCCTACTTGATGTGAAAGATTGGTGTATCTGAAAATATGATATACCTCCAACAATACGATTTTAAAACGGATGATGTTTGAAGATGATGACAAACATACTCAAGTTTGGATTCATTGTCTTGGATTGATATGAAAACACGGGGGCAGGAAACCACCATGGTTTATCAGATTGCATTTTTTTCAAGATCCAGAGAAGTTTAGTTGTTTGCAATTGCCAGTCGCAACCGTTTTGAATTTGGGCATGTTTATACAAACAGAGCCAGGCCTTTTCGCTTTGGTTGAGTGGATTTTTCAACAACAACAGTTGCCAGTTTGAACAGACCATTGGCAAATTGGTGCTCGTACATTTGGCACTGTATTTCTGATCGCCATGTCCATTTGGTCTGCCCTGAACTCACTTTCCATGATTTCAGTTCCCAAGCTCCAAATTGAGGAAACTCCAAGGTCCCAACCACTTGATAATTTGATAGTAGTATATATACACAAATAATTGATTTAATGCATATATGTAAAGGGAATCCCATTCATGATGATGGGATGACCAGGGGGCTCATATTCCATGTAACAGATAGCCTTTTGTAATGAAGCACATGGTTTGCTGGAAAATCGCCTATAGATAATTCTCCCATTAAACCCTGCATGAATCAGAGATTTTCCAACCATCTCCCTATCATTTCGCCACCCAATGGCATCTTACCATCCACCCGCCTTAAGGCATGAAGCCGGAGCTGGGCGAACGCACCGCCCGCACATTGGAGACCTGATGCGCCCGGTGCGGGGAGCCGAAATGCTGTGTGAACGGAGTTTGTTTCGATGATTGTTCTGTTACCATCATATACCCATAGGATCCATGTATGGTATATATGCTAACATTGGGGGTATATTGATGGTAAATGTTACCATATATAGCATAATATGATATCAACATGGGTATGGATCAATACCTATTAATACCATTTTTAGGGGAATGAACATCCATAAATCCCAGCTATTTTGATGTGAACTACAGGGGTACAAGGTTTTGACATGTTTTGACACACTGCCATTTACCAATAATAAGTTTTGATGAATGGTCTACGAGTCTACATTTTTTGGGGGGGATACTACTGATGCATAATTTTGCTCTGAACATGAAATGGGCATGACATGGTGCAAGCAGCGAAGCAGCTGGAGCTGTTTCACTCGTTGAAGATGGGGCAGTGCATGCTGTGAGATTTGGAAAACCTGAACCCAAAAATCGGAGATGACTAGAAGGGAAACCACGTTGAGCTGAGCTCACCTGATTTTTCCATGTTATTGTCATCCAGTCACAGAGACTTTCTGACCAGTCACCTTCCAAGGCTCACGAGCTGTTTGGGATGTCCCAAGATCACAAAGAATCCAAAACGCAAAGCCGTGGGAATTTCACCCAACTAAGCAAGAAGTGGGACAGACTCAACTGCTCAACTGTCGTAGATTCGATTCGCTGCACAAAGAAGCAGCGAAAAACCTGGCCAGTGCAGCCAAAGAAGTTCGCGCTGGCACCTGTGACTCAAAATCGAGCTGTGCCTTGGGTGATTTGGGTGAAAAATGGTGAAGCCCCCAAAACTCCACGGATCATCATCTTCCCCTATTGACAGTGGTCATTTATGATTCGGTATTGGGGAATAGATCATAGATAATCTATCAGTCATGTATTGGTTGTATTCCCCAATTTTCAGACAACCCTGATGAAAAACCCTGAGAAGTGCCGGACATAAAAGACATCGTAGGACTACAACTCGCGCCAGGATTTAGCTTCATTTGTGAAGGTTTAGGTTCAAGTGAAAACACGCCACAACAATAATAATCCGTGTGGTGTACATCCCAAACAAATTCCTGAATGTTGATGAGACATGATGATAATCCGTTCAACTTGGGGGTATTCCAGGTGCAGAAACTCTGGGTAAAAGAATAAATTATGGGCCGGCAAGTAACGATTCAATACATTGTATGAGTAGGAACATACTATATTTATAGATACTTATACATTTCATAAAATTTTATATATCAAGAATTATACATACGTATTTATGTAATTACATATTATATATGCATGATATATGAATCATATCTTGACGTCATGATCCATGTGGGTGCCAAGTTAATTGGTCATGATCCAACAAGGCTGATCCATGAGGTTGAAATCCGACGTCCTGATCCATTGATGGTCACAATATACGACCTGAAAAATATTGACTGTAAACATTACGTGATGTATATACTATATAAATATTATATATACATATATGTGCAATATATATATATATATATATATACATGCCATATATACACTATATATATATTATTATACATATATATATATATATATTGTATATATACATGCCATATATATATAGATATATAGTGTGTATCTATGTAGAATCATAGAATAAACACCTCTCCAACTCCTATACACAAGTTATACATAGTTCACATGTTTTGTTTTGAGATATGCTGCAGTTTTTCTTTTTGCTCACGGAGGGTGATCATATCTGAATCAAAGTTGGCTACCCCATGGTGCCCCCAAATCCATTGAGCTGTCATCGTTTGTTTCCCATGAAAGTTGCAATAAGATCATATAAATTCATATAACATAAACAGTTTTCCCATGAAAATTGCAATAAACACATATCACATCATGATTTGTTCCATTAAAATTGAACTAGACTCATGTACAATCACAAAAATATCCAGATCATCTTGGGATTTGGGATATCGTTGGGTCTTGGTAGTTTCGGGTCCCCCATGGCTTTTTGAAGAAACAACGTCCACGGCGAGAAACTCGCGTCCGCAGCAGCTTTGCGAGCAAGGCCAGCGGCACCGGGGGCACCCGTCCATTAGATAATCATTTTTGTTGCTTGAGATAGCAATCCCATAGGATCCATGGTGCTGGTATATATGCTATCATGACTGGGGTATATTGATGGGATCTATGTTACCATATATAGCAGCACCATGAATCCTATGGCAATCAATTGATGTGTTTTATTGTGGTTGCATTTGCCAATTTCAGAGGAATTCACTTATCATATGTTGTTGTTTTTTCTCTGTGTATATTACAATAGATATACCAGTTGTTTTTTGTTGAATATCTTATTTATGCAACAACAGACAGTCAGATAAACATGATATTCTGATTTTCAAAATCATGAAGCCAATATTGTTTAAGCCTAAGCCCAAAACGATGGGTTCAATATATGCGATTCCGATTGCCTATCGACGCATATTATTCAGCAGACCCTGCTCCAGGCGCATCATCGATGCGGGAAGGCGGTGATGCGCCCGTTTGTTCGCTCAAGCTGGTTTACAACTAATATGGTGCAAACTAATTGATCATATTTATATGAATTATATGCGTTTATTTATACTCATTGGTTTATAACTAAAAAGTTGAAACTAAACTAGATTACTAGTATGACACTCATATATATATATATAACTGATATAAACACTTTTGATTACCCTTTGGTAATCAAACATGACTTGGTGGACAATCCACCATTCAGTTCGATGATTTTCCCAGCTATAAACCTTCATTTAGACAGGCTTTCCAGCTAGCCATATTTGAGGACCAGAGGCAACTAGCATGGTTGATTGCAGATATGTATCTGTAGTTCATGGGTCTTAAACCAACTAACTGATCTGACTGGGGGAGATCACTTTTTACCTGGAGATTGATCCGAAGGCTGGAATTACATCCTATTCAATATCTATCTGTCAGAGGTGTTCCAATCATAGATGTCCTTTTCCCTTTCGTTGGTTGATGAAAAAAGATGGATTTGAAGGTTTACCCCTAAAAAACAACAGGTTTCTATGATGATAGATGGTATACCAAACCGGCCCCTCTACCAAAAGGACATTATTGAGTTCCAATCTATGATAGCCACAAGGGTTGGAATTTGGTTGACTTCACCTCTTGACGCCTAGCCGAAAAGTCGCCAATCTCCCCCGATCCGTCCATCCGTCCTTGCCCAATGGGGGCCCCTGTTATTTCGAGACAAATCCAGTTCCAAATGGGGCTTCCAAATCAAACAAGGACTATTTGGGGCTTCCAGATAAATGGGGCTTCCAGATATTTGGGGGATTTTTTATGGAATATGGGCACAAGGAATATCGATAAAGATAACTATCCAAGAAATCAATACCCACCATCGTATAAATGGAGGTTTCAATTTTCACTGGGAAACTCAGTTGTACATATATGTTCCATTGCCATGTTTGATTACCCCAGGGTACATCCAGAGATGATTCAGCCAAATATTTGGTCAATTGAAGTACTGTACCATACAATGGCTCCTTTTTGATCCTTTTGGGCAACCATTTTGGGGGCCCCCAAAAAAAAAGGCGCCGCAAGGCGCCGCAAGCCAGGCCCTTTAGGCTTGCTGGCGTCATGTCCAAACGCACCAAAGCCCGAGGGCTCAGGATTTCGCTTGAGCAAAAACTGATGATTAACCAATGGATTTACTAACAGAACTATGGAAAATCACCATGTTTAATGGGTAAATCCACTATAAATGGCCATTTTCAATAGCTATGTTAGTTTACCAGAGGGTAACCAATGGATTTACTAACATAACTATGGAAAATCACCATGTTTAATGGGTAAATCCACTATAAATGGCTATTTTCAATAGCTATGTTAGTTTACCAGAGGGTAACCAATGGATTTACTAAAATAAATATGGAAAATCACCATTTCTTTCATGATTTTTGCCCATGAAACATGGTGATGTTCCATAGTTAGTTTAAACGTTTACCAGAGGGTAACCAATTCATTGGATTTAGAGGATTTTAGACCCGATTCTTCAGACAAACCCAAGCCGCCTAACACCTCACATTTTGGAGATGCCGAGCAGCTGGACCGGAGCCAATATAGCCTGTGGGTAGGGGTCTGGCTCCAAAAGAGGGAATTGTTTAGGGATTACAAATGGCTGGCCATTTGCAGATAGTACAAGATCATTCAATTTGGGCAGTCAACCAATCATGTTGGGCCAGAATCACACATGGGTTTGTGTGAACATTGGGTATACCCATAAACGGCAATTTTATGCCACTACCATTTTTCTCATGTTAATAGGTACAATGGTTTGATGATTACCCATCAGATTCGGGAGTACCATATGTTCAGTCAAATCTAACATCAGATTGTTCACTTTATATCATTAGATAGCAACCCCAAAATAGATACAAAAGCAGTCAGAAACCTGAACATACGAAGTAAATACTGTATCATCTACAAACACCCTGGAAACACGGTTCTAGTTTTTGTTGGGTTGCTATATATATATACACATACACTTATGTATATATATATATATACATATATATATATACACATACACTTATATATATATATATATACGCATGTATACATATATACATAAAGATATGTTATATATACAATATATATATATATATGTATATATGTATATATATACACTATTATATACATACCATTCTGTACCATTAAGTTCCCAATATATTCCTATGATATCCCTATAATCTCCCATAATCCCAGTGGTCTTGTGGAGAGTCAGTTGATCATCATGGATGGTCCTTTCCATTACTTCGCCATGTCCATATGTGTTTTTTTTTATCGTGTATATATATATATATATATATATTTACATAGTAACACAATCAAAACTATTAGAAAAGTAGGATCCTACTAAAATCGTGACAATCTATTGTTCTCTATATATTTTCAGGTTACTAGATATACATATATATATATATACATACATAATACATATCAGGGAATATATCTAGAAACAAATGAATACATATATTAAGGGATGGGATGTGATGTGATATGGATCCAATATTTCCGGCAGTTCAATCTTCTGGGTTTCACTGAACAATGGTTGATGATTTCAAGCCATATGTCTGGGATTATCTATGTGTATATAGTCATCCTGGATTAGGTAGAATATGGCATGTTCAAAAAGAACAACACAACGCACAAAATTCGGAACATCATGGAACATCTTTGAAATACGACATATTCTGTCTATCGGATGATTATATTCTATCTATCGGATGATTATTAATATACATATAAGTATGGTTCTGTATGCACATGGTAAACAACAAAAAAACTAGGGATTTGGTGAGTATCAAATCACTTTCCAAGGTGGAGCATTCCAAGCTCCAACCGAGGCTGCTTTCTTCGGGGGACCGGATGGGCGAAGGGTGGTGTTTCGAGCCTGGGCAGCTTGTGGGTCAACGACATATCCACAATGAATTATCCTGGTGGGTATGCCGCTTTCTCTTTTGAGACACAGCCAAATCCATCATTCATCGGTTAAATATTCTTCAATTCTGTTGAATGGTTCAAGTCTTTATGGAAATCCTAGCAAAAGCTAAATTTGCCGCTATTCTCATCATTGAATTCCCATTGATTCATGGTATGTTCCTGCATGTTTCGCCATTTTTTAGAGGTTTCCTGTAGAGCCAGCTCCATTGCGCTTGTCCTGGCGAGGTGCTTTGGTCAGCGGCAGCGATGCGCCCGGCCCCGAGCAGTACGATGTAAGCCTGGCTTTGGAGGCGGGTCAGTAATCCCATGCCTTGAGGGTTATGGTTATTTTATATGTATGGATGTGAATATTGATGGATATTGATGGGTTATATAGTAATAATTAACTATTATAATATGTAATCAACCATCAAGTATAGTGGGATTCCAGAATGATGGATAGGAATTGATAATTCCACCCTCTATTTGTAGTCTTTACAACGGGATAATATAGGGAACATAATTTATACTTTAAATCACATGGACGTATTATGATATTAGGATATGATCAATCTAACTAATCACATCGCCCCATATATTAAACACCCTGGTTTAGGGGGGTGCTTGGTATGAATGGGGGAATGGGATTAAAATCTAGAATTTAACGTGCAAACATATGTAAAAATTAGATATAACCAGTGAAAATGAGGATGTAAGGACCAATCATAGGAAATTGAGCAGCAAAAGTGTGGAATGTGAGCAATGAATAGGTGGATTTAGGCATAGCGTATGCCAACAAGTATGGGGAGGAGACCCAAACTGGGAGATGCAATTGGAACAACAAGAATTCCCTCATCTCGGACCGACGGAGTTTGGAGAAGGCCTCACGGTCAGAACTGAACGGAAGAGGAGAAAGATTGGAGAGAACAGGAGAACTGGTGGAAAGCTTCAGAACCACGCTCTTTGTATACCCATCGGTAGATAGAGGGAACTAGATAGCGTAGCCAGGCGCCAAATGAGCCAGTGAGGCCACCTCGCAGAGCACTGGCCACGCAAATCAACTTTCTTGTAGCATATCCCATACACGGAGAGGGGTTCTGATGGTTTTATTCTCTAAGCTGGCCCCTATGATTGATGCAATCCAAAAAAACAGTTGTGAAAATTGAACCATGAACAACAGGAAATATGGGAACAATGGGATGCGAGCCAGAATTACACAATTCAGCTACCCTCCGGCAATCAAATGGAGGTTTATAGCTGGGAACACCACATATGTTTGATAAATTGCGCACTTTTCATTGCCACGTTTGATTACCGGAGGGTAGATGTGAATGATAAAACTATAAAGAGAGATGAAACCAATCCTAGGATGGAGATGGTTTCCACTTCTCCAGTTAGGAACCACCAATCAGGTGACAGTAAGAACTCATAGTTTCGGATGGGATCCTAATCGCCATAGCAGGTCGGAAAATAGATAACGCATTCCAACAGATTATTAGAAGTCTAATTTTCCCATTGTTGAATGGCTATAAATTGGGATACACCTTGTTTTTGGCCAGACCTATGTGGGTTATGGGTCAAACAAATGATAACAAATGTGTAGATGAACCCAAGATAGCCTGTGCTGTTCATGTTTGGTACGTGAAATCAGGTAACAGGGCGTTGACTGACAGCCATAATTCTCGACTTGTTAAAGGCGGTTGCTAATGTCCCCAAGTAAATCAAACAAACCTGGAAAAACCTGACATATATACTGAACTGGGCCAAGTTTTATTTGACTTGGGACCATTTTAACATTTTCCACACACTGGGCCAAGTTTTTAATTTGGGACATAAACAGTATACATCATAAACTGGACCAAGATGTGTTTTGTGAACATTCTTTTATTGGGTGTGTCTCCCTTTCTTTGGAGGTACCGAGCACTACCGGGTGACATTTCTTCATGGGTCGGAAAATAGGGTTTTTTCCGCGTACCCCAAGTTCTTGATCTGGTCGGATGGAAACCATCCAATTTCGAGTGATGTTCCTTTGGTTTTCATAGAAACCCTTATCTCATGTTGACATATCCATGTTTTTTCCCTTGGAACTCCCTCAGAAGGTACTTGGATCCATAGCGATTTGTAGTGTTTTGGTGTCAGTGAAGGATATCCATCGATGGATTGGTCTAAGGGAACATTTACAGGAAAGCCCCATATTTCATGGGAAAATCTACCCTTTCCTGTACATTTTCCCTTAAACCAATCCATTGAATCCAAGATATCAACCAAGCTGTTCGTAAGTGGAAACCACGTTCCAGAGGCCTTGAGACCACGGCGCTTCCAAGAGAACAGCTTTCCCAAGGTGCAGTGTGGTGGATCCGGTACTCAAAAGCTGGTGGATCACGGAACAACCATGGAAGATTCAAAGCTTTTAATCATTTAATCTGTGGGTGTTTTTCTGTTAAACCCATTTAAACCCTGGAATCATTAACTATAGAATACTATAGATATATATCACCCATTAACTATAGATAATCCCATCAACCATAGATCATCAAGCTGGAAAAATGGCATTGGAATAGACATGGCCTTCCAGCGTCGACCGCTCCCAGCCCCCCCAAAGGACTTGACCAATAGCGACGAGGGAAAAAAGCGCTTTGTTTGGTTCCATGGCATGCAGATATACACTAGTTATATATATATATTATAGATATATGTATATATACATACATATATATATATAAATAGGTTATATATTATTATAATATATTATTGTAATATATTATATTATATTTATATACAGATCTATATGTCGGATTGTATGTGTCCGAAAAGAGAAATCCCCAAGAGGGGCGGTGTTGCTGGTTGCTTGGATTAATAGGTTAAGCTGAGTTTTCATTTGAATACTCTGTGCATGAATGGGTTCAAGTTGCTGGTCGTGTCATTTACTCAGCACAGCTCTCAAATCGTGGTGCTTCGACATGCGCAGCAAATTGCATCATGGGAAGGGCTTGCGTTGGAGCCAATGAATAGCACATTTCCACTTTACGCCGCTAAGAGTGCCAGCAGATTCATTTGGAAATGAAAGGCATTGAACTACTGTAAAGGTCAAACAAACCTATGAGATAACGTCTTAACGATATATAACCCATTAGTTGTAGATAATCCCATTAACCATAGATAATCAAACCTATGAGGGTCCACCTGCTTGTCTTTGTTCATCCAGCTTGATGTCAGAGACGCAGGCCGGGTCGGCCTGGTCATCGGCCTGGAGTGGGATAGAGCTACGTATAAGGGTCCCTGAACCTGGGCATCGATGAACAAAAACACGTGGAAGAAGATTGATATATATATATATAATGATATATATACATATTTTTAAATATGTATATATATATATTATTATTATTATCATTATTATTATTACTTATAAAGTCAACACATTGGCAAGCGGGTTCTAACTTCTGGCCACTGGAATTTATTGATATACAGTTGACAACATATTTATATAGCTCTACAAGCCCTTGACTAACTTTGGTGCATCATCCGAGCGGAGCATAGCTCTCCCATAACGGGTCGCCAAGACCTTGGATTCAAGTCCCCACTGATTTTTGGTGCTTAGTATTCCACCTATCAAGCATCAATCCTATACGTAAATCCATGTGTTTTCATTGGAGAAATGCAGTGGGATTTCAATGGACTATTGAATAGTAACTATCCATATCTATACATGCAATTCCTGTTAATCACTGTTAATCACTAGTAAATTACCAGTAGTACCGCACAAGGCGGTGGCGGAAGTCTCTCATCTGGCCAGATGGCTCCGCACCCGCCGCTTTAGCGAGCCTACTTTTCTGTCCTCCGGAGCCACAAATCATTGGAAAAACACAGTGTTTCGCGACTTTCCTACCTTTTCGCGCACCTGCATCTTCTTTCTTCTGACTCTTTCTCTTCGCTGATCTTCTCTCTTCTGCTCTTCTCTTCTCTGACTCTTCCCACCTCTGCTTTTCCATCTGTCCATATTGTCGGAAGTTTGACTTCTAAACTTCCTTCGGCTAACTACTGTGGATGGAATCCTGCACCATCTTAGATGGCTGAAGCCCTGTAAATCATGGGATAAACCATCCGTCCATGAACTGGTGCAGGATTTCTTTCATCCACAGTATCACTAGGAAATGATTAAAATTTACCAGCTATCACTAGGCAAGCACCACTAAAAGGTACAGTATCAACTATCACTATAGTAAACTACTAAAAATTACAAATTATCACTCATGAATCACTAGCCAAGTTACTAACTATGTAAATTCCTCACACATTCACTGGTTTTTCGGTAGGCAGACGATCTGGCGGCCTCAGCCTTGCTGGCGCATGCGGCGGATGGATGGGAGGTGCCGGTGGTCAACGTCTGTCGTTTGGTCAACGTTTACAGTTTGCAATGGAAAATGGATGAACATGGGTGATTCATAATACTTGGTTTAACTATTAACATGGGTGATTTATAGCGGGTTTACCTTTAACCTGGGTTGTTTATTGTTGGTTTACCTATATACTAACATGGTGACAATTATGAAAAAGAAACAACTATCAATTGGTAAATCGACGAGATAGTAGGTGAATCAACTATTTCTACGGCCATGTTTTCCATAGCTATAATATGGTCATGTTCAATAGTTATATGGAAAATTGACGATGTCCAATAGGTAAATCAACGAACTAAATGGCAATTTTCAATAGTCATGTTCAATTTATTTGAGGGTATACGATTTGAAATGTATCCTGATGAAATATGTGTCAATCATCTCCTTCCAGGATGGGGGTTCACAGGGAACAAAACATGTAGGAACAGAAGCCGGTATGATTGGAACATGTTCATTAGTATGTTGGTAAGTTTGAAACGAAAATTCACCTTTGATTTGATGGCAATATTGGTAAGCACCATGAAGTCCCCTAAAATGTCCCTGAAACGAATGTCATTTTTATGGTGAAATGAGAGGAAATGAAGTCAGTGCCCAACAACAAATCTGCATGTTGTGCTCTCGTTTGACACGTTGTTTTTTTCCTCCGGCTAGGGGACTGAACGGCATGTGACCTACATTTTGTTGGTGATTTTCCGATCTGATTCATAGTTCTCTGGCTGCGGATCGACTGGATCTCCATTTCCATGCCCACAGTCCAAGCGGCCTGCTTATCACAAGTGGTTCCTTGCCATCACTAGTGATCAAGTTGATACCATCAACAACGAACTCATGTCCATCTTTGCAAAAAGTCAGTTAGTTGTGGAAACTATTTGTTTCCCTGTGTTTCAGGCACTGAGCCCATGCCAATGAATGTGCACAAGAACTTCGCTCAATTAACATAGATTAAGAATGATTAAGACTTTTTATTGCACCCCAAATTTATCGCTCACTATAGTTGATTTTCATTGTACGGAGGCAAGATGCCATTGTATTTCTTGGATGGGCCATGGGATCAGCGAACTTATTTTGGTAACTGGGTTACAACCCACTATATATACATATGATATATATGATATAGATTATATATATATATGATATGATTATTTATATGTATATATACATATGATATATATATATATATTATATATATATATTATATATATGATATATATATATTATACAAATTATACTATAGTATACACCCATATGCCCAATTACAATCCAAGTAGTTGAGTAACTCCATGGACCATTCAAGTAATGTTTCTCAGATCCCCGGCAGGAACCTCCAGAAGAGACCTTTGACGGCGAAGACGATGCTCTTAAGGTGCGTCCATCTGAATTACCCCTGAAATGGGGGGGGTGTCGTAAACTCACTTTTTGGGATCCCCAAAACCATGGGTAAACCAATGTTCTTTCCAGTAAATGAATGTAAATAATCTAATTATGGATGATTTGGGGGTATCCTATTTCAGGAAACCTCCCAGTGATCCAGCCTATTACTATAGGACCCATTTCCCTTTGCGGAAAGGGTCCGTTTTGCTTTGTCCAAACGATGAGATAATCCAAATGTTTGGCAATCCTCATAGGGAAATTATGGTAAAGCATGGGATTTTAGGGTACCCCACGTTCCCTGGTTCTGACTGTCAGAGTTATGAGTTTAACATAGTCTAACAGCGTGGGATATGAACCATTTGGCGTATAATATATATATATATATATTATGATTTATAATTATACAATTATACATATGTATATATATATATATACATATATTGTATATGTAAAAGGTCTCCTTCTGTTTCTTTTCAGACAGCCTAACAAAGGGTTTGTCATTCGATTTCTTATTGTTTGAACTGTTTGATATAGTTGATTGTATTTGATCGCCACAATTTTCATACAAGGTCATATATTTAATCACACTTGTATATCCCATTGAATGTTTATTCTATTCCCATCGTTTCCTACAAAGGACACCGTTGAAGCCACCGCCACGCCCGCGGCGCCCGCGGCGCCCGCGGCCGCGGACGGAACGGACGAGGAGCGCGTGGCTCAGCTGGCCGCGCGGCGCCCCGAGGGCGCGCAGCTGCTGTCGGAAGTATGTCGACGGATTCGGGAGGTGGGGATGATGGGGATGGGAAAGTTGTACAGCTGACTGCGGGCTGCAGGGCCACTTGTTGTTCCACTAATATTTGAGTTATGTAACCGTATATAACCTAGTTGTAGGGGTTATATCCCAACTTATGGAGGCTTACCATATAGTTAAAATTACCAAAAAGGATAGACAGTTGTAGAATTTGGTTGTAGAATAGCTAAATTGTACTTGTCTTTCTTTTCTTTTTCGGGGTTATTATACGTAGTGTACTTGCTTTCCTGGTTAATAAATGGTGAGTTTCTTTTGTGCATTCAACAGGGATCATGTTTCAGGCGTTGTAGCCTTGCAATCTCATATCTTCAATGCCAGGTTGATCATGCCGCAGAAATAGGGTTACCCTCTGGTAATTTAACGTAGCTATTGAAAATGGCCATTTATAGTGAGTTTTCCCATTAAAAATTGTGATTTTCCATAGTTATGTTAAATTACCAGAGGGTACATAGCACCTTGATCGTTCTTACAAGAAAGTCGCTCTTAGATCTTCTACGTGTGATACCATCCTTGCTAAAAAAAAATATGCCATCATGGGAGCATCTCAATTTCGACTCTCAACACTCACAGCACGGGAGCACAGTTGCGGCAGGCGGCCGAGAAACAATTTGCAGATGAGCTGGCGGAAATGGGTCCTGAAGGCCCGTTCTTTGTGAGGTTTGCTTCTTGGTGTGCATATAATCGTATAATATATTTATAACGCATTGTAAGGCTTGTAACTATGGTTAGTTATATATATAACTGGTTGATGGTTTGGAACATGTTTTGTTCAATGTAATTATTGGGAATGTCATCATCCCAACTGACGAACTCCATCATTTTTCAGAGGGGTAGGTGGCCTCAACCACCAACTATATCTAACTATATCATATAACTAACCATAGTTACAAGACTTATGTAACAGTACCGATTCCAACTTCTGGAGCTAACCAATATCCCTATATGTATAACCCCACACAGCACCAAGTATGAGCCCACACCAGGATCACCAGGTCAAATCAGAGGCCCATACCCGATAAATTCAGGTACACCTAGTAGGAACTATATAATTTTCATGGGGTAGGGCCTGTGTCTGATTTGTAGTGGAATATAGTTTCTGATTATATAGTTTCCATGAAAATGATCTATTTGTAGTGGAAACTAATGGAAACTTTTCCAACCCCGTTTTCTGACAGGGTCTATTTGTTTTTTTACTGGATAACTGGATAAACCCGCTAATTTTGCCCAAATTGGACCATGAAATTAAAAACCTCCCCAGTATCCATTTCTGAGTTTTTTCTGGCCCTCTTTGACCTTCCAATGCCTTGTGTTCCCATCCAGATGGCATAGTGTTCGAAACCCCGTTGGCTTATGATTATAGATTTATATATAGAGGGTTACCCTACCGAAAAGATGGATTATCAGAATCCATGTAGGACTTTCCCCATGATATCCCATTGATTCTAGAACTACTGTAATGGCAGGTAGGTTTTTTGTTTCCACTGCGCAGGAAATGTTGCCTGGTTCTTGAGCAAGGCACTTAGCAGAGGCGCTTGGCAGGAGGGAAGGGCTGGGTCCTTCACTTGTGGTCTTAAACCAAGACAACACAATACCCGACCTTAAAAGTATTCCATCGATTCGTTTTAGCACTTTTGTTGCTGTTGCTGTTGCTGTTGTTGTTGTTGTTGCTGTTGCTGTTGCTGTTGCTGGTGCTGGTGCTGTTGGTGCTGTTGTTGTTGTTGTTGTTGTTGTTGTTGTTGTTTGTTGTTGTTGTTGTTGTTGTTGTTGTTGTTGTTGTTGTTGTTGCTTTTGTTGTTGTTGTTGTTGTTGTAATGTGAAAAGTGGGGTGTTGTTCTTGGGTCGGGTTTACCAGATGAGCTGTTTTTTTTTTCCCGGTAAACATTAGGTGCAAATCATTGACTAAGCCTCAAGAGTCCTGGTGCTTCGGAAGATCGGAGCTGGTGGGTGGTTGCCCATGGGAGTAGCATCTGATATTATGATGCTTATCCCAGATGCTCCATGTATGGAATATTTACCAAAAATCACCCACATGTAACCATACATGGAGCATCTGGGTATGTTATAGATCGACGCTCTCAGCTTTCTGAGGATAGTAGTTATCAGCCGTACTACTTGGATTTGTTTTGCCCATGTTATGTTCAGTCCTTTGTACCTGTCCTGTCAAGTTGATACAATAACATGTTTTTCCAGAGTTCTTTCAAATCCATATACTGGAAACCATATCATTGTAGATGATTTTTTTCACACTCTTCTTGATGCTGAACACACACACACATGCTCAATGATTTTCAATGATTTTACACACATGTATAATCCATAAAAATAATCCTAATGACATTTTTAACATTTTTCAGCCAGGTTCTCTGATTAGAAAACCACCATTTTGGTGCATTGTTGAGCCATGAGCTCCGCCAGGCTTGAACTGCGTTGTTTCTCCTGTGCCACGCTGGGAGCTGAACGCCTTTGACTCGGTCGATGCTTGGCAGACAGCAGGGCTGGCCGTGAATGTGTCGAACAGTGTTTCCAAGATATTATAAATAATATAAACTAATATATGATCATATTTAGTTGCTGAATCATATTCCCTTAAGTTTCCCTACTTTCTGAAATCTATCTTTCGGTTTGATCTATAGCTAACAGATCGATCGGATCAATGGACGCATCGATTGGAGTAGATTCGATTGACTTGATTGATAGTTAGGAACCTAGTCAGTTAGTTGTACGTCCAATTATGTCACATGGTACGCGGACAACTGCAGTGGAGTATGGTACAAACAAAACAATGCCCTGGGGCCCTGGTGTCATCGTTTTTCTCGTCGGTGTATATGCACGTCTATGTACAAGGTGTTACAGCGAAATAATGCAAAACATACTTGTTCATTTTGTTACCACTCAGTGAATATATCCACAGCTTGTTCCATGTATAGATCACTGTGTATGGTGGAAAGTGGGATGGTTGGATGGGATAAAGATCAGTCAATCTTCCGTCTCAGGGTCTTGAATTCTCACCATGTTCAGCAGGAAAACCCACTTCCTAGGCCATGAAAATGTGCCTTCTAGGTGGTATGTACTGTAAGGGTCTGATATTCTGGTTGGTTCGTCTCACCTTCTGCTCTGCATCCCTCAACATCTTTGGATTATTTTCCCAGATACTGATCTTTTTGGGATCGGAAAGGTATGGATTCCAGAATAATAAAACATGGCTTGCCGGAATTGCCAGGTTTATGTCTCAAGTTATGTAAATTTATAGATTTTTGCGGATGAAACAATCACGTTGAAGTGTCATGCCCTGCAACTGCTTAAGCGAGCTATAGTAGAGGTGCCGGATTCAGGGAGGTTCACGTCTAGCTTCAGTGTTATGAACGCGGTGTGGAATTATTTCGGATAGTAACCCCAAAAAGGTAAAAACGTGTTTCCAGGATGGTATACTCATTGATTTTCCTTTTTTTTTTTAACCCAGGTTTCCAACTTTTCTATCTTTTCTGGGGTTGCTACATATGCCCACTACTTCCACAGAACTATTGTTTGAACCGTCGTTGTTGCAAGAACGTTGCGGAACGCCTCCTAAAAGAGGGCCCTGTGGTCCCTTGAGATTGTTCCTGGGCTAGGCCTGCCAGGAATGTCCCAAAAAAGTGGTCGTTGTTGCGCAAAACATGAGCTTTCCTGGAAGGCTATTCATGATTTAAACAATAGGAAGAGTACCCAATGGATCCAATGGTAATTCAACATAGCTATTGAAAATTGCCATAGAAATAGCTGATTTGGCCATCTAAACATGGCGATTTTTCATTGTTAGTTTGCTGGAAATCGGTAGGGTAAAAATCGGTCCATCCCAGATCTTCCTCACCTCGAGGAGGGCACTTGCCTTCATTTTGCCATCACTCGGGAGCTGCCGAACGCAGCCTTGGTCTCTTGGTGCACGGCGGGCCGCTGGTGAACATGGACCGAAAACTGATCAAGTTGGAAGACATACAGGGAATTCTATGGGTTTCCTGAACAGGAAACAAATCCAACATCAACGCGGTGTGTGTGCTCCGAATATTTGTTGTTTTTTTCTGCAGAGCAAGAAGTGGTTACAATCATGCTACCCTCAAAAACAGCTGGCTTTTGCCCAGGAAAGTTCCTGATAATTCTTGCTGATAGCTATGGACCCAAACCAAGCCCCAGAATGCTGCGCTTTTTATGCACCGGAAAACATCAAGATATGGTCCCGTGGCTTGGTGGCTTTAAAAAGACTAGGCTTGCTGCGCAAGGGGGAAAAGCTCCTGTTGAAAAGATAATTGAGAAAAAGCCACGGACATTAATATTTCAAACTAGGCTGCATCATGCTGCATCAATATTTCAACCAGTTTTTTGAAATCTGCATAACGGAGAATATTGATGCATGAGATGATTGACATGTGTCAACAATGGTGATTTTCCTATGGATTTTCTAGGCAGGCAAAAGTACTCGAGGGTCTTAGACATTCATCCGTCCCCCCTACGAAGAAATCTGTCTAGAAACCATGGCTTTGTATATCGAATCTGTATTATTTACAGTAAGACGATCGAAGGATGGGAGCACTTATGTACCATGCATGAGGTAAATTGACATAGAATATGAACAGCCTATTGTTTCCCTACTAAATAGAATACTATTTCCCTTTTTACTCCCATGCACTTAGAGGTGCAGTTGATATTAATGGGGTAATACTTGGTAGTAGCCCCCATAAGGGTACACGCCCGACAAAAACAATGGTGAACTATATTCCCTTCACTAGAACTCCACTCCCAAAATACAAAATCCACGAATCTCCGAATATCCACCATTCAGAAATTCAGTTCGATCATATGTTCGAATTGAAGCCTCCATTTGTTCCGGGAAATGCCCAGCCACGGTTGATCCCTATCTTCGGGACCGAGACCTCAGGCTCTCTTGGCCTGTGGTGACTTCGTTTCTGAGTTGCACTGCTGTTCAATCGGCGCGAAGGCTATGACCAAAGTCATTGTGATGTTATAATGATAGGCATGCTGGCTGATGATTATATATATAATTATAAATATATATATATATTATTTGGTGCTACTGTCAGTGTTTTAATCTAATCTTATAATATCTTATATATATAAACCTATAGTTTTGCGATGATGGTGAGGAGGAGGAGGATGATGATGATGATGATGATGGTGATGGTGATGGTGATGGTGATGATTATGATGATGATGGTGATGATGATGATGATGATGATGATGGTTTTGATAATGGTTGCTGATGTGTTTTTGTTGGTTGTCCATCCTATATATGGGTTTCAAGTAGGCGTTCGTAAGAAGCCTATGCACTTAATCTGGGCCCATGATGGAGAAACATATACATTTAGAGAATGAATACCTTACTTAGGGGATCCATCCATCCGTCGATCCATTCAACTTTTTCTCTACCTGTCTTTTTGTCTATCTATTTGTCTATTTATCCATCCTGCCATCCATCCATCCATCCATCCATGCATCCATCCATTCATCTATTGATTTATTTGTCTATCGAATCTCTACATATCGATAAATATACACTCATGTTTGTATATGATTTTAATGTTGATATTTTTTTAACAAACATACGCATCTTTAAATGGGATAAACCATTTATCAACTGGTGCAGGATTTCTTCCATCCACTCTATCTTTGTTTTTTTAGACACAACATCATTTCTGTTCCAACTCTACTCTACACCGAGGACCTCTCGGTGCCCAAAAAGAGGGAGCGGGATCAAAGCACGGTCGGGGGCCCCTGGGGGGCCGAGCGGGGGACCGTTTTTGGGAAGTCGTGGAACACACGCTGCGGAATACATCCGTTTCTCCTGCTCTGCACTGAGTGCAGAACATGTTTTTTTCCCCCCTGGCCTTGCCCGAATTCACATTGCCACCTCAGAACGTTATTTCCATCAATTTGACCACTTTTCTTCACCATATATCTGGATGATCTTTATAATGACCTCACTGTGACGTCACTGGAATGATAGTTAGGAAGAGTAACTTTTCCAAAACAGCGTTATCTCAGATCAATTAAATATTATGATATTTTACCCAGGTAATATATATATATACAGCATATGCCATATATAATAACCTGTATTTGTATATGTTCATCCATATGTTCTTTAATATACATGGGGAACAAAACAGTATTAGAGTTCCCAACTGCATCATTCAGGATGTTAGTTGTTGTATAGTTGTTGTTGATGTTCTTCTTTGTGAGTTATATCCTCGTTTTCTTCTTTTCTATCCAACATATTTGAAGCCCATGTTTGTTGATGGATCATCCTATGAGAGTTTCTGTTTGCGAAAGTCCCATCCAAGGCTGTTGATTGAGGGGTGGTGTAGCTATGGAGCACACCCGCTGTATATAAAAAAAGTTCCCATTTATACATACAATGCATTGTCCATTGATTATATGTGGGTTATTTGGGTAATATGTGACTCAATGAATCACATGATGGATTTCATAGGGACCCCAGTTCCAATGGATGTTCATCATTATTGTCACTGTTGAAGTGGCTATTTCGGGGTCCACTGGTATGTTCAGACACACCCATCCACTTTATAAAGCACATGATGGACTTCCAATCCCTGCATTTTACCCCTTTTCAAAGAATACATCTCGTTCAGAGGCCCTTCATTTGGCTGCAGCCAATGGACAAGAAGCAGTGGTCAAGGTGAGGGGGAAGAAATTACCGGGGTGGGGGTGGGACTCTATGGGAGAATGATCGACAAAAATGGGGATATGATGAAAAAACGATGGGGATATCATGAGGTTCTGATGAGGATATGATGGGACATATAATGATGTATGTATATATATATGTATTGTGAGTTTGCGATGTTTGTCCAGACATTCCATGAAATTGCCATGATGTTTGCATATATATATATATACATAGACAACCAAGAACGGGGAGGGGAGTACAGCTACGCGCCGGCACGGTCGTTTGCCCATATAGACAATGGACGTTAGTGGTTGATGTCTGTTGGTGTGACTTGATGAGCAACTTCAAGCACAATGAAGGTTCATGCATTTGGGTAAATGATTTTTAACGCATGATTTGACAACACCTCCAGTCTATCAATATGGGGGTACCAATTTGAATATGTTTGAATGGTACATGTTATCATTCTCACTTTTTTTGGGGTTCCCCCCCCGTTCATAGTCAAGTCATTTTTTATTTATTCGGTGCTGACATTAAATACAGATACTGATGATACTGATTGTCAGTATCTGGGTTAGTGGTTAATCTGAGTTGTGACAATCAGAAGTGCATATGTATGTGTATATATATATATATTGTGTACACATATATATATATATATATTATATTATTTGATATTATATACGTACATACGTGTACGTATATGGGTTATGGGTTAGCGATGGTTTCCCAGTTTGGAAAGAATCAGAGGCCGGTTCCATATGGTTCCTAACCATCAATCCAATCTTCCTGGCTGGAAGACGCGGGGTTCTGCTTGGATTAGAAGTTCATCCACAGGTTTGTGGATTGAACACCGTATTTGGAAGAGAGGTTTTGAGAAATGCCGGCTCGCAAGAAATGGGAACTGGACATGTTCGATGGCAGCAACAGTATCCTTTGTGAAGTGGACGAGCATGTGAGACGGGCCCAAGGAGAGTTGCGCATCGTACCATCGGGAAAAGTTGTCAGAGAAGGGCGGAGAAGAATGTGCCTTTCATGGGTTTATTTAAGGGCTGCCGCCCCTGCCGCCGACCCCGGAAGAATCGGCAAGGAAGCAAACTAAATTCTGAGGCTTTCGACCTTTTTCCTATGTATATTGTTGTGAACTATATTTGATAGGTTTGAATTTTCATTTGTAAATGGGTTTTTCATTTGGGTGCATGTTGATATTATGATCCTATGGTTTTATGGGTTCACGGATCTAAGTAACTGTACAATAGTTAGATAATATATATATATATATATCTATACGATAGTTTTGGCCCTATTATTATGCAGCTAGTGTTGCGCCGCACAGGTGCATGGTTGCGCCGCACAGGTGCATGATAGTTTATCAAAGTATACGGGGACCTTGTTTTTTTGGATCCTCCACCTTGTTTTCCGTGTTTTTTTTGACCCTTCATGAATGAAATCCTAAATGAAACTCTAAAGAAACTACCCACATGAATGTTTGAAAACCTTGACAAGATTTTCGGTTGAAACAATTAGTTTGGCAGTGAAGGACGGAGAAGGCGCAAAAAAGGCGGCGAAAAAGTGCCTAACGTAACTTCTGAAACCCATAGAAAATGAGGAGATTTCGGAGCTACTTGTCCCGCTCCAAAACGCGGTTCTTGGGCGAGGAAAGACCGCGCAAAACCACAGCCCCCGGACGGGGAAACACCATGGCAGTGAAGGACGGAGAAGGCGCAAAAAAGGCGGCGAAAAAGTGCCTAACGTAACTTCTGAAACCCAGAGAAAATGAGGAGATTTCGGAGCTACTTGTCCCGCTCCAAAACGCGGTTCTTGGGCGAGGAAAGACCGCGCAAAACCACAGCCCCCGGACGGGGAAACACCATGGCAGTGAAGGACGGAGAAGGCGCAAAAAAGGCGGCGAAAAAGTGCCTAACGTAACTTCTGAAACCCATAGAAAAGGAGGAGATTTCGGAGCTACTTGTCCCGCTCCAAAACGCGGTTCTTGGGCGAGGAAAGACCGCGCAAAACCACAGCCCCCGGACGGGGAAACACCATGGCAGTGAAGGACGGAGAAGGCGCAAAAAAGGCAGCGAAAAAGTGCCTAACGTAACTTCTGAAACCCATAGAAAATGAGGAGATTTCTGAGCTACTTGTCCCGCTCCAAAACGCGGTTCTTGGGCGAGGAAAGACCGCACAAAACCACAGCCCCCGGACGGGGAAACACCATGGCAGTGAAGGACGGACAAGGCGCAAAAAAGGCGGCGAAAAAGTGCCTAACGTAACTTCTGAACATAGAAAATGAGGAGATTTCTGAGCTACTTGTCCCGCTCCAAAACGCGGTTCTTGGGCGAGGAAAGACCGCGCAAAACCACAGCTAACGTTGCTTTCTGAACCAGAAGAAAATCTCCAGGAAAGCGCCCGGCAGGTGGCCAAAGGACATGCTGCTTGGCTACCAAGGGCGCCATGAAGGGTTTAAAGGCAGCTCAGGGCGCCGGGGAAGGTTTAAGGGCAGCCTACTGCCTAACGTTGCTTTCTGAAACCAAAAGAAAATCTCCAGGAAAGCGCCCGGCAGGTGGCCAAAGGACTGCTGCTAGGCCGCCAAGGGCGAAGGGTTTAAAGGCAGCTCAGGGCGCCGGGGAGGGTTTAAGGGCAGCCTACTGCCTAACGTTGCTTTCTGAAACCAGAAGAAAATCTCCAGGAAAGCGCCCGGCAGGTGGCCAAAGGACATGCTGCTAGGCCGCCAAGGGCGCCATGAAGGGTTTAAAGGCAGCTCCGGGCGCCGGGGAGGGTTTAAGGGCAGCCTACTGCCTAACGTTGCTTTCTGAAACCAGAAGAAAATCTCCAGGAAAGCGCCCGGCAGGTGGCCAAAGGACAGGCTGCTAGGCCGCCAAGGGCGCGATGAAGGGTTTAAAGGCAGCTCAGGGGGCCGGGGAGGGTTTAAGGGCAGCCTACTGCCTAACCTTGCTTTCTGAAACGAGAAGAAAATCTCCAGGAAAGCGCCCGGCAGGTGGCCAAAGGACATGCTGCTTGGCTACCAAGGGCGCCATGAAGGGTTTAAAGGCAGCTCAGGGCGCCGGGGATGGTTTAAGGGCAGCCTACTGCCTAACGTTGCTTTCTGAAACGAGAAGAAAATCTCCAGGAAAGCGCCCGGCAGGTGGCCAAAGGACATGCTGCTGAGCCGCCAAGGGCACAGGGAAGGGTTTAAGGGCAGCTTACGGCGCCGGGGAGGGTTTAAGGCCAGCCTACTGCCTAACGTTGCTTTCTGAAACCAGAAGAAAATCTCCAGGAAAGCGCCCGGCAGGTGGCCAAAGGACATGCTGCTAGGCCGCCAAAGGTGCCATAAAGGGTTTAAGGGCAGCTCAGGGCGCCGGGGAGCGTTTAAGGCCAGCCTACTGCCTAACGTTGCTTTCTGAAACGAGAAGAAAATGTCCAGGAAAGCGCCCGGCAGGTGGCCAAAGGACATGCTGCTAGGCCGCCAAGGGCGCCATGAAGGGTTTAAAGGCAGCTCAGGGCGCCGGGGAGGGTTTAAGGGCAGCCTACTGCCTAACGTTGCTTTCTGAAACGAGAAGAAAATCTCCAGGAAAGCGCCCGGCAGGTGGCGAAAGGACATGCTGCTTGGCTGCCAAGGGCGCCATGAAGGGTTTAAAGGCAGCTCAGGGCGCCGGGGAGGGTTTAAGGGCAGCCTACTGCCTAACGTTGCTTTCTGAAACCAGAAGAAAATCTCCAGGAAAGCGCCCGGCAAGTGGCCAAAGAACATGCTGCTTGGCTGCCAAGGGCGCCATGAAGGGTCTAAAGGCAGCTCAGGGCGCCGGGGAGGGTTTAAGGGCAGCCTACTGCCTAACGTTGCTTTCTGAAACGAGAAGAAAATCTCCAGGAAAGCGCCCGGCAGGTGGCGAAAGGACATGCTGCTTGGCTGCCAAGGGCGCCATGAAGGGTTTAAAGGCAGGTCAGGGCGCCGGGGAGGGTTTAAGGGCAGCCTACTGCCTAACCTTGCTTTCTGAAACGAGAAGAAAATCTCCAGAAAAGCGCCCGGCAGGTGGCCAAAGGACATGCTGCTGGGCCGCCAAAGACGCCGGGAAGGGTTAAAGGGCAGGGTTTAAGGGCAAGGTTTAAGGGCGGCCGAGGGCGCCGGGAAGCGTTTAACGGCAGCCTACTACCTAACGTCGCTTTCTGAAACCAGAAGAAAAGGTGCCGCGAAGCCACTTTTTCTCGGGCGCGCTCCCCCTGCAGATGGCTGGGGTCGGCGGATTTGTACCCAGGCATCGCGTATCCGACGTATCCGACCTTGAATGCGTTCTGCGAGACAACTGAATCTGGATGCTCAGGATTCACACTTGGGGGTTAGTCCCAGCTGGCAATAACCTATGAATAACCCATGTTACCGGGGTGTGTCCCATATTTCGAAGTGAATCTTGTTATATCGACATTACTAACGAACAAATTGAAAGTAAGGGCCACACATCCAAATCATGCTGCAAGTTACTTTATGTGGTCAGGACATGGTTGATGGATCGATGCAAAAACCAGAAAAAACGTGTCCATTGAGCATGAGACTCTTGCACATCATTTTAGTTTGTATCCTTAGATGTTGCCAGAATTTGCAACTTGTGTAATTTGTGGTTAAATTTTCTGGGGCATATAACGGTATATACCAATGAATCCCAGTTTGTTTGTTTGTTTGTTTTTTGAGGGGTTAAAATCCATTTACGAACTACTTGGCAAATTGTGCTGCAGCATCTAAGTAGGATTTGTTCTTTGGTTTGAACGGTCCTTGTGCCAGCATCGACCCACCCAATACGCTTATGATATTCTAAAACTATCTGAATGTTCCAACCCTGCTACTATCTGCCCATGAACCATAGGTTGATGCTGAGTGTAAATGGTCAGCAACCCAGACAGGGACATCATGGGACATCAGCTACAAATTTTGTGGATGTTTCCCTCAGACTTTGGGGATGACAGCCACCCATTTTTTCATAGCTATATGCACAACATACTCGGAGCTACACATGCTACACAGCACAAACCCATAGTGCCCTCCCTTGACTATGTACCATACTGTAATACCATAGTGATTGGTGGGTTGGAACATGTTTTATTTTCCATTTCATATATGGGATGTCATCCTTCCCATTGACTTTCATATTTTTCGGAGGGGTAGGTCAACCACCAACCAGAATAGTGTGTTGCATATCAACAGATACATGAAGGGTGTGTACAGTAGGATACAGATACCACCGGGATCAATGTATTGGGACCATCATGTTGGACCATCCCAAGTCAGAGAAAACAGTGTTGGTTGGTAAGTTCCAGCATGACAAGGTGGTGCACCCCCCCCCCAGTTATAGATGGGTTATACGATTATAATCCCATTAACTATAGATATATCACCAACAAAAACAATATAGTTATTGGACTTATTTGCACCAACTTAGCGATTCCGAACTGGGGCACCACCCTGGATGTTTGTTGAGTAGAAATACCTGACCTGTTGCATCCCTGAAAAGAGGGCGCAGGGAGGCAGAGAGGTGTGCAGATTGCCGGGAGAATCTGCGTTGCCAAGAGTAGGGTATCCCTCATGGTAGAAATGTGTGTGTGTGTTTTTTCTACTGAAAATTGCAAGTTTGCGGTGTAGCAAATTGTGGATGAGTATGTTTTTCTATGCTGCCGAAAGTAACCGCTACTAGCCATTATAGTCACTATAGACAAGCATTCAAGACAACTGATAAACAGTATATTGTCACTATAAGTTAACACTAAACACTCATAAACTAACAGAAACTATTGGGCCAACTATTGGTGTCAGGCCTTGCTGAACCGCGCAGACTTCGGAGAAGTCGTGGCAGCGGTGGACAAGGAGCCTGGCTACACTAAAGAATTCAAGATTCCAAGGGCCAACATGGAGATTGGTTGATGGTTTGAAATATGTTCTACAGTTATCTATAGTTAATCCTATTTGGGATGATGATTCCCAGTGACTCATGTTTTTCAGATGCGTTGAAGACACCGATCAGAAGATGGGAAATTAATTGTCAGATGTTGGGGATTTATCCCACGAATCTGGACTTCGCCATCAAATGTTACGGATATTCAGCAACAAAGGCTCTGGATTCAATCTCCAAACAACCACAGAAACCATGGCGGTTTCTCCTGGTTCGACCACGTTTTTTAGGTAGGGAATCTGAATATCCAACAAAGATGAACATGTAATTTATCAGAAAGTATGATTCAAGCAGCTAATTTGATTTGCCAGCATAATGAAAAATTAAGCAACCATAATTAGATTCAACACCCACAATTATCCCATGATGCTGGATAAACTCGTATCATCGTTGTGATTCGTAATATCAAAAAATCAGTGGAGAATCATTATGGGACATGTAACACGCGACTTTGCATGATTGGGTGATTTTGCGGCAAAGTGCATTCATTGAAATATACAATTTTTAATTGATGAACTATTTGGTTCATTCTAGGTGTTTCAAGCTGGCAAATGGTTGCTGACTATAGTGAGAATTGTTTCCAATTTGTGTTTTTGCCCCTATATGGTTCACATATTCTTCCCCTAGACACCAAAGACCGAAACATGTTTAATCATGTTTGCGACAGATCCTGCCCAAAGATATGGACAATATCCAAAAAACACCTGCTTAGATGGGCTGGATTAGCTAAATGGTGACTGGGTTACAAGCCACGAAGACCAATGTTCATCCATCTCCTGAGTTAAGTAGCTCCATGGCCCATTGATGATACATTGGTTCTTGTCGGTTCTTGTCTTCAATCCTGCGAAGCAAAGGTAGGATTGTGGATGTTTTGGGCCCATAATCAGTGTTAAGTATGGCAAAGAATCAACTAAAATGGAGGTTCTGGGCTGCGAAGATCCTGGAATCATGGATTACAACGTGCTTGTGACAAGTGTAAGCAATGGTACAAAATGAGTCGAATCATGTAGAATCCCCATTGTCTTGTTTGGTTAAGCAGCTCAACATCTGCAAACCCTAATTTGCGTTGGTTGAATCCAGATATGTTGTCAGTTCCAACCCCATATTTGCGGGTTAATCCACATGTTTAGACCATGGTTTTGCGGGTCAAAACACGAAGGTATGTTGCTTCCATCCCCATTTCAGATACAGCAACCCCTTGAACAAGAACAACAATATATGATAAGATCTGGCCAGAGCATATTGGCAAAGTATTTAATTACCCTTCTAATGTGGCAAACCCAATGCCATAAACCATACCCAAGTCATCACCATTTTTATGGGTTGTATAAACCATCCCCAAATGGTAGTTGTTTATGGCATTGGGTTTACCACATTATAACCATTGTTAACCATTACTAACCACTACATTAGCCATTATAATATTTGCTTCGGCCAATCAGCTCTAGTGAAATCAGCCACTTTTTGATGGTTCCTATCGAGGATGGCTTCACAGCACTGCACGGTGCAGCATTTCGAGGCACTTGGGGGGGTTCCTTGGAGAGTCTGTGCTGCGGCAGTTTTTTTCAAGCAACACCTGAGGAAAAAATCCATTCATTTGGGCACTGCATCGAGATATTGAAGCCAAAAAGGGCGATGCCGTCCTGAAGGCTTGGCACCAAGTTCCGGCTCAAGGTCATTGACACTGAGGAGAAGCGCTACTACCGGACAGTGAACTTGTGTGAAGAGGTTGCCACAGAAGCTTCAGCCCTTGTCCGGACAGCCTTCCAATTAATTTACGAAGTTCTGGGTTTCGCAGAGTCAAAACTCTATGCTGACAACATCATCCAGGGCAAGGGCTCCTTGTAATTAAACACTTTGAACTGCAACCCTCCTTTTTGTTGGCTGCGGAGCATAGCGGAGCGGTTTTGCCATGCCGTGAGGTTGTACATCGGTAGATTTTTCATTTCCATCTCATCGATCAAAACAAATGCAACCTCACTGGCCTCGCCAGACATGTTGGTTGGTAAGGGACTTTTGGAAAAACTCATGGACAAATTGAGAGTTGGTAAGGGGACCAGCGGAACATGATTGTTTCGAAGGAGGCTGGTGAATTGATCATTTTCCCGCATGGGGCTTGAACATCAACCAAACATGGTCAACCATCTCTGAACTTCACATGTGCCTTTTTGGATACTGGGATGTTTACCTACCAAACTGCGCAAGTTGTGGGAAGAACCGTGTAGCTCTGGCGCAGTCGATGGATTATCTGTCATGGATGTCCCGGGAACCCACTTGCTCGGTGTCCACTGTACCGAATCCCTCCATGCGCCGATGCGCCAGAAATTCACCGAGATGGATCAGATCTGATTAGCGATTAGCAATAAATCATTTGACATCATATTTGATGGTATTTTCATGCATTTTTGATAGTGATGTTTAGCTAGCTTGGGGTATCATACCATTTGGTGATTGATGTTGTTCATTCTCCGCCAGCGAGGACCTCACGATGGTCAGGTTTTTTGTTGAGCTCGCTGCGAGAGCTGCAAGACAGCAGATAGCTATAAGAACCTTACAACGAATGCGTTTTTATAAATAATTGTTTTGCTGTTATATTTATTGTTAGTACCATACAAAAAAAACACTATATCGTTAACAATAAGCAAAAAATATGGGAATCTAAGATACTATGTATAGCAACGTCACAGAAGATAGAAAAGGAGACAATATAGTCGTAACTACTGTTCTTTTTTGGTTAGGCCGTGATTATTAATGAATGGCCATCAAGTTGAGTTTAAGATCAACCAGAAGATAGGCCGTACTGTATCTATCGCAAACTGAAATTCGTAATTGCCAGTGACGTGTAATCGATGATATACATGAAGACAGAAGCATATCAACGCGTGAACTTGTCATACCATGAACACTTGCCGTCCTGGGTACTGACATTTGTACCTACAAAACATGGCTCTCATCTCTTAAAATCCAATATTACAGTGGAAAAGCCACAATTTCACATTAGATTCATTAGCTTATAATATCTATCGTTGTACATGTGTCAGATATCCATCTGGATGTGGGTCAAAATGGAAGACCGATGTGGGACCACAGATGTGAATGTCTAGTTTAGTATTAACCATCCAATTATTGGGGTACCTAATTTTGACCCATTCCCATCTGTCATTTTTTTCCATTTATGTTTTTTTTCATCTGTCAAATATTATAGTAATATACCAAGGACTTTCCTATTGGTACGGGATGTTACGACGGCAGGCCACCTTGATGTCGTGTGCGCACTGGTGCGATGTCCAACAACCACGGAGGATTTCATTTGTGCCTGTGGAGTCTTTGATGTGCCTTGGTGAAAACATCATGAGTTTTTAGCATATTCTTTATATATATATATATATATATACATATAGTGTATAAATAACTAAATTAACTAGATATATATAAAACTAACTAACTAACTAAATTAATAGATAAATCATATATATATATATGTATATATATATATACGTATATATATAATATGTATAGCATACATACATATCAGGGGAAAATCACCAAGTTTACTGGGGAATTCATGATTTTAATTGGAGAAGAACCACACGGCAAAGTTATCCCTCCTTGATAAAGACACGACCTTCGAGTTATCCAAGATAGTTTTCAGTGACCCCAAATGGGGTGTTATTTTACATCATCCCAGTTGTAGAGGGTTATTTTCGATGTCATAAACTTTAATGCGATTGTTTATTTTGTGGTTTGCAACATGATTTGACAGTTTTCTATTTGTAATAGGAAGATCATCTAGGTGGATAGAAATCGATCATTTTCAAACTGACGGCAGTGGACAATTCTTTTTCATTGGGACATGACTGATCTATTTACCATCCTGTAATGTAAAGTACTATAGATGTGGAAAACCAACCATATCTAGATTATTTCCCAAACGACTTTCCCTATGGGTTTTCCACATTTACGTTAGTTTACCCTAGGGTATTAATATAGAGGTTGATAGAAATGGGACATGTTCCATTGCCAGCTTAAGCAAACGTCACTGTGTGGCTAGTTCATCAATGTCATGGAAGTCGGTCAGAACTTGGTGTCGTCCAGCCAGCATGCGACTGGGCATGGAGAATATGGAGAGGAATCTAAGGCATCCGAAGAAAGCTCCGGCATCTCAAGTTCGCCAAGGTAGCAAGCTGTTGGATATGTATGATGTGTAAAGATCATGCGTTGATGATGTTGATGGCTTCCAACATATTCCAAGCATTTCACCACCATTTCGGCCCAGTGCTTCGGCTCCCACACCGATCGTTCTTCGTATTGAAGATCGGCTGTGGGGAATCCAGATCCGTAGCCATCTTGAAGATATCAAAGAAACGTGGCAATCCAAATTCTCACTGAACATGAGATTATATTATATATATAATATAGTTGCATACTGTGTATATATATATATATATCGAGAGAGACATTCAACCTTTACCTAGCACTTACCATCCAAGGGAAGGATGAAGCCTTTGGTCGACCAGGCCTAGAGGACAGCTGGTTGGATGTCAGGGTTTTAGTTGCTGGTTCAATCCCAATCAGCCAACCATGGCCATATTTTTTGGATATGACTAATTGCAACATACATCCCTGATTGTTCAAGTTCAAATCCCGTATAGTTGTTCAATCCCCATTCACTCCCATGTTGGCAGAAGCGATGGTGAATTCCAGCCATTCAACATTCAAAACCTCTTCATTTTATGGGTTTGTAATAAGGTGGCAATGGTTTTAAGCATCAACATTACATGCTGGGTTTAACTAATAAGTAATAAGATGTAATAAGTATAATAGAATGTTAAGAATGGTGGTTAACCGGTTAACCCTTTCATATCCTTACATTTTCATTCAGCCCCTATTTTTCATGGTGGGTCAACCCCACCATGTTCTACGGGTCATCGCACCTCCCAGGTGGCACGTCCTGTGGGGCACTGGGCCAGGGAAGCGGCCGAGATTTATGACATGAACACGGCGCCTTATCACCGCGAATCGATGGGATTTACCCGAGAAAACTGGGGTAAAACTGGGGGATTTCATGGCTAAACAATTGTTGAATGTATGGAGAGAAAACTCTGGTGATTTTATTGGGGAAACCAAACATGACGAAGCATTTGATGGGAATCTGAGACCATGCGAGATACTAGCAGCTTGATATGATATAGTATGGTGAATCTATATGGTGTGTCTGAAAATGGTGTATTCCCCGCATATAGAAGTTTTAATCAGAAAGTAAAGACAAATCAATGGATTTGGCATTCCCTATTTTCAGACAAGTCCATCCTTAGTTTTCTACTTATTGGGATGAGTACTATCATCTATTCGATCTATTTGAGCAGTAAGGTATACATGGTGAAACCCAAAGAGTGCACAGATATGGAACATGGAATTCATCACCCAAGAAAAAGAAAAATTTTAAAGAACCATATCTGGGTTTCTCTGGAAATTCACTGTCCCCCTCCCCTCCATTTATGGGTATTTCGGAGTTAAGGGGTTGAATATGTTCAGTCAAACCCACATGGAAAACCCGCCATTTGTAGCCTAGGGAACCCCACGGATGCCAATACCCATGTTAGTTTATCAGAGGGTAACTGGTTAATTAGAACACATACTACTCAGATGCTACCATAATGTGCGATAAGATGGTTTGATTTTCCAAGATGTCGAGGGGTGAATTAACCCACTTACTAAGTGCATACCCCTGGTTGTGGCAATATCTCAGTCGTACACAGTAAACAAATAAGAATCAAACATGGCGATATGACCAATGATTTCATTTAGTTGATGGTTTTTGGCTGGTGTCATGATCCAGCTATAGGCTATACGTAAGGAATCTATTTTTACCCAAACTCGTTGGATCTGTTGGATGCTCCAAGTGGGGTGGACTCGGTAAATTATTGGCGATCTAACCATCGGGTCAGCCTTTGGTTGGTAGGCGTGTTTGGATGATGTTTTGTGGTTTTGTGCTTGTTTAGATATGAATGTGTGAGGAAAATGATGATCAACGTGGATTTTTTCCCCACCTGCCAGGTGAGGGTTGTTAGATTTTATCACAGTTGTTCTCCTCCTCCTCCTCCTCGGCTAGCTATCCTCCTCCTGCTCCTCCTGCTCCTCCTGCTCCTCCTCCGCCAGAATCTCCTCCACCACCTCTGCCTCCACTTCCACGTCCACTGTTGCCTTGCCAACTCTTCGCCAAGCTCTTCGCCAACGTCCGAGCTCAGTGTGCACCGCTGGACCTCAACCTGGGACCTTCCCAGCTCAGTGGGCACCGCTGGACCTCAACCTGGGACCTTCCCAGCTCCAGTGGGCACCGCTGGACCTCAACCTGGGACCTGCCCAGCTCAGTGTACACCGCTGGACCTCAACCTGGGACCTTTCGAGCTCAGTGTGCACTGCTGGACCTCAACCTGGGACCTGCCCAGCTCAGTGTGCACCGCTGGACCTCAACGGCCAGATAGAATGCCAGAAGATATGCCAGATAGAATGTCAGATAGAATGCCCGAAGATATGTCACTGTCAGATAAAATGCCATGAGATATGCCAGATAGAATGCCAGAAGATATGCCAGATAAAATGTTAGAAGATATGCCAGATAGAATGCCAGATAAAATGTCAGATAGAATGCCAGAAGATATGCCAGATAGAATGCCAGAAGATATGCCAGATAGAATGCCAAATAGAATGCCAGAAGATATGCCAGATAGAATGCCAGATCGAATGCCAGAAGATAAACCAGATAGAATGTCAGAAGATTTGCCAGTAACAAAACGTATAAATGTCATGGTGGGGATCACACGAAGTAAAGCAATTTTGGGCAGTCAATGTAGCAGATTTTCAGACAAACATGTTCAACCCCTTCAAGTGCATGGTGTGATTTTTGATTGGTACCCCAATTCTCGGCCAATCCCATGTCGGGTTCTTGCCATGAAATGATCAAACACAAGTAGACTAGTCAGGGAAACAGAATGGTATCCCAGGTTGGTCATGCACAATCGAAAATCCCTAATGTTCAATGGAACGCACTAGAGGAAAATAATGTACCCATGGTTTCTATTGTGAAATTTACCACCGCCCTGGTGAATGCTAGGGTCAAACTGCATGGTGTTTAGCAAGTGTGATGTGGGAAATGTTGATGCCATGCTAGTTTGTTTTGTATCTAAGTCTAGACATGATGCATGATGTGATTTCTGCTTCATCATGCGTTGCACGTTGCACAAATTTCTCACACCCTAGATTCTATAGATGTTTGTATATGTGAACAGCAAATTATCAACATGTTTGTAACCCATTCCAGGTAGTTGTGTGGTCCCTTAGGTCAGGTGCTTGCACGCTTGTCCTGCGAAGCCACATCTATTGTGACATGGCTGGCCCAGCAAAAAAAAACTCAGAGGATTTTTGGTTTGGTGCGTGGAAGGCTTTGTCCTTTCCCGACCTCGACGCACGACGCAGGACGTCTTCGTGTGTGCCTTCAGCTGTCAACCCAGCTCTCGGAGCAACAACAACCGGATAAAAGAGGACCCAGTGGAGTCGCCCCATTACAGGACTTTCGATTTGGCAGTCCTTCACATCCAGAACTGGCAGCCAACTACCTTTTGCTGGAAAACGTGGAGGGTTGCCGTCTACCCCGCCCGGGCAAAGACAAGGAAGAGACAATGCTGGCACATGCTGGCACACATTTTGCAACTCTGCAGCGGCGTGAAGTTTTGAAGTTTCCGGCGATGGTCAAACTTACTTTGAATCTGGTTGGTGGTTTGGAACATGCTTTATTTTCCATATATTGGGAACAATCATCCTAACTGACTTTCATATTTTTCAGAGGGGTTGAAACCACCAACAATATATATATACTTATATATATATTCTACAGTAAAAAACGCCAACCAGCGAATGGTTTGGGAGGGAAGTGATGATGAACATGTCCCTTCAACTCTATGAATCCCAAATCCCAAGTTCCGGAGGTCTTTTTGGAAGGGATAGCCATGATTATGCCAGGACATCCCATGTAGTAGGTGGGAAATAGCCTATATATATATACACCTTTATACATACAATTATATATATATATATGATTATGCATGTATAGATTAGATAGATAGATAGATAGATAGATAGATAGATAGATAGATAGACAGACAGACAGACAGATAGATAGATAGATAGATCGCTAGATAGCTAGCTAGGTAGATAGGTAGTTAGATAGATAAATAAATAGATATTGTATAGATAGATAGATAGATAGATAGATAGATATATGGATAGATAGATGAGATAGATAGATAGATAGATTAGATAGATGAGATAGATAGATAGATTAGATAGATTAGATAGATAGATAGATGAGATAGATAGATAGATAGATAGATAGATAGGTAGGTAGATAGATAGATAGACAGATAGATAGAATAGATAGATAGAAAAGATATAATAGATAGATAGATAGATAGATAGATAGACAGACAGATAGATAGATAGATAGATCGCTAGATAGCTAGCTAGCTAGCTAGCTAGATAGATAGATAGATAGATATTGTATAGATAGATATGTATAGATAGATAGATAGATAGATAGATAGATATATATTCAATATATGGATAGATAGATAGATAGATAGATAGATAAATAGATCGATAGATAGAAAGATAAATAGATAGATATTGTATATATATATATATATTGTATAGATAGATAGAGGGGTAGATGGATAGATGGATAGATGGATAGATGGAAAGATGCATAGATGGATAGATGGATAGATAGATAGATAGATAGATGGATAGATAGATAGATAGATCGCTAGATAGCTAGCTAGCTAGCTAGATAGATAGATAGATAGCTAGATAGATAGATAGCTAGCTAGATAGATAGATAGATATATATTAGATATATTGATAGATAGATATTAGACATATAGATAGATAGATAGATAAATAGATAGATAGATAGATAGATTAGATAGATTAGATAGATAGATAGATTAGATAGATTGGATAGATTAGATAGATTAGATAGATAGATAGATAGATAGATAGATAGATAGATTAGATAGATAGATAGATAGATAGACAGACAGACAGACAGATAGATAGATAGATAGATCGCTAGATAGCTAGCTAGGTAGATAGATAGATAGATAGATAAATAAATAGATATTGTATAGATAGATAGATAGATAGATAGATATATATTAGATATATTGATAGATAGATATTAGACATATAGATAGATAGATAAATAGATAGATAGATAGATAGATAGCTAGGTAAGTAGGTAGGTAGATAGGTAGATAGATAGGTAGATAGGTAGGTAGATAGGTAGATAGATAGATAGGTAGATAGAGGGATAGATAGATAGGTAGGTAGGTAGATAGGTAGATAGATAGGTAGATAGATAGATCAGTAGGTAGATATATAGATCGATAGATGGATAGATGGATAGATGGATAGATGGATACATGGATAGATGGATAGATGGATAGATGGATAGATGGATAGATGGATAGATAGATAGATAGATAGCTAGGTAAGTAGGTAGGTAGATAGGTAGATAGATAGGTAGATAGGTAGATAGGTAGATAGATAGATAGGTAGGTAGAGGGATAGATAGATAGGTAGGTAGGTAGATAGGTAGATAGTTAGGTAGATAGATAGACAGATAGATAGATAGCAAAATAGATTGACATTTTGAAGTAGATAAAATATGACGCAAAACAAATCATCTCCACTTAAAATGCAAATATGGTTGAAAAAAGACGTCTATCTACTTCAGGATCTGACTTCAGCAAAATTTCATGGTCGACCAGGCGCTCCATATGGCGGCCGCCATGGGCCACACGGAAATCTGTGCCTTGCTGCTGATCCACGGCCCAAGGGCGGCCAATAAGGCGTGGCGCGGCGAAGCGTCGTGGCGCTGTTGGGTTTTCCGGTCATTCTTCCCTTCAACCAATTCTTAGGGGAAATTGATTTCTGGTAGATACATATCCCATCATATCTGTTGGATCGTTTTTGGTTCGCTGGACCTTCTCAGTAAGTATTTGGATCCATATGGCTGGATAAACCTCGGATAGGTATTTTAGCCGAGTCTTTCAATCGTTTGCTACAAGTGGAGATATTTACTAAGCAGGTACCCTCTGGTAATCAAAGATGGCAATGGACATTTCTCATCATGTCCGGTCCCCATTTAGTTCGATGTTTTACATGCCAACAAAACCTCCATTTAGTTCGGGGATTTCCTAGCCAGCCATGTTTGACTACCGAAGGGTACTGTATTCTTTTGCAGGGTCTCCAGGATTTGCCAATCAGATCCTGATAAACTAACATAGTTATCGCAAAACAGTTTTACAGGTAGATAAATGGACAGTTTCAATAATTAGCTTTGTTTACCGAAGGGTAAGGGCTGTACATTCCAACCCCACCTGCATCTTCACCGTCCTTCATCTCCCAGCACCGGCCGCGAGACCAATCGCATGGGTGCCACGGCCTTGCACATGGCCGCCAAAGGCGGGGATGGGAATGAGGCTCTCAGTTGTCAAGCCAGGCAGTGGCGGAAGTTTCAAAAATAGAAACCTACAGGAGAAGTGTATTATTGTGATTCATGGATGGCAAGCCATTTATGGACCGAAGGTGATTAGAATTGTGTTTTTTGGAGCGGTTGCGGTAGTCACCAGATGCACAACTGCTGGATGTAGTGCAGTGTACTGTGTAGTTGTAGTTTAGTGTAGTTGTAGTTGTAAAGTACCGTAGTGTAGTTGGAGTTGGAGTTGTACTTGTAGTGTCGCGTAGTTGTAGTGTAGTGTTGCTGTAGTTGTAGTATGTTGTAGTGGTAGATGTAGTTGTAGTGTAGTGTTGCAGCGCAGCGCAGCGCAGTGCAGTGCAGTGTGTACTGTAGGTGTAGGTGTAGTCTAGCGAGTTGTTGTAGCCGTAGTTGTGGACTAAGTGTCGTGTAACAAGTGTAGTGTAGTGTATTGAAGTGAAGGATAGTTGTAATCTAAAGTAGTGTAGTGTAGTGTAGCGTAGCGTAGTGTAGTGTAGTGTAATGAGTGGTGTAGTGTAGTGTAGTTGAGGTAGTTGTAGTTGTAGTGTGGTGTAGTTGTAGGTAGTTGTAGTTGTAGCTGTAGCTGTAGCTGTAGTGTAGAGCAGTGTAGTGTAGTCAAGTGTAGTTGTAGTGTAGCGAAATGTAGCGCAGTGTAGTGTAGGGTAGGGTAGTGCGTTTGTAGTGTAGTGTGGTGTGGCGTGATTTAGTGCAGTTGTAGTTTTAAAGTATATAGTGTAAAGTAGTGTAAAGGAGTATACCCTCTGGTAAACTAACATAGCTATTGAAAATGGCCATTTCTGGTGAGTTTTCCCATTAAAAATTGTGATTTTCCATAGTTATGTTAGTTTACCAGAGGGTAGTGGTAGTTGCAGTGCGGCGCAGTGCGGTGCATTTTTTATGTCCATCCTGCAGGCGGCTACACCAAAACCGTGGCGGCCATCTTGGCCTCCCCATCCTTCAACGCGGTGCGCGAACCCACGGGAACCCACGGGGGTGCCAGTGGTTGTCTTAACATCGGGGCTAGTTCAAAATCCCATTCCGAAAATATCCCATGTATTATATATAATTAATTATTTATATAATATATAATATGATATATATATATATAATTACAAATCCCATATTTTGAGATTGATGGACAATGGTTTCTCATCTGGTTGGTGGTTTGGAACATGAATTTTATTTTTCAAAACATTGGCAATAATCATCCCAACTGACTAATCTTTTTCAGAGGGGTTGAAACCACCAACCAGTCATAATTTAGCATCATGTTCCCCATTTTTAACCACACCCACGGGATATTGCTTGATATCCTTTCCTGCTGGGCGAACTAGTCAACCACTACACACCCCAGCTGTGGGTTCATCTTAAAAGTTGGTCCGTAAACGCCATGAATACCCGAGTGTGTTATTAGAGTTAGTGTTATAGTTCTCGGAATAATTGTAGTATGCTATAGTGGTTATATGTTATAATTGCATAGTAATTCTATGATAATATAGTTATAGTTTATAAAACCCATCTCATAGTCATTGGAGTTTTGTCCACCAACTTAGCAATTTCGTAAACGGGAGCCCTGGGACTAGATGCTAGTCCGGCCGTGACACGCCCGACTGTCTCCAACCATCTGTTTGATGCTCTGAAGTCACAGGAAGGCCAGTGATACGCTGATTTTTTTATTTTTTGAATTGTAACTCTATATAGATATGCCCACGATAAATCCTAGTTAGATGAGTTAGAAACCAAGTTACCCAACAAAAAAGGGGGCTCTTCTTGAAATCGATTCAGGGTCAGGAAGCACCAATGAACATCAATGAACCAAACATGTGGGAGCTCACAAGCATTTCCAGGGGCTGAACAAACAAATCGTGCATTATCAAATTGTTGGTGGTTTGGGAGAGGACCTCCTGATGGACTAATGTGGGGTGATTCGCATTGCGTTTAACAATATATCATATATCCCCTATGGGCCTATGGGCTGGTAACCCCCCAGTTTCCTTGTCAAACCGTATTGGGTTTTTCAGCACAACCCCCGTGAACTAGAAGGCAAGCCCATGCGAACATTGAGTATAAGGCAAGCCGTTCAACACTTTTTGCACCATGAACTTCCATGAACATATAATATCCTATCATATCCGTATTCACATATATCACCATAGCTCTTAAATTATTGGAAATCAAATCCCTTTCTTTCCAAAAGATGGTGTGAAGTGGATTTCCCTTATATTATAATCTTTTCCAGTAACTCCCATGAAGTCCTGTATTAAAATCCCATGAAACTCCCATGAAACTCCCATAAAAAATCCCCACTTTCCGTCCGCACAAAAGCCACATTCCGCATCTCCGAGATCAACGCCCGCGACACGCGTGGCTTCACTGCATTGCACTGGGCGGCCCACCAGGCGGGGCGACACTGTGCGACCAAGGTGGTGATCATTCCCAGCCGATTTGCTATTGAAAAGTGCCATTTATAGTTGATTTACCCATGAAAAAATGGTGATTTTCCATAGGTATGTAAACGTTTACCAGTGGTTAATGTGGGTAAGACAATGCCATAAACTCATAAACCATCCATTTGGGAATGGTTTGAATGGGGTACCTAAATAGAATCAGGGGGGCAGGAGCCCCTTTTAAAATAAAACAGATAAAAATAAATTGAAAATTAAATGGGTCAGACCCCAGCATTTTATTTTGTGGGTGCATTTTATTTTTTGAGGTGCCTAACCCATCAAGTTAACTGACAGAGATAGCATGATAGCAAAGATGCACAGCTGTGAACGGTCTGATCATTTTGTGAAACGTTCCAGATATTTGGAATTACTTGGACATCAACTTCGAAAATGGGTTGGCCCCCCTCATTTTCTATTGCCTTCCTTGGCCAACAAAAGACACACGGGCAGCTTGCAGCAGCCAATGAGATTTCTTCAGTTTATTTATTTATATTTATTTGTATCTTTTCTAGAGACCATCCAGATGTCAGAAGTGGAACCAATTATATACGTATATGATATTGATCGAAATCCGCACGGATTCTCCTTCCTGTTGGCACGTGAAAAGGCTAAACAAGACTAAACAAGACTAAACAAGATCAACCAATCAAATAAGGAAACAATGTAAAGGACTAAACAAGACTAAACATGGTTAAAACCAAGCAAATAAGGAAACAAGACTAAACAAGATCAACCCAAAAGAAAATGCCGGAGCCCGAGGTCCAACAGTTGCCAGGTGGAGGGTGCCTGACGTCATATTCTTTTTGTACCTGTCCATTGTATTGTGCTTGGGTTTTCCTATCTTATCTTATACCCTCTCATTTTATTGGCATTTTGTCCTTAGGCGCCTGCATTTATTTTTTTTAGGGGTTCCACCCCCCCGGCAACAGACGGGGGTGAGGAATGTTAATAGTAATGTTAATAGAATGGAGTAATGTGGGTGAAACAATGCCATAAACCATCCATGATTGGGAATGATAAACATACCACCTATAAAAATGGTGATTGGATGGTTATAATTGATGGTTAATAATGGTAAATGATGGCAAATGATGGCAAATAATGGTAATTATTAGTGGTTAATGACTACTATTGTGGGTAAAACTAAATCCATCAACCACCCATGAATGGGAATGGTAAACATACCACCTATAAAAATTGTGATTTAGGGGATTGTTGTTATTGTTTTACCGACATTAAATGGCAAATAATTCCACAACCAGCAAAATATTATTACAATATTTTTTTTTTGTGGACTACCATTTCAAGATTGACCATGTGATGGTGGTTAAAGATATGACTGTCACTAATAGTCTAGTATATTGTTCTGACCTCAGTGTCACTAACTAGCTTAATTACTTTTTGTATTTTAGTGTAGAACACTGATGACTGATGATGGTGGTTTAAAAACACATATCACTGTTGGGTCACGCATATGTCTATGTTTTGGCACCATCACCAGCTTTCAGTATGAAAGATATACTATAAAATCCATCCCACAAATTTGCCTACAAGATGGTATAAATTATATAACTATTGCGTATGATAGATATATCGAACTAATCAATGCGGGTTTTCAACCAGCTTGTAAGCAAGGGACAGCACTCTGTATTATTATTCAAGACACCCAAATTTCAATGGTCACCCGCACAACCGTCATTTACAGATAACTAAACCAGGGTTTCCATTGGGGGTGTTTTTTATATTGTTTAATTAAATCGTTTTCATGGAACAGGGAAACTTAGATATTTTAAACCCTAGGTTTATTTATGCGGGACAATCGTCATGACCTCACAACAATATCACTGGCAATGACCAGCTAATGGACAGTATGGGACTTGCACACACTAGACAAGAATGGATCATTATATGATCCGGCAGGAACTGAATCCTGAAACATGCAGATTAGATATGAAACAACGAAGTTAACGATGCACCCTACGAATAATGCAGGTACGTTTACACGGGTCCCGGGGGGTGTCTTCGGTGGCCACCGACCCCCCCGGGACCCCGGTGGACCCCTGCATTATATTTAGAATTAGAAAGGGAGGGGACAAAGGAAGAAAAAGAGAGATAAGAAGTTTTACATCTATTCAGATGTTACACACACACACCCGGCCGGAGCCGGGTCAACCTGAAAGGCAAGAGGAAGAAAAAAGCGGACACACGAAGGGCAAACGGCCAAAAACAGCGCAGGGGGGGGAGGGGAACAGACGGACCTCCGGAACCAACCTATACGGCGAAACGGACCTGAACAAAACAGCGCACACACCTAAACCCCACGACACATTACGGAGAGGCACGCGGGGAAATTAGGGACCAAATGGGGGACTAGTTGATGACAGACAGGAAAACAAAAACAATTAATTAAAAACAGGATTCAGTCCCTAAATGCCTAAAGGTCGTGCGATTATTCCCTGCACCGGGACCGTGGTCAAGTCGTGCCCCAATGGCATAAAACGGCTTTCAAAGTCCAACGAATTAGGTGCACAACATGTTTCACCTCACCAGACAACCATCAAAAGGAAAGGACCACACCTGAAAGACATGAGCCTGCCTGATCCAATTTCATGTAGTGTTGCCAAATGTCGCTGTGAAATTGCACAGAATAAGAAGTTTCTGAATGTTCGGTATGGCTTCACTTGAAAGAGCAGATCACTGGGATCCCTGTGACATCCGGAGCAGCAGGAGATCTCAAAATGGCTGCCAAACCGTAAGGCCAGCTGTTGCAATTTACGTAAACGAATTACTAAATTGAAAAGTGTTAATTCGGCAGTCAGGACAGTCATCACTCACCCTAAAAAGGGTTGCCTCAAATGGCTCCATGGCACCATGTCGGAGCCACCATGGAAATCACACTAGGCAAGAATGGATCATTATATGATCCGGCAGGAACTGAATCCTGAAACATGCAGATTAGATATGAAACAACGAAGTTAACGATGCACCCTACGAATAATGCAGGTACGTTTACACGGGTCCCGGGGGGTGTCTTCGGTGGCCACCGACCCCCCGGGACCCCGGTGGCCCCCTGCATTATATTTAGAATTAGAAAGGGAGAGGACAAAGGAAGAAAAAGAGAGAGAAGAAGTTTTACATCTATTCAGATGTTACACACACACACACGCATGGTGTTGTGTATATACAAATATATATATATATACAAATAATATACAAGTTGGTGAACCATTAAACTTTAACCCAGGTGCGTTTTGCGTTGTAGTTTTTTCCCCTAAATGGTAATCTTTGTGACGTAACCGGATATGTTTTTTTTTTCAAAGGGGTATATACAGTATCCCAACATTTCATGGTTGATCATCATTTTTGTTCTTAAAGGTGACATTTCGGGTGTTTCCCATTTGAGGACAAACCCACATATATCCGACTTACCGCACTAAACCTTCTGAATTTCTTCAGCGCAACAAAAATTACAAAAAAAATGCAGCGTCCACTTTTTGTGTGCCTTTTTTGTCCACAAAATCATGCATAGACATGGGGATGGGACCGATGGGACCGATGGGACCGATGGGGCTATATTTGCTGTAGTTACAAGGGACCGTTTTGTTTGCAATCCAATGATGCTGGTGTATTGAAGTATAGCCTTTTGATTGGCCAATCAGTCAATACCCTCTGGTAATGACTAACATAGCTATTGAAAATGGCCATTCATAGTGGATTTACCAATTAAAAATGGTGATTTTCCATAGCTATGTTAGTTTACCAGAGGGTAATTCTTTGAAAGCGTGGAAATGCCAGTTGCCATAAAAAGTTGTTTTTTTCAAGTTCAGATTTCCTGCTTTGCAACACAACTCCTAAATTTCCAGAGTAAAACTCCCAATGCATCCTAATTTAATCAATTCACTATAGATTTTCCATGCCCAATCAGCAGTGAGTGAACTTTCTCCATTTGGTTTGTCCTCATTTTTCGGGAGGGCCCATCTCATTCACTGTTTTTTTAAAATCATATTCCCTCTTGAAATGGGCGATTGAACGAACTCCGACCCAAATCCATGGCTATCATTGGCTAAATATGTTTAAGCCACCATATGTGATGGTTTAATACAAGTTTTTGATGTGTAGATCACTTAAATCCATATTTTTTTCATGGTTCAATCCTCCATGTTGATAGTTAAACTCCAATTGTTTGATGTTTTTCCGGTGGTTAAGTCACACTATGTTTGGTCAAATCCACCAGCTCTGTCAGCAAAAAGGGAGTCCGTGAGCGATTTTGCCCAGGTTTACGGAGATATCGCCGCATTTATCTTAAAGGATCAGGCCTGGAGCCTTGCGCATGCCGTGGTTTTGGGACAGGCCTTGGGGAGAACTTTGAGCATCCAGAATTCACGGCGTGAACATGATCAAAGCATCAAAAACGGGGGAGTTTGCCATCAAATCCAATTGGATTTTGGCCAAAACCAATGGGGTGTTTTAAGTGATAGAAATGTCAGATGAAGGGTTTTTTGTCGAACCATCAAGATGTAACATCTCAGAAATCAGAATTTGGATCTAAACATCAGAAAATGTTGGAATTCAACGATGGAAAGGCAAATGTAACGTGTAAAAAATCGTGGGGATTTATAGCACTCAGAATGGCACAAAAAGGGTGATATGTTATCATCAAAATTTGTGGTTTTGCATTTCAGAATTAGATCAATGTTCACAATATGTTTAACTTAAACCGGCACAATTTGGAATTGGCTGTGAACATGGGGATTTAGCCATCAATTAACACTTTGAATGCCAGCATTATAATTTTCGGGGTTTCAACTATCAACATGATGATGTTAACCAAGGAATATATGTGGATGTCATCATCAAGCAATGGTAATTGAGCTATGAAAAGTAATGTATTTAGTCTATATTTAGCAGTCCATATATAATAATATATTTATATATTTATATACATACAATATAGGCAATCTTGAAAAAAATGATTTGGTTTTGTCTCAAAATTGGTCTATTTGATATACAGTACACCCAAAAATGTGCTTGCTCGGGAAACGACGAGGTTTTCGAAATGGGCTCTGTGGATTCCGGTTTTCAAAAATGTGGAGCCCACAATGGAGGGTTGGAAAATCCTATTACAAAGGTTTGGAGGTACACCCTTTTTAGGAAACTTCCATATATATATATCATATATGAGGTATATTATATTATAATATTGGTTCAGTCTTACATGAAATGATGATATTCAAGTGACTTTCACCATTTGTTGGATGCATTACTCAACCACCAAACAGTTGATAATCGTTTGTAACTCGCGGTTGGTTGTTGGTTTCTGTCCCTGGCATGCCACACATAGGGGTACAAAGTAATCTTCCATATAAGTTGGTCATACAACTCCATATTGTTGGTTTATATTGTTTATCAAATTATACGATTGGTACCGTGATTGTACACCAATAAAACTATAAACTATATCCAGTCGAATCCACTTACTTATAGTCAACCCAAATTCTCCATTTGTGAGATATTTTGCAACGTAAATTCCAGATATAACTACCCCAAATGCATGTAATCCAAATCCATTATATTGGTGAAATATGGTCAAATCCACATGTTTGATGGTTAAATCTTCCCATTTGCATAGTTCGTTGCATCAAAAATCATCGTTCAAACCGAGTTTGGAGGGTGTTAGATGGTGTTAGGTCCTTTTCATGGTTAAAAAAGAAGTTTTGAGTGTTAAGTCCCTTTTCTGGTTAAATTTTAATCCTCTAAAATAATTCTAATATATTGTGTATACCTGATCTTTATGGACTCCCCAAGTTTTTGCATGGCGGCCCACGGCACGGGTACCGCGAAGGACTTCTTCATGGTCGACAGCAAGGACTTGCGCGGCCGCACGGCTGCGAACATCGCAGAGGCAGCGGGCTTGAGCCTGGTGGTGGAGAGGGCCATGGTTATTTTCATGGCTGTACAACGGATGGATAGAGGCTACATAATGACTATTTTCATGGCTATATGATGGCTACATAGGCTGTGTTTATGGCTATGTTCATGGCTATGTAATGGCTATGTAATATTTAATGGCTATGTTAATGGCTGTACAATGGTTATGGTTATCTTATGGCTATCAAATAGCTATAGAATACCCTATGACTAATCAACAATCAACAGGGTTGCTTCAACCCGTGCGGTGTTGGGAAAAAACGGCTTGAGTTGTTCAGCAAAGTTGTCGATTTTGACCATCAAAATTGCCATGTTGACCATCAAACTTCGGCATTTAACATCCAAAATGGGGATTTCACCCATGAAATTGGGTGAAGCATGAGGAGCTCTATGAAACTTGCCGAACTTTTCACTTGAATGATTCTAGACTTTATGCAGTTTTGTTTATATAGAAAGCCATCGCGCCAAAGGCAAAGCAGGGGGTATGTCAGTCATAAACCACGTTTGAGTTAATTTTATGTTTTTTTTGTTCAACGACAATTTCTTTGTTTTATCAATAGAAAGGGAATATAGCAAGATTGGGACTTAACCAAGAGAGTCTATGCAGCCAACATTGGGACTCAAGCAAGAAACAATGGTGGATTTAACCAAAAAGAATCTCGATGTTCCCAATATGCAAAGAGTGACCAAGCAGCACGACAAAGGATGGGGTCACAAAGTCTACCGATCTAATTATAAAATATATCACATGTAAAAATCATGCGTATTTCGTTCCCGGTTTATACACAGGTTCCTTAAATATTGGGGAAATGATCATCGACATGCGAAACCCTTGAATGACTAGGGTCAGTTGCTTGATGATGCTTGATTGTCAGGAGATTTGATTGAAAGCCTGGCCATTCGCAATGATGATCGTTTTGTAGCTTCAACACATTAACCAAGATGAGAGCTTCCATAGGAGGAGTTGATTCCACAATCAACCTTGAGCGAAGCACCAGCATTGGATTTGACATGATTTGACATTGCCTGCATGTGCAACCCTTGAACGACTAGTTAGTAGGGTCACTTGCTTGATGTTGCTTGATTGTCAGGCGATTTGATTGAAAGCCTGGCCATTCGCAATGATGATCGTTTTGTAGCTTCAACACATTAACCAAGATGAGAGCTTCCATAGGAGGAGTTGATTCCACAATCAACCTTGAGCGAAGCACCAGCATTGGATTTGACATGATTTGACATTGCCTGCATGTGCAACCCTTGAACGACTAGTTAGTAGGGTCACTTGCTTGATGTTGCTTGATTGTCAGGCGATTTGATTGAAAGCCTGGCCATTCGCAATGATGATCGTTTTGTAGCTTCAACACATTAACCAAGATGAGAGCTTCCATAGGAGGAGTTGATTCCACAATCAACCTTGAGCGAAGCACCAGCATTGGATTTGACATGATTTGACATTGCCTGCATGTGCAACCCTTGAACGACTAGTTAGTAGGGTCACTTGCTTGATGTTGCTTGATTGTCAGGCGATTTGATTGAAAGCCTGGCCATTCGCAATGATGATCGTTTTGTAGCTTCAACACATTAACCAAGATGAGAGCTTCCATAGGAGGAGTTGATTCCACAATCAACCTTGAGCGAAGCACCAGCATTGGATTTAACATGATTTGTCATTGCCTGCATGTGCAACCCTTGAACGACTAGTTAGTAGGGTCACTTGATTTTTAGATGAGCGGACTCATGTCGTGAAGCTTTTTTTTGGTAGCCTCATCCATCAATCAGGATGACGGTAGCTCCACAAGTGGCATCAATCAGTGTATACCTGTTATTGATGCGTCGCAAGGCTGATGTTGTTTTCTTTCATTTGGCGATTTAGCGAGCCTTGGAGCATGTGGGCTAGTCGTATTGCCTTTATTGCATTGATATAATTAGCTATGATTTAGCGACCTCATAGCTGTTATTTTCGCGTAGCTTTGGTGATTTTTCAGTCTACCTGCCCCTTTGGCTAGACGTCCCCAGCAAATTCCTGGCAGGAGTTGCGCCATCCAGAAGCGACTGGGCAGCGCTGATACGAATATTGTAAACGAACCGCTGGCATGACTCGCTGTTCAAATGCAGGGGACGCATATGGCCAGCTGATTATATGGTGTTGGGGCGATCTCGTGATTTTTGTATATTTTTGTCTTTTCTGGAGAAACTCGAAGAAAATGTGCATGGGTCAAATAAAAATGAAGATGATACCGGGTCACCGGATCAGCATTTCCAGTTGGTGAGACCTCACGATTCATAAACCACAACAGGGCTTTCTTAAAAGTGAAGGATCCCCAAGTCACCAGGGGTTTTAATATATGAAATGACTTGGATGATTTGGGGTACAGTACGTTCATTTTAGGAAACCTCCAAATGAATTTGGGCTTCTGGAAATTTGTCGAAGCAATTGATGTGATATAAGCTGATCAGGTTATCAATTGTGTTTGGGATTCGCACTGCGTACAGTTTCACTACTTAATGCATAACAATAGTTTGTTTATCCATGCTTAAAGGGGTACCTTCATTCTGCCTCCACGTTTCAATCTATTTTGAGCTGTTCTCTATGGTGTTGTCTGAAAATAGGATTCCTCAGAAAAAATCTAACATCTTCTGACTATGATATGTTCCATTAGTCTCAAATTATATACTATATATGTACCCTATACTATATATGTATATTATACAACGCCACACGATATACTGTACATGATAAATATAATTTAAATATATACATTACATACATACATACATACATACATACATACATACATACATACATACATACATACATACATACATACATACATACATACATACATATATATATATATATATATATCCATAGCGCAATTGCCATGGCTATCCAGCAGTTTTGGACACACCCATACCCACACCACTGATGCTGCCCTGGTGTCTTCCCAGGTTACTAGTTCCAAGCGCCACTTCTAGTGGCTTAACTATAAGTTATCTTCAAAACAAAAGGTTGCTTGGTTATAACCCAAGTGAGCCCCGCCCCCAATATCAAATACCCACAAGAATGCTTCAGGGGCTTGGATGTCAAGGTGATTCTAGGTAAAACCATTGTATTTTAGCCAATTGTTCATGAAAAAATTGACTACCATGAAGTCCTTGAAAGGCTGCAAGGTGAGGGCCAACTGTAGGTTTCTAAGCCCCATTAACTCCTATGGGTTTTGTCTGAAAATATGGTACCCCAAAATCCCATGCAAAAATTGAATGTGACATATTTTTCCCTATGAAATGGCCATGTGGAGGATACACCGCATTTACTATATATATATATACATATATATATACATACATATATATATATATACATAAATATATATATATATATGGGTAAATTGTAACAACCTCACTGCGACCTCACTGGAATGATGGTTCCTAAGGGGACCTAGGGGGGGCACTATCTACAAATAGCCTTATTCAAGGTTAGTGAATTTTGATAATTTACCAATATAATCCCATATAATCCCATATAATCCCATATAATCCCATATAATCCCATATAATCCCATACAATCCCATATAATCCCATAATCCCATACAATCCCATATAATCCCATACAATCCCATATAATCCCATACAATCCCATAAAATCCCATATAATCCCATATAATCCCATAAAATCCCATATAATCCCATATAATCCCATATAATCCCATATAATCCCATATAATCCCATACAATCCCATATAATCCCATATAATCCCATATAATCCCATATAATCCCATATAATCCCATACAATCCCATATAATCCCATATAATCCCATATAATCCCATATAATCCCATATAATCCCATATAATCCCATATAATCCCATATAATCCCATATAATCCCATACAATCCGATATAATCCCATATAATCCCATATAATCCCATATAATCCCATATAATCCCATATAATCCGATACAATCCCATATAATCCCATATAATCCCATATAATCCCATATAATCCCATATAATCCCATACAATCCCATATAATCCCATATAATCCCATATAGTCCCATATAATCCCATATAATCCCATACAATCCCATATAATCCCATATAATCCCATATAATTCCATTTAATCCCATATAATCCCATATAATCCCATATAATCCCATATATATATACACACACGGTGTGCCATAAACCTCCGTTGGGATTCAGGTGATGCACCTCATTCTTCAGCACAGCACATCGCCCTTGGACTGAGTCGCCGACCGGCGGAAAAAAGGATGTCACAATCTTTGTTTCTTCTGGGGTAATTCGGGCACAGCAAATCCCAAGACTATGTATATATTACTATATTATTATTATTATTTTTATTACTATATATATATTGTGTATAATAGAACATAATGTAATTTAATATGATATAATTTGATATACTATAATATAATATATATAATTATATATATATAGCTCTTATATATAATCATATTTATAATTATACATATAATTATACATGTATACATGTATACAGGATATTGGTTTGTCCAAACGTAGGATACCAAATACCCCGTGAATCGGGCGGATTATCACAATTTATGTCATGTTTCCTATTGAACTTGTCAAGTATACACCATCTTCAGACTAGCTGCAGCCTCAATATGGACCCCAGCCACGATGTCACTGCGATAGGCACTGCGATGTCAACCATGCCAAAATGTCCTCGAACTTCAGGTTATATAGTTTATGTATGTTGATTATAAGTTATGCATATATTGTATATATATACGATGTTATTAATGCGTGATAAAAAAAGAACAATCATTGACCTTTGCTTTTTTCAAGCATAAGAACTTGCTTCAGGACGTGTGTTTGGTTGCACCCCAAATTTCACAAATTTAACCCCAACAAATAGGAGATTTAGTTAGAAGACACATATCAAGACATGGCCATGTGAGTTCCATCAGTTCGCGACGCGCGACCTCCCGTAGCGTTGTGGCACAAGTCGACCGTTGGCGGGTTGCGGTTGCATTATGCAACTTGGCGGCGAGTCAACTTGCAGTGCCACGAGCCCATGGCATTGGAAGGGATGATACGTTGGGAGGCGGCCTCTGGAAAACGTTTACAAAAAGCTATTGAAACTGGCCATAGACTTTTTGTTGATTTATTCATTGAACATGGTGATTTTCCATAGTTAGGTTAGTTTACCAGAGGTACATGGATTCTAAGTCATTCAGTACCTCTCTAAAAGAAGTTCTGTATGAATATGGAGGCCCCCACAAAGGTCTGGAAAGATGCGTTCCTGTCGAAAGTGGCCGTTTTGGGGTTCCATGGTAGTTGCAGCACAATCGGATGATCCTTGAGATTGGGATTGATCGTCAACAACTGGTAAGATCCATTAGTATGGCATGAACAAATATATACATAGTTTTGTATTCTATACCGCAAAATCCAACGGATACCAGTGGTCTAGAACATTTTTTCGATTTTAGCATACTTTAGCTGCTTGTAACTGCAATAACGGAGGTTTATGGTGTATTATATATATATGATTTATATATGTATTAGTATTAATGTTGGCTGCCTAATAGTAATTACCCCCCTATTTTTTTGGGGGGGGGTCAACCTTCCTATAATAAATTTTGGGAGTCTATAGCTGGGATCATGATATGTATCTGATAGATTCTCCATGGTTTTGTTGGGTTTCTGTTAGATTCTGCATAGGGTTTGGTTGGATTTCTGAGATGTTCTGCATAGGTTCTGCATGGATTAGGGTTGGTTTCTGTTAGATTCTGTATGGATTTGGTTTGGTTTCTGTATTGTAGCTAGGATCATGGAAGTGGGGGCAGAGGTGGTGGAGGCGAAGGAGGAGGACGAGGAGGAGGAAGAGAAGAAGGAGAAGAAGGAGAAGGAGAAGGAGAAGGAGGACAACAAAATTGGAGTTGCGGAAAAAAAAATCCACTATTGCCATGCCTGGTGCAGGTTTGTTATTGCTATTCTGGGGCTTGCAAAGGGGGTACCCTTTGTGGACCTGTTTTCTTGCTTTTTTTTAAATAAGGGTTTTATAAGGAAATCAGCTGTTCGGTAATTGGATCAGATTTCTGGAATCTAAGTTTTTGCTAATCAAAAGTGAAGGCTGCTTTGAAAAGGATTTGCTTTACTTGACTCTTTTGGCAATACTAAAAGTAAATGGAGCTAATTGACTTTTAGTATTGGAGAAAAAATTGGAGTTGGGAAAAAAGTTTCCACTATTGGGTCCACTATTGGCCATGCCCTCTGGACAAGGTCACTCTTTTGGCAATACTAAAAGTAAATGGAGCTAATTGACTTTTAGTATTGGAGAAAAAATTGGAGTTGGGAAAAAAGTTTCCACTATTGCCATGTTGGGTCCACTATTGGCCATGCCCTCTGGACAAGGTCACTCTTTTGGCAATACTAAAAGTAAATGGAGCTAATTGACTTTTAGTATTGGAGAAAAATTGGAGTTGGGAAAAAAGTTTCCACTATTGACAAGATATCACTATTGGCTAGACAACATTAACTAGTATATTTAATGAGGTTTATAAACCAAAGTCTAGTTGACAGTTGGGGAACCTCACCTTGTAGAAGCCTCATTTTCCTCCAAGGTCCACGGTCGAGGTTGGTACGCTGGATCTGAGGCTGCAGCTGTTGGATCGGAGGGGATACTATTTTAGTGGGATTTTACGATATTTCACGGTTTCATTTTCGGGGGAGGTTACAAATGGTGGCTATATGTTACTCTATGTTTATAGGTTTATTATAGGTTTATTTATTAAAATGTTTCAGACAGGTTCAAGGTGGTCCCCCCTTGTGTTTGTTGGTGTCTAAACACCATACACTAATTCGATATGATTTGTGATTTGTGTCATGTCTATTCGCTACAAATCCCAGTGATTGAAATCATAGACCAACTTACAACGCGGGGTCCCCTAGCTAAGGTGCATGGTTTATAATTTAAAACTCATAATATATCGATAGATACTATAGATTATTTACATATAGATAGATAGATAGATAGATAGATAGAAAGATAGATAGACAGATTGATAGACATATAGATATACCGATAGACAGATAGATAGATAGACATATAGACAGACAAATAGATAGATAGACAGATAGATAGAGAGATGGATAGACAGATAGACAAACAGATAGACAGACAGATAGATAGATAGACAGTTAGATAGATAGACAGATAGATAGACAGATAGATAGACAGATAGATAGACAGCTAGACAGACAGATAGATAGATAGACAGATAGATAGATAGATAGACAGATAGATAGACAGATAGGTAGACAGATAGACAGACAGATAGATAGACAGATAGACAGATAGATAGATAGACAGATAGACAGATAGATAGACAGACAAATAGATAGATAGACAGATAGGCAGACAGATAGATAGATAGACAGATAGATAGATAGATAAATAGACATATAGATAGATAGACATATAGATAGATAGACAGACAAATAGATAGATAGACAGATAGATAGACAGATAGGCAGACATATAGACAGATAGACAGACAGATAGATAGATAGATAGACGGATAGATAGATAGACTGATAGACAGACAAATAGATAGATAGACAGATAGATAGACAGATAGACAGGCATATAGACAGGCATATAGACAGACAGACAGACAGATAGATAGATAGACAGATAGACAGACAAATAGATAGATAGACAGATAGATAGACAGATAGATAGACAGATAGACAGATAGACAGACATATAGACAGATAGACAGACAGACAGACAGACAGACAGATAGATAGATAGATAGACAGATAGATAGATAGATAGACAGACAAATAGATAGATAGACAGATAGATAGACAGATAGATAGATAGATAGACAGACAAATAGATAGATAGACAGATAGATAGATAGAAAGATAGATAGACAGATAGATAGACAGATAGATAGATAGACAGATAGACAGACAAATAGATAGATAGACAGATAGATAGACAGATAGATAGATAGACAGATAGACAGACAAATAGATAGATAGACAGATAGATAGACAGATAGATAGATAGACAGATAGATAGATAGACAGATAGACACATAGATAGATAGACAGATAGACAAGCAGATAGAAAGATATTTCTTATTTCTCCACTACAGATCTTCTCCTATCCACCGGGGCTTAGCGGTGCCCCGGCTAGGCGGAAAGCCCAGATCTCGAGGGCCAAGCCCACCGACCACGCGGCGGATGTCATCGTGGGCCCCAAGGGGGTTTCGCCCTGCGGAATTTCAACATTTCACCACTTCACCATGGTTAATAACAATGGCTATATAATGGTTATATAGTAATGGTAAATATAATGGTTAGTAATGGTTAATAATGGTTAATAATGGTTTTTAATAATGACTAATAATGATTAATAGTGGTTAATAGTGATTAATAATGGTTATCAATAATGACTAATAATGGTTAATAATGGTTATGTACTGGTTATATAATAATGGTTTTATAATTATGCTTATACAATGGTTAATATAGTAGTTAATAAAGTGGTTAATATAGTGTGGTTAATAGTGGGATTAGTGGTAAATGGCCAATAATGATTCATAATGGATTTACCCTCTGGTAAACGTTTACAAAACTATGTAAAATCACAATTTTATAGCTGGGCAAATCATCCTTAAATTGGGTTTTAACGGTGAAATTGAATGTTTTGACATGTTTTGACTTATCCAACTTATCCATTGGTTCAGACTGATCCTGGAAATTTAAAACAGTGAAAAAAATGGATAAGTCTGAGCAGAAGTTCTTGGGGGAGAGTGGCACTTGAAAGAGACAGGCAGATTTGAGATTTGAGTCAAGAGACATGGAGATTTCAGATTCTCAAATGGAAATTGACCACAAAGTGGGATTTGCTCAGAAATTGACCAACACAAAGTGGGATCTGTCTGCCCACAATTCAACAACCACTGAAGAATGGCTGTCCAATTTGATATTCTTGGTGAAACCAGCAATCCGTTATCACTTGTGGACCTAAGGGAACATGTGGGGTGCTCAAGGCATGAAATCTGGTCAACATGCTTCAGGCCGTAAATGATGACATCTGCTACCCTAGTTTGACCCATGGCCAAGATGGTATTCCCAAGGGCTGGCGCTGGTCGGCCAGGTACGTCCTTCCAAAACCTTTGATTTGGAGAAGACCATCTTCCGATCCCTCGAAACTTGGAGAAGAAATCGCCTTTTTTTTCTCCAAGCGACCGTTCGTGAATGATAGCAACAATTTGCCATGGGATAGCTATCAACCAGGGGAATACCACGGGAATACCTATCAACCAGCCAGTGAATGGGGATCCTGATGCGATGATCCCCTAAGTTTCCATTGTTTTCATCTGGAATCCCCAATTAAAAAAAAGACCTTGGACGTGCATCGCAGCTAGCAAATTGTTACATAAAACCAATGTTAGATTGCAATGAGATGAATGGTGGTTTGGAACATTTTTTATGTTTCCATTCAGTTGGGAATGTCATCATCCCAACTGACGAACTCATATTTTTCAGAGGGGTAGGTATACCACCAAAGAGGGGTTATTTCCTTTTATCCCGACTTATGGGGTTTACTACCATATATAGTTATATATAGCCATCAACAACCCCTGGCCTGCACCCCCAGAATTAGATGAATGGAATATCCCCAGTCATGGCTTCTGATCGGTGCCAAGTTACGCTTCCTGGTGTCCGCACCTGGGATGCCAGGACAGCGCCATCGCGCGCTTGGCCACGAAGAATCGGATGGGTATCGAGGTGTCGAGCGGTGCAATGAGACACCCACAATGGTGATTTTTGTTAACTAAACTATTCACCCAGTTGGTTAACCCAACTAAACGAGTGATCCCATATTGATATCAAAGAATATTCATCTCAATCTCAATTCTTGTTAGTTTCCCTATGGATCCAGGTACCTTCTTAGGAAGTATGACTGGGGGTATGATTTAGGGGGTTAGCCGTACCTTCTCAGACAGTGGCCATGGATCCATAGGGTTTCTAAAGCAAATCATATAGATCACCTAGTTTAGACCCTGCGACCCTTGTTGATTGTTGGTAAACGGCTAGTTCACAACAAAAAAACAAGATGAAGCCCACGAACCCGAATGCTCACACGTATGTTAATGGTACAGATGTCAAAACACATGGATATGCAGTCACGCACAATACCTTTCTGCAATAGTTTATTTGAACAGTCTTGTACATGTTTCCCTTGTTACCAGTCTGCAGTGTGGAGTGGAAAGTGTAGAGTGTGGAGCGTGGAGTGTGAAGTAAGGAGTGTGGAGTGTAAAGTATGCAGTGGGGAGTGTAGAGTGTGTAAAGTGTAGAATGCGGAGTGTAATGTGTAGAGTGTGGAGTATGGAGTGCAAAGTGTAGAGTGTGGAGTGTGGAGTGTTGTGTGTAGAGTGTGGAGTGAGGAGTGTAAAGTGCAAAGTGTGGAGTGGAGTGTGGAGTGTAAAGTGAGGAGTGTAAAGTGTGGAGTGAGGAGTGTAAAGTGGAAAGCGTGGAGTGTAAAGTGGAAAGCGTGGAGTGTAAAGTGTAAAGTGTGGAGTGTAGAGTGTATAGTGTAGAGTGTAAAGTATAGAGTGTGGAGTGTAAAGTGTGGAGTGTGTAGAGTGTAAAGTGTGGAGTGTAAAGTGTGGAGTGAGGAGTGTAAAGTGTGGAGTGTGGAGTGTAAAGTGTGGAGTGTGGAGTGTGAAGTGTGGAGTGTGGAGCGCAAAGTGTAGAGTGTGGAGTCTGGAGTGGAAAGTGTAGAGTGTGGTGAGTAGAGTGTGGAGTGTGGAGTGTAAAGTGAGGAGTGTAAAGTGTGGAGTGTGGAGTGAGGGGTGTAAAGTATAAAGTGTGGAGTGTGCAGTGTACAGTAAAGTGTGGAGTGTGGAGTGGAGTGCGGAGTGTGGAGTGTGGAGTGCGGAGTGTAAAGTGTAAAGTGTGGAGTGTGGAATGTAAAGTGTGGAGTGTGGAGTGTGGAGTGGAAAGCGTAGAGTGTGGTGTGTAGAGTGTGGAGTGTGGAGTGTAAAATGTAAAGTGTGGAGTGTAGAGTAAGGAGTGTGTAGTGTAAAGTGTGGAGTGTGGAGTGTAAAGTCTCAGGTGAGGAGTGAGGAATGTAAAGTGCAAAGTGTGGAGTGTAAAGTGTAGAGTGTGGAGTCTAAAGTGTAAATTGTGGAGTGTGGAGTGTAAAGTGTAGAGTGTGGAGCGCGTAGCTTCCCCCATAGACACGGCGACGCCACAGGAAAACCAGAGACTCGAGACGAGACACGTGGGTGCAAAAAAACGAGCATTTCGTTCGAGACTTCCTCCAAGCTTGATATTTTCGACACGTTATCAAACAGGTTGGAATGTCACAAAGTGCCTTGCCTGCCACGCAAAACGACATGACAACCTGCTTGGACACATTCGAATAGGAGATGTTTTCCAGCTTCCCCAATAGACACGGCGACGCCACAGGAAAACCAGCGACTCGAGACAAGACACGTGGATGCAGAAAAACCAGCATTTCGTGCGAGACTTCCTCCAATTTTGACATTTTCAACACGTTATCAAACAGGTTGGAATGTCACAAAGTGCCGCGCCTGCCACGCAAAACGACATGACAACCTGCTTGGACACATTCGAATAGGAGAGGTTTTCCAGCTCCCCCCATAGACACGGCGACGCCACAGGAAAACCAGCGACTCGAGACAAGACACGTGGATGCAGAAAAACCAGCATTTCGTACGAGACTTCCTCCAATTTTCACAGTTGGCAACATGACAAAAGGACAAGTTTTGCAGCTTCGAGGCCACAGGAAAACCAGAGACTCGAGACGAGACAGGTGGGAGCGGAGCACCAAAACGAGCATTTCGTGCGAGACCTCCGCCAATTTTCACACTTTGTAGCTTCAAAATCGACGTTTTCCTACGAGTTTTCCTTAGAACCTGAAAATTTGCAACCTCAAAATCGATGTTTCGTGCGAGGCTTCCGTCAATTTTCAGCACATCGCACAAAATGCCACGCCTGCCACGGAATTTGCACCTTGTCGCCACTTGACGCAGCCCTGCCAATGCGATTTGCAAAAAACACGCAACAGGGCACGTCTAAAGTGCTGCGCCTGCCACGAAAAATGACGATGGACACGTCCAAAGTGCTGCGCCTGCCACGAAAACTGCAACACATCTTCTGAAAACGTCGCAAAAGTATTGCGCCTGCCACGCAAAACGACTTTCGACACGTTCCAGAACACGTCTGAATGTCACGAAGTGCCACGCCTGCCACGCGAAACGAAGCAACCAGACGTCTGAAACCTCCAAAAAGGACCACCTCTGCAAAACTTACCATAGGCACGGCCATACGGAGTTCGTACGGACGGTTGCGGACGGTTGCGACCACAAACGCAACGTCGAGCGAACACACCCTCAACCCCCAGACCCCCAGAGTGAAACGGGAACCCTTGCTACATCTTGCTACGCATTCGGGAATAAGTTACTCTAGTGCTGGAATGTGGTCTGGAATTGGGTAAGTGTTTTGGAGACAGAGTGACTCGAACATGTTCATTCTTTCACGACTTCAACCTTGCTTGCTGCACATGTTCTCGGAATTGGAGTGCACGTTTGAAATGTTGAAATGGAGGTTAAAATGGGGGTACCCCTAAATCATCCATTTTAATAGGATGTTCCATTATAAACCATCCATTTTGGGGTACCGCCATTTATGGAAACCACCAAATTCAGAGTTTCCATCCATCAAGTCTTTGCAAGGGCAGAGACCAATTGCACTTAGCCGTTTGATTACTGCTTCACTTCTGCTTGATGCTTGCTGTACCACTCTGATTATTGCGTGCATGTTACTTTGAAGCCATAAGGATCACTAGATTACAATTTCTCGAAGAGGTTTTTCCACCATCAGTTCGGAATATGAACCCCTCAAAATGATGGAACAGTTGCACAAAATTATTTTGACAGCCATTTCTTAACTCATCTGAACTCGGTAAACAATCTATCCCATACCCAAAAGTGCCCCAAGCGAGCCGTAGTTTATGTATCATGCACTAGGTATTGCTGTTTTGAAATTCATTTTCTTTTGTGAAGTCCTCATGTTTGTTTGTAAATCCAAGTCGCGTGGGTTGAATTTCAAGTAATGATGATATGTTCCACGAGTTTGTTACCCTTTAAACATATATCATATATATATATATATATTCATATATCATCTTGAAATTCTCACCCCTGGTCGACCCTATCATCGTCGTAAACGCTCCTCACAGATCTCAAGGTTGTCAATTACATCCGGATTTTGTGGGTGGTATATTAAAAAAAACATATAAACTGGGGGTTTCAACTTGCCAACAATGGCTTACTGTAGGTATATCATACATAATATAAATATATATATATATATATATTATTATTATTATTTTTATTATGATTATGATTATGATTATTATGATTATTATTATTATAATATATATATTATATATATATATATGTATTATATATATATATATATTAAAGTAAGCCAACTTTCCAAAACGTTCACATCTAATCTCCGGGCCAACTTTCAACCCGCAGCCGCTGCCGCAGGTCTTTTGGTCGGACGAAGTGGCGCGAAAGATCGAAGCCGACTTCAAGGCTCTGCCGATAGCTCCTGCGCACGACCAGGCGTCAGGGTTGGGCGCAGGATGGCGCAGGGAAAAAATGGGAAACTACCCTCTGGTAAACTAACATAACTATGGAAAATCACCATTTTTAATGGGACAACTCACTATAAATGGCCATTTTCAATAGCTATGTTAAATTACCAGAGGGTAGCACCAAGAAGAGATTAGAATTTCTTAGAGCTGTTTAGAGATATAGGTTTGATGATTTGAAGAAAACATCGTATTAATTATTAGTCAAGAAAGAGATTCTACAGGCAAATGACAAAGTCGTCTCTTTTTTCCCCTAAATTGAGGAATTTAATTTCGGGAGAGCAAATTTTGATTGAAACCCAACAGAATCGTTGCTGGGAAATTCCTGCGTTTACACTGGGAACTGCATCTTCAATTTCCTGATGTGCAAACACTACCCGGGCAAAAATAGCCTAAATTTAGTGCCGAAAACGCTCAAGATTTGTGGCGTTCACATTGGGCGGAACATCAAAGGGATGACTAAGGGATGACTTCCTGCTGCGTTTACATTGGGGAATGCACAAAAGGGACGCAGAGGAGGATATGGACGTCCTTTTCCTGATGGTTTTGGAGATGGCTTTTTGAGTATTGATAGAATGATTTTTGTGCGTTGCTGTTTGCAAATAATGCTCAACTGCTCAACTGTTGAGGTCAAAATGTAGCGGAATTGGATGGTTGAATAGTTGAATCCTTGGGTTCCAATGATGACTGGATGAATCCAGTCGAGGCGTTGCTGGACTTCATGCTGCTTGGCAACGTAGCAGAGATGTCACTGATGGTGAAGTTTGGGGGATTCATCAAGATCCGATTTCAGGTTGGGTGCGTAATTACGTAATTCTAGTTTACCCATATGCTATTGTATTATGTCATTATGTGTATATAATTATATATATACATCTGGTTGGTGGTTTGGAACATTTTTTATTTTTCCATAATATATGGGCTAATATATGGGATGTCATCCTTCCCATTGACGAACTCATATTTTTCAAGATGGTTATTGCGCCACCAACCAGACATGATTTAGCCTCTGGTAAACTAACACAACTATGGAAAATCATGGAAACTCATGGACAATCATGGAACATCACTATATTCAATGGGCACAGTAAATCACTATTCTGGTTGGTGGTTTGGAACATGTTTTATTTTTCCATTAAGTTGGGAATAATCATCCCAACTGACTAATATTTTTCAGCGGGGTTGAAACCACCAACCTCACGTCGTGACCTCACTGGAGTCATGGTTAGCAAGAAGAATCATCCCCAGTCATGTCCTTTTGTAACTTATGTCAGCTTAGTGAAATATTATCTATATATATAATGTACCCAGATATACATATTTATATTTGTATATAAATATGTATATATGTATATATGTATATATTATATATGTATATATGTATATGTATATATATACATATACAAATATACATATATACATATATACATATTTATATGTATATATATATATATATATATGTATATATATGTATATATATATATATATGTATATATACATACATACATATACATATCCATCATCAGATACCAACTCTTTTTAAGAGCATTAAAGCACCTTGTGCACCGCGTTCGCGTCCTCAGGAAAAATGACTGCAATTTCGCGCCGCTGCAGCTGCAGTAAAGAGACATTCCCCTGTCCAGTCAGCAAACGCCTATCCCTTCAATGTGAGATAAGTAATGGGTTATAAATGGATTACAAATGGGTTATACAATTATTATCCCATTAACTCTAGACTATAGATATGTCATCTATAAACCAAAGTTATTGGAGTTATAAACAAACTTAGCTATCGTGTGGGGGCCCACTTTGTATACTTGTAGGATTGTATATCTTTCAGTCGCAGCACTAGGAACGTAGGTTCGCCTTACACCTGGAGTGTAACCAGGACAGATGTACACAGCGGCATGCTGTGCCTGCTGGGAGATGGCTATTTGGTTTTGTCTCAAACCCAAAATCCAATAAGTTATCATCATGTTCCTTATTAAAACTGCCATGTTGATCCATTTTGGGGTATACCGCACCCGTTTTCATTCATCCCAACATAGTTTTCCACCCACAGAAGTGCACCAAGGATGGAACATTGTGATGGATCCTTCATGGACCACTTGCAGTGTCTCTTTCGAAATGATCCGATCTGCGTCGAAATGGTGTTCTAAGAATGGACACGTCGAAGATTCCATAAAAATAGACGGTTCATTAAAACTACCCTGGTTGATTGGTTCATACAGGCACGTATACTTCCTGATTGAGATGGGATATATAGTTGTATATTTGATGGCTCAGATGATTTAAATATTCACTGGGGAAATGTGAATGGGTGTTGTAGTATCTTTGAATAGTACAACCTTTTTGCTGTATATTGACGACATTAACCATCCAAGCAAACATGCTCAGCATCTAATGATTAGCCACAGTTGCTCACAAGAATAGGGAAAAACAATAGAGGTTTCCTAAAATGGGGGTACTCCAAAATAGATGGTTTGTAATGAAAAATCATATTACAATGGATGATTTGTAAGAACCCCCATGACGCCGCCGAAACCTCCAGCCATGGGTCATTCATGACAACAAACCCTCGGTAGCCGACTTGGTGGATCATCCCAGTCATAAAAATGGATGGTTTTAGTGGGAAAATCATCTAGAAGTGGTGGACATCTTCATTGCCATGTTTGATTACCGGAGGGTATTCCCATGTGTAAGTGGTTCATAACTCATCTAATCCAAGTTATGATCCGTTTTTTGGTGATGAACTCCGCTGTCGCGTCCTTAAGGTTTTGCTACGAATATTCCGTAGCACACTTCAAGGACCATTCCCCCAAGGTGCTGTTCTTGCCACTCTGCCGCAGACATCCGCAGACTTGGATCTCATTGATTTCATCCCATGAGAAACGAATTGCGTGGTAAACCCTGCCATGATATCCCAACTAACCATCCCCAAGTCATATCCCCCCATGGCATCCCATGGCTGCTATGTGTACCATCCCCAGTCATCCGCCTGGGAACCGTTGGGCTTTCCGAGGCACAGTATCATGGGTGTGGGCACCAACTACTTCCCGATGAAGGTGGACAAGCTGCCGCAGCTGCAGAAACTCCTCAGCGACGAGGAGCGTTTTTTGGTTTTTTTTTTCGGCCAGAAGTTGATCATGTGCAGTTGAAGAGTCTGAAAAAAACATAAAAAAATATGCTGTTGATTTCCCCCAGCGACACAGGAATTCAAGCACATCGAGGCTGGGGTATGATATGTTTTGAATGTTTTGGTGGTGGCTGGGTTCGATTAACCACAAAACACTAATATGCAGATCATAAACTGAACCAAAACATTGCAAAACCAGGTTTGAGTTGTGGTTTTTTGTTCGCAAGATTTTTGTGGTTTTGCTGGTGTTGAAAGATCGAACCACGATGAGAAATGGGTTTGTCAAAATCCCGTTTCAAGACCCAGGTGCATCTTACAAGAATTTAGTATTTAATGTGGTTCTTTTTTGAAGTCTTCTTGCAGAGCCAACTCTTGACTTCAACAAACGATATGTGCATTTTTCTACACATAAATCACACTCGGCTTTCTCGGCAAGGCATTCCCCAGCATCCTCAGACTAATGCTTCAATTTGATCTGCTGCAGCAGTTCCAAGACATGGGTAGCTTGGCGCTCCGCGCCAGGATTGATTTTCTGTAGCTGTTCTGATGTGGATCATGCGGCCTAAGCTATCCCATTGATGCAAAAGAAATCGGTACTGGGATGATATATATTCGGAATATGTTGGGATTTGAATCCGCATGCTGGCTCAATCCATTCTCATGAAGATCTCACATAAAATATGATATACCCTCTGGTTATGACTAACATAGCCATGGTATAGATGGCCCATTTATAGATGATTTTCCCAGCTAGAAACCTCCATTTATAAGGGATTTTCCATTTCGCTATGTTAGTCATAACATGTCATAACCAGAGGCTAAATCATGATAAACCATACTATTAATAGGTAAACCATGGTAAACCATCTATTTCTATGGACCATTTTCCAGTTCGCTATGTTAGTCATAACCAGATGATATACTCAGTTAGTACACCCCCCACTGCATGACTTCAGATCCTCGCCAAGGTGCAGCCAAGGTCGGTGAGACTTTGGACGGCATCAAATTCCATCGGGTCATTGACAACAAGAGCCTTGGAGGAAAACTGGGGCATTGCCCACGGTAGCGTAAAATACATCGTTTAACCCCCTAAAATCTATGGTTGTTGGAAATTAAGAAACAAACATTGACTGGAGATGGAACTTGGACATGTAAACACGTAAGATATTGTAAGATTATGTACGACCTTTCACTGGAAAATGGTTTGGAACATTTTTTATTTTCCCATATATTGGGAATACTCATCCAAACTGACTCATATTTTTTAGAGGGGTAGGTATACCACCAACCAGTTTCAACACTTTTTTTGTTTGAATATGTGCAGCCTTGAACTGGCTACTGTAGTGAGCTCACAATTTTCACCGCCTCAATGGACCGGGAAAGTGGAACGGTGCCGAAGTCGTTCAAGCCAGTCGTTTTCCGGCAAAAAGACGTTGTATTTGGGTACACTCTGGTAAACGTTTACATATCTATGGAAAATCACCATTTTTGATGGGTAAATCAACTATGTCTATGGCAATTTTCAATATGTTAGTTTACCAGAGGGTACATGTCATGGAAACTATGCAGGAAACCGAAATGGAATTGATTGTGCAGATGATTCTTTCTGCTCTACGATGAGTTTATGTGGATAAACTCCATCTAGTTTGGTAGGTTGATGATGTTTCATGGGTTAAGACGGTTAAGATTCAGCCATGGAGGTGCACTTCATATCCTGACCATAGTTACCCTCTGGTAAACTAACATAACTATGGAAAATCACCATTTTTAATTTGCTAAATCCACTATAAATGGCCATTTTCAATAGCTACTGTATGTTAGTTTACCAGAGGGTACATGTCATGGAAACTATGCAGGAAACCGAAATGGAATTGATTGTGCAGATGATTCTTTCTGCTCTACGATGAGTTTATGTGGATAAACTCCATCTAGTTTGGTAGGTTGATGATGTTTCATGGGTTAAGACGGTTAAGATTCAGCCATGGAGGTGCACTTCATATCCTGACCATAGTTACCCTCTGGTAAACTAACATAACTATGGAAAATCACCATTTTTAATTTGCTAAATCCACTATAAATGGCCATTTTCAATAGCTACTGTATGTTAGTTTACCAGAGGGTACATGTCATGGAAACTATGCAGGAAACCGAAATGGAATTGATTGTGCAGATGATTCTTTCTGCTCTACGATGAGTTTATGTGGATAAACTCCATCTAGTTTGGTAGGTTGATGATGTTTCATGGGTTAAGACGGTTAAGATTCAGCCATGGAGGTGCACTTCATATCCTGACCATAGTTACCCTCTGGTAAACTAACATAACTATGGAAAATCACCATTTTTAATTTGCTAAATCCACTATAAATGGCCATTTTCAATAGCTACTGTATGTTAGTTTACCAGAGGGTACATGTCATGGAAACTATGCAGGAAACCGAAATGGAATTGATTGTGCAGATGATTCTTTCTGCTCTACGATGAGTTTATGTGGATAAACTCCATCTAGTTTGGTAGGTTGATGATGTTTCATGGGTTAAGACGGTTAAGATTCAGCCATGGAGGTGCACTTCATATCTTGACCATAGTTACATAACTGGTTGGTGCTTTCAAACATGTTTTATTTTCCATAATATATGATATATGATATATGGGATAATCCTTCCCATTGACTAATATTTTTCAAGATGGTTAAAACCACCAACCAGATAACCTCAGGTTATTCATGCAGGTCTCACCCAAAAAGCCCTGCGAACTGCAGGAAGATCTCCTTGGATGCGGAGTCCTTCTGGGCGCCTTGGGATAGCCATGGAAGATCGGATCAACAATGTTCATGATGCGAGTTGAAAGTAACCTATATCCCATAGGATCCATGTATGGTATATATGCTAACATTTGGGGTATATTGATGGTAAATGTTACCATATATAGCATACATGGATCCTATGGGTATAGAAATAGGTTGATGTTAATCATATAATATCATATATAGTAGTTCTAGGGTTTCATATTTATTGCTATTCATAAAGTAACCGTGTGTTTCAAGTAAGAAACGCACCGCCACCGCATCATGGTTTTCGGAAATAGGATTGTTCCAGATGCCCGGGATTGCCTTAAGACAGAGTCGATGAGTTCTCCTGGACCAAAAAATGCAACTCCCCACTCTTGATGGTAAATAATTTAAAAGCCACATTTAAATGGATTTTATACCATAAAATGGCAAGTTTTTCACCGCGAACATGATGATAAACCATCGGATTTTGGGGAGATCTATATGATGATATGGATACTTTAAACATGTTCAGGCCACCAACATATTTATTTTCATCATGAATGACATCCCGTTTATACATTTCCAGCATGTCCCACCAGGAATTTCACAGGGCCGCCCTGTTGAGGTGCAGATGAATTACCAACTGATTCACCTCATGGACTTCCTTCCTATCGCCGATTGGTCCGACAGGACGAGGGGAGGGTTGGGAGCAAAAAGGTGAGATGGGGCGGCTTAAAAGCAGCATAGTATATGGCTGATATAAGATGGGGATTTCTTGAAAATGGTGGATCCCCAAGTCACCATAGGTTTCAATACTGAGATATGGATAGATATGGTGTAATTTGGATTGGGGATCCCTCATTCTAGGAAACCATTATATATGATGTGATTTGAAATAGAACCAACAAACCTGCTTGGTGGTTACCAGCATGTTCATGTTAATTGTTCATATGTTGTTAAACTGTTTTCACCATACTTGGTATGATGATACTAGTCGACTCTCTTATTGTGCAGTGGCGTTAAACCGGTTAACGGGACATGTACTGTACGCGATTGTATTGGAAAATGGAAGGTACCCCATAGAAAGGGCTTTATCTTGAAAGCTAAATGGAGTTTGCCAGAAAATCAATTTCAGGAGGTTTCATATGTTTCATGAGGTTTCCTAAGTCTGGGGGTACCCCCAAATATTTGATTCATCATGATTCATCCATTTTAGATTAGGATTGTCCATTAACCATCCAGCTCTTGGGGTAGCCTCATATGGTTTAGTACTCAACCAGCAAAAAATCACTCCTCTTGGAGCCTGTTCTCCCGAACGGAATCATGGTTTTTATAGGGGAAATCATCCCCAAATGGCTGAACTATTCAGGTTAGTGAATTACTATAATTTACCCAGCATCATACCCCAGTTTCATCTTACAATGCCTGGGATGCACCAAAAAAGAAAAACAGTCAGTCACATCTTATCACCTTATCTCAGGCTGCTGAATGAGGCGGTTGTTGAGCCAGATATGGTCAATCATGTTCAAAATATGCAGGATGGATGACACCTACATGGATGTGTTCCTGGTGGTCTACCAACTGCTCAAAGATGCTGGTAAGCTCAAGGTGCCTGGGATTTGACGCTGATGTTGTTTCCATTCCATAAATAGCTAAGTTGGTCTATAACTCCGATAACTATATGGTCCATGATACTTACAACTATAGGTAATGGGGTTTGTAAAGCAACTCATACTTTAACCTTGTTGGTGGTTTGGAACATGTTTTGTGTTTCCATTCAGTTGGGAATGTCATCATCCCAACTGACTGATTCATATTTTTCAGAGGGGTTCAAACCACCAACCAGACATGATTTAGCCTCTGGTAAACTAACATAACTATGGAAAATCATGGAAAATCACTATATTCAATGGGTAAATCAACTATAAATGGCCATTACCCTCTGGTGATTTGTTACGTAACTGATGGGGGGCCTGAAATGTTTAACGCCCGACGAAATTCCTCACCTTGGATGAGCTCAACGACGTGCTCCGTCGCTGAGGCGACGCTTTAGGGCCAGTCTTTCCCGGCTGACTCAAGGTCGTCCACCAAGATATCAATATATAATATTATTATATATATAATTATATTATGATAGTTATCAATGTATGTAACAATGTATAATATATTATAATATATTATATATAATATATTATAATATATTATATATAATATATTATAATATATTATAATATAATATATTGTAATATATTATATTATATTATATTATATTATATTATATTATGTTATTATATTATATTATATTATATTATGTTTATAGATGTAATAAACTAGAATTAGCAATGCTTAGGGGACCGCAACGTCGCAGAAAACTGGAATGGACCGAACTTCCTGAAAATTCGCACATGCCTTCAGGCAGAACAATATCAGGACATGAGCAATAATGGAAAATTGGAGTAACAAGAATTTCGATCATAAGTTGTTTTCCTGTTTTTTTGCCCTATGAACAAAATCAACCTAGCTACCAGAAATTGATTCGAAATTCTAAGTCCCCCATCTATGTTGCTGAAGTGCCCCATGTATTCGAATTCCCTGCAACAACAACACATGGGTCGGGCCGGGCCGTCACTCTCACCCTGAGGCGCACGTCGACCTGGACCTGGGGAAAGTGGAGAATCCAACTGGCAACAGCACTCCTCTCACCTTAGTAGGCGAACAAAAATTCGGAAGGGATCGCGTGGCGATAGAATGGGAGATAGGGCGGACTTTTCATCTGGGTGAGATATGATCATGTTAAATGACTCTTAAACATCCCCGTGGCAATTTCCACGCTAGAAATGGATGATTTGTGCATAGTCTAAGCGAGATCCGTAATGTATTGGAATTTCAAAATTGGAGTCAGGTTAGTCATTTTATTGTTAAGGGGTTGGTCTGAGCATTTTATTGGCCACGGAAATCCTGATGATTTTTAACATGTTAAAATTCCACTCTAATTTTATTGCAAAAAATTGAGTGTCTGGAGCATTTTATTGCAGAATGGAACCAGTGCTTTTCCAGGATCTCTTTATATCGATTTTATTGGGCATATCATTTTAGATCAGCGAATTTTAAGGAATTTGAAGGAATTCTAAGGAATTTGAAGGAATTCTAAGGAATTTTAAGGAATTTTAAAGAATTTTAAAGAATGTTAAAGGAATTTTAAGGAATCTTAAAAGAATTTTAAGGAAGTTTAAAGAGTTTTAAAGGAATTTGACGGAATTTGAAGGATTTTGAAGGATGTTTAATGATTTTAAAGGATTTTTAAGGAATTTAAAGGAGTGTTTTGAAGTTTAAGCAATTTTAAGGATGTTTAAAGAATTTTGAGGAATTTTAAGGAATCTTAAAGGAATTTTAAGGAAGTTTAAGGAATTTTAAGGAATTTGACCGGAATTTGAAGGAATTCGAAGGATTTTTAATGTTTTTACAGGATATTTAAGGAAGTTTAAGGAGTTTTTTTGATTTTTAAGGAATTTAAAGGATTTTTAAGGAATTTTAAGGAATTGCTACGAAAGAATGCCACCGTATTTTGTTGCTACAGAATGCTATAAAAGAAGAAAAACACTAAATATATTTGAGCACCTTCACTCTAAAATACATCTATCTAAAAAGAATTTCCTGACCCCTTTTTAAAGAGGCATTTCTGAGGGTCTTCAAATTTGGATGAACTTGGATGCCAATTCGGCGTGAATTTGCTGGAACCGCATTTTATAGCAGAACCAGTTCTCATTGTTTTTGTGCATTTTAAAGCCTGAGGCCCTATGCACAAAAGCTAGACCGCTCTAATTAAAACTGCTGCACATTATCACATAATGAATTGGCACCCCGATTCTTAAACATTCTAAGACTGGGTTATAAGTTATATATAAATCACAATGATTGTCCCAATCAAATTCCACTTGACACCATTGATGGGGTATAGTTGCATCGAGCTCGCGTGACGCATGTTTTGCAGATATTCATACAAGGTGCCTTAGTTTGGAATCGCTAACGTTGATTTAACATGCGTCCTACCTTAGGAAATTATTTTGAGGTGGGAGTAGGTTATGGAATATTTCCCCACCTGCCAGGTGAGGGTTGTTAGATTTTATGTCAGTTGCCTGCTCCTCCTCTCCTCTCCTCCTCCTCTCCTCTTCCTCTCCTCCTCCTCCTCCTCGTCGTCCTCCTCCTCGTCGTCCTCCTCGTCCTCCTCGTCCAACTGCGACCCGCGATCCACAGTGTTCTCTGTCGGACCTCAACCACGACCATCCATGCTCAGTGTTCGCTGCCGGACCTCAACCACGACCATCCACGTCAGTGTGCCCTGCCGGACCTCAACCACGACCATCCCCGCCCAATGTTCCCTGCCGGACCTCAACCACGACCATCCACGACCATCCACGCCCAGTGTTCCCTGCCGGACCTCAACCACGACCATCCACGCCCAGTGTTCCCTGCCGGACCTCAACCGCGAGTATCCACGCCAAGTGTTCCCTGCCGGACCTCATGTAGGAAGATATGGGACAAAGAATGTGCAGAAGAAAGTTAGAAAGAATGTGCACCGCTGGACCTCAACGGCCAGATAGAATGCCAGAAGATATGCCAGGTGGAATGTCAGATAGAATGCCAGAAGATATGCCAGATAAAATGCCATGAGACATGCCAGATAGAATGCCTGAAGGTATGCCAGAAGATATGCCAGATGGTATGCCAGATAAAGTGCCAGAATGTTTGCCAGATAGAATGCCAGAACATTTGCCAGATAGAATGCCAGATAGGATGTCAGAAGATATGCCAGAAGATATGCCAGATAGAATGCCAGATAGAATGCCAGAAGATATGCCAGAACATATGCCAGATAGAATGCCAGAAGGTATGCCAGATAAAATATCAGATAGAATGCCAGAAGGTATGCCAGATTGTTTGCCAAATAGAATGCCAGAAGATTTGCCAAATAGGATGGCAGAAGATATGCCAGAACATATGCCAGAAGATATGCCAGGTAGAATGCCAGAAGGTATGCCAGATCGAATGCCAGAAGATATGTCAGATAGAATGCCAGAAGATTTGCCAGTAACAAATCGATAAATGTCATGGTGGGGATCACACGAAGTAAAGTATTTTTTTAAAAATAATTTCCAATTTTTAACATAAATTTTATGTTAACATCAGCGAACAAGAACCATAGCAAAATAATTTATGCACCCGTAACCCGATGATGGTGCAAAATAATTTTCCACCTACAGAGGTTGAAACACCTTGAAATAATTTTAAGCAAACAACCGAAGGCACCTCAAAATAATTTCTCAGTTGAACTGGGGAAATTATTTCATAGAGTCCCAACTGTATAAAATAATTACCAGACACCCAGGATGAAAATTATTTCATGGGGAAGTTGAGTTTTGCAAGGTTAGGTTATTTTGTTTTCTGGGGTGGTCTGGTAGTACCCCCACCCCCCAAAATAATTTTTTGGGGAGAGAGGAATCGATTCAGGTTTCTTTGCCCAAAAGTCGATGATAAGTCGATGTTCTAAGACATAAGTAGTTCAGTAAGTAATTCATGGTAATTCTCAGGGTTTGTCTCTTTGAGGCAATTTGGATACAGTTTGGGTCAACTTGATTCAATTTGGATTCAATTTGGTTCAATGTAGTATTTTTGAACTATTCAAGGGGAAATTAATTTTGCCAGGTTAGGCTATTATTTTTTCTGGGGTGGTCTGGTGGTACCCCCACCCCCAAAATAATTTATTGGGTAGGAAGGGGTCGATTCAGATTTCTTTGTCCAAAAATCGATGGTCTAAATAATAAGTGGTTCAGTAGTGAACCACCCCCAAAATAATTTTTGGGTGTGAAAGGGGGTCGGTTTAGAGATGATTTATTTGATTTCTGCCACAACCTCCAAGTGGTTTAGTGCTTGTCGGGTGCATTCGAGAGGAGAGGTAGGGTGACCCCCCAAAATAATTTTGTGGTGTTTTTTGCTAATTATTTTGAGGTGGTTCTACTTGTTTTTTCAATCATCCAAAACCATCTTAAACCACCTCGAAATAATTTCCAAAATTATTTTGAAGTAAGGGAAGTGTTTTTGAGTAATAGTGGAACCCAACCAAATATTTTATTTGCAACCTTTCAGAAATTATTTTGGGGGGGTGGGTAGTGTCAAAGGAAATTGTTTTGAGGTGGGTTAGAGTGTTTTTGAAAAAATATTTTGAGGTGGGTTGTGTACTAGAAGCACCTCAGATTAATTCCTAAAAATTATTTTGGGGGGTGACCCTAGTGTTTTTACCTATGGTAGCCCGCATGATTTAACCACGTGGCTTGGCTAGGGTTTCTGGTAGATAGATATATATATATATTAATATACTGGTTGGTGGTTTGGAACATTTTTTATGTTTCCATATATTGGGAAGAATAATCCCAACTGACTAATATTTTTCAGAGGGGTTGAAACCACCAACCAGTACAGTATATATCGAACTAGTTAGATGGAGTTATCTACTAACAAACATACCTGGGGTATACTGGGGGCACCACTATTCATACTGGTCCCAAGGTTCAGTCGATGGCCCATATCCCAGATTCATTTGTGTGTTGTATTTTTAGGTTGTTATGGGTTCAAAATAGGGGTACCCAACAACACAAGGATTTGGTATGATTCGATCATGTTCGGTGGGAAATCATCCATTGCTGCTGGTTAATCATTTTCACCCATGCCCATGTCTATATCTCACATCCTTCATCCAGAATACTCATGAGTATAACCATGGGATTTTAGCCCCCATAAGTTGGGATATGGCCCCCCCCACAACTATGCTGGAACTGCACCTTGAAGTACAGCTGTGCCATATACCATAGACTGATGCGGTGCAAGGGCATTCTCCTTGCACGCTATGGGAGGCTTCCTGATGAACCGGGTGGTGCCTTCTGGTATCTGGGCCGCCGCACGGAAGGACAAAGAGTGCAGGCCTATGTGGCATACAAACCCCGTGTATTCTATGCAGCAGGAACTCAACATTCCTTCATTTTGGGAAGTTAATGTGGGAGGGGATGCCATGACATGATGTTTCATGGATGTTTTAATAGGAACATGATGATGAAACAACGGATTTAGGGGTACACTAATGACGAACCCATATGGGTCATATGTGTCATGTATGTTTCAGGCTCAACATACATCTTAGGAGGTCGAGTCATATCCACACCACTTGTTCACTCTCAACTTGAATGATCCTGTAGCTTAAAATCGATGGTCTTGTAAATTGGAGCCCTTAAAACTTGGGATATATTGGGATATATACCAAGTTAATCCAATTTATATTCAAATAATTTCACATATATCAACTTAATTCATCTTATTTCAAGTTCAGAGGTTGCCAAATTCCTCCTGTCTTCTGGGCTGATCGCATCCAGGGATGCCATTTTTTTTTCACCCAGGTCTGAAGCGTCGCATTCGGCAGAAAGAGATCACGAAGTGGTCCACTGAAATCGGACACACCGGCAGCGGGAAACCGGTTTTTTTGTTTGGGTCATATGCCCAAAAGGTCTGGTGTATTGAGGGTTGTACCATGTTGTACCCGGTATGTTTTCGGTATGTAGAAGTTGATTGGGGTTATAGATGGTTATAGCAGGTTATAGCTTGTAACCTCATTACTATCTCATGGCTCATTACCTAGCGGTTTGCGTTCCTGCAGTGACACTGAAACTGAGAGTACCTGGTGATGTCGATGTCATCCATATTCGTCAACGACTCATATTCTAAGGGGCAGGCCCAATCACTGGCAACCACCGGAGGCCTCGAACGGCGCAGGACACAGTTTGGAGTTTGAAGTCCTTTGGAAGGGGAACTCCAACTTGTGAGTGGACTGGGCTACCAGAAACTGGTCGCTGCCCTCAAAAGATGCAGCAACATGCTGCCGACCATGACCGTTTGAATGATTTAGTGATTTAGAACAAAAGATGTGCAGGAAACCTGCACTAGTTACCAATTCTCGAATATCAGACATCTCGCAACCAGAATTAGGTCCTTGGTCCTGTCATTGGTAGGAAGTGTCGAGTGTGCAACGCGTTTGTTGGAACCGTTGCACAGCAGTGGCGGCGCGTTTTGCGAGTTTGAAACCAGTGCTCCGTGAGGGAAGGCATTCCAACAAGAGGGGGAGATGTTGGCAAACATTTTAAACATTCTGCCAAAAACTCTACAGTTTTTGTTTTTTTTTGTGGTGCCGATATACAGAAGAAGCCCCGGATTTGACCGCTGAAATGGACCACATGGGCTGCCTTTAGGGAGAGGACAGGTTGTGGCAGCCTGAAAAAGAGTCTATTTGTTCGGAGAAATGCAGAGATTGCTCCTTCTGGATTCCGGCTCTCTTTCGAACTTTGTACAAGGGATGCCCTGACCATAGAGTATAAAAATCACTTGCATGCAGATTCGTGGATGGATCGATGCCTCAACACAATTACAAAGCGGATGGTGTGATATGAACTATCTGTGAAACAGATATGGGTGTTCCATGTGTTTCCTAAGTCATGGAGTAGCCCCAAATCATCCAAGTCAGTAGAGGATGACTTGGTATTGAAACCTATGAGCCTATGGTGACTTGGGGTACCCCACTTTAGGAAACATCCATTTGTGATTGGATTAAGTTTTATCAATATAACCCCTCTATGATCATTCTTGATATTTACAAATAGGGTACTGAATCCCAATGATAAGGATACTTAAGTATGAAGATTGACATCCATTTGTACTTCATGGTATAATGATGCAGGACTCAGGGCTCGGTGTTTGTTTTTGAGCGGCTGTTGGTGTAACATGTTAGCCAATGAACACGTGGTCAAACTATTTCTCTATGCAGCCACCCACTCAAACCATAAAGGCATCAGCACATACCCTGCCAACATACTCCTCCACATCCGAATGCAAGGCCAACTCATGCCGAAATCAAGCCGCACATGACACTAATATTTATCCTGGCGACGCCGGGCGCCTCTTTACCCAAAGCAGATCTGTACTCAACCAGAACCAATGTACCCAAGGATTTTTAAGCAATAATACTCATAGTTTGCATAATGGAATATAATATTATATATGTAATATACCCTATGGTAAATAAACATAGACCCTGAAAATGACAAATTTTTAGTGGAAACTAATCTTCCAACCCCCATCTGCCAGGGTCTATGTTAATTTACTGGAGGGTAATATGATATAATGTACTATATTCTCGTCATCCACCCAAACCCAAACATACTTCACCCCATTGCTGGCATCCAGGCGCTGAAAGAGAGCAAAGAGCTGCCCGGAGCCCAGCTGCGGTTAATGAAAATCACATGGAGAATTACTGATTGTTATGAATATTACAGTAATAATAATGAAGTGATTGTTAAACATAAATTGTCAGTTTGAGTCATATTCATCAGAATCTTTAACATTTGACTAACAATATTGATGATCAAATGATGATATATTAATTGACAAACAGTCATATTCATCATCAAAACCTGTAATATTGATCAGCAGCAGCAGCAGCAGCAGCGGCAGCGGCATCAGCATCATCATGATCATGATCATCATCATCATCATCATCATCGTCATCGTCATCGTCGTCATCGTCGTCATCGTCATCATCGTCATCATCGTCATCGTCATCATCATCATATTGACATCATCTAATTTAAATATTCATCATCTTAATCGTCATCATATTTGCAAACTTTGTGATCTCCATCACATAGAGTTTTGCTGTGTGTTATTGGTGTTATTTGCCGGATAGTTTCTTCACCAAAGCACTATATCTGGTTGGTGGTTTGGAACATTTTTTCCCATATATTGGGAATGTCATAATGCCCAACGGACTTTCATATTTGTCAGAGGGCTTGAAACCACCAACCAGTATATATGTTTTTACTGCCATAGAGTCTGTATAGAGTGTCTGAAGTCAGCTTGCTTGTGTTGTGATTGGTTCCACCATCTTCCAGCGAGAACTTCTCGATTTTTGGGTGAAATTCCCCATGCATTCTGTGGTGCATTTGCAAAGGTCAGGGTCACTATGTGTGTTTCAATGTTTGGCAATATGACCGGGTTCCATGAAACATCATCAAACGATTAAAACTTATGAAAACAGCCATCATCTATCCCATGCATCAATTTGCGCCATGATATAACTCATGAAACTTTCCTACACCTCTGGAAATTACCCAAAAAGGACATCAAGATCATTCGAATATTGCGCAAATGAATGCAAACGACCTGATATATCAATATTCTTCAGATATGAAGAAACAACATCTGTATGTACCCACCGTCATCAGTCAGATGCCTCAACCGCCGCGTTCCAGGCCCAAGAGCTCAATCGAGCTGGGCAGCAACTGTACCAAGATGCCATCGCGTGTCAAGGGCGGCGTGCTGCGTCCGGAGCCAAGTTCGGCGTCCAAATGGGAGAGTGTTTTCGGTGAAGTTCTAAAAGGTCTTTGAAATCGAGGTAGTTCATGGTATTTCATGGTATTATTTCATGGTATTTCATGGTCTATAATATTGTAATGATTTATTTCTTTGTTTGACTATGAAGATCTAAGGATTTTGTTTTATGTGAATACATGTAGCGCGTGTACACAGGTTACTGGAGGGTGTTGTACTGCTTGTACTGTTTGTACTGCTTGCCCGTTTGTGTATGTACAGTAATTAATGACACGTAATTCCTGTGTGCATAGTCACAACGGTTCACACAAACATAGATTTGACATGGTCTGAATAGATTATGTGTAATTATATATACATACTATATATATATATAATTATACATGTTACAACAAACTGGATAGAAAATCAAGTGAAATCATGGTATATCTCAATCATTCCTGGGAGGCCCACAAGCCCAGGTCCTTACGTCTTTACTATGTTTTGGAAACCTTAGATCATGTCCAGCCAAGCTTCAGTGCACATCCTTGTTGCTTACGTCACATGTTGGTTGGTCAACACTTGTTTTTTAGATTGAACTTTAAAAGCATTGCCGCACACCAGCACTTTGAGTGGGTTTTTCATTTTTCAGCATCACTTTTTGATCAACCGCACCAATTTTGGTAAATGGAGGAGTATGGCCAGTATGGCGGCACAACCTGGTTGGATAGTTGAACAGATTGATGGTTTGCCGCGTAGAAGGCCATCATTATATAAACCGCTTAGATCCAGTTGGTAACTCCCGTGACTGATCATCAGTTCATCATCGATGTCATGAGTGACAGCCAGATGTTCTATGTATAGCCTCCATTGCGGTGGCTAAACCGATTGCTTGTAAATACAACATACATAAGTCATGAGGCATCTGGGGAGATTGTTACCATGAGTTCCTCTTAGTTTTCCATGATAATCCTATGATATTCTCGGTTATGAAGATTATTTTCTCATGATATTTCCCTAATTTTCCATGAACATTGGCGGCTATAAACACTATATAGCCACAATATGTCCATGTTTTTCAATTAAAATTGGTGCTGTTTTGGGGTCGATCCTATTGTTGCCGCCTTCGCACGGGTCACTGCCTCAGGTGAAGCAGTCACGGGCCCGAGCGACCTCAAAACCACTACTCCAGGGCCTGAGTCGGGACGCCGAGGGACCCACCTATGGAATTAGGAGAAGGTTCTGTATCTCAACATCTGTGTTTAAAGATTTGTTTGTATACTTGTGCCGTGTAATTTTACTTTGAGTTTCAGTAGACAACATATCAAATCGTCAAGTAATTATCAGGTACCCTCTGGTAAATTAACATAGACCCTGAAAATCACCAATTTATAGTGGAAACGAGTCTTCCAACCCCTATCTGCAAGGGTTTATGTTAGTATACCAGAGGGTAAAATACCCTTCAACGTGTGGGTTTGTCTGAAAACATGGTACAGTACTGCAAAATCCAGGATTTATTTTTGCTCACGTTTATCATCGTTTATCATTAACAGGCTGTTTTATTAGGTATCCATTATGTTCAGACATACCCAAATTCATTGTCCATTTGTTAAGTATGCTTAACTCCACAAGTTTGATGGTTAACCACATGTGTTTTATAATATGCTGGTAAAATACCAAGCCACATGTCTTCAAATTTGGTCAAGTTATCCACTGAATTTCAGTTTGGCACCTGAGGTATTGTCCACCTTCCTCGCTGAAACGGCAGGGGGCAGTGTACATGGGCGCCTTGGATTCCATTGAGCCGAATTTGTTGTAGTTTCAAACTGGGTTTTGTCAGTCGGACGAGTGAAAGGACGCAGAGATTCTTGAGAAACATCCAATGTAACATCCCATGCTCAAGGTTTTTTGCCTCATTGAAACATCTCATATATAGATGTTCTGGCCCTGCATGTGTTTTTTCCCTGTGAGGAGGCCAAACTTCAGTGGGATTTCCAGGCATATCAGTGACTGACCAAACAGGCAAGACAAATTCTATGTAATGAACTCACTACGTCATAGATGGATATAGATGTTTCGTAAGGGAAACCCTCAATAATATGTTCTTACTCTAGTTCAACTAATTTGGGGCTCTGAAATCATACCAACATGATCATAATTCGAGCTCAACGGTTCTGACTACTGCACCATTTAAACCGTTCCATCAGGTGTTTTGTTTCTGTCAGTTCCTCTTTTCTATTGGTTGGCTTTGTCCATTCCCTTCAAATCAAGGCCACATAGCAATAGTGACATAGTAATTGTGTGGTTCCTTTCACTATAACACTGAATAGTATTTAATAGTGGGGTTTATATATAATCCAGTTACACAAACTAGTAGGACAAACCACCAGTTTGGGGACTTACTTACCAGCATTAATTACCAACCACTTACTAACCAGCATTACCACTTACCAACCAGCATTACCAACCACAATCTCCAAGGTGATTTCCCCGTGCGTCGGAGAGACCGGCCATCGTCAGCTCCCCCGGCGCAAACTCCCAGCGTGGACCATGGCACGGCTGTGGGATTGTCAGAGAACTAGCAAACATGGGGACTTAATTTAATGGAAATTAATGGTATTTATATGTATTTATAGCATCACCACCCCTTTTAAGGCTACTTTTCAGGGGGGGCCATACCAAAATGTAAGATACATTTTTTGGGACCCCCCCTTAAATGTAAAATTGGCCGCTGAACGTCCCCCAGGTGTTGTTTTTGCAGGGAGGGTCTTCAAAATACCTTCAACATGTAAGCTTACATTTTCAAGGCCCCCCTCAAAAACACCTTGAAAAATGTAGCTTACATTTTGGGTACGTCCCCCCTCAAAACGGTGCTGATTTTATAGTTGATTTGTGGATATTTGTGGGAACTTATAATTACGGGGCCTGACCTTGTAATCTTGATTATAACTAACTTCAAAAGTTTCAATTTTCAACAGGTATCTCCATAGTCAACGGGGTTTACAAACCAACCTGTAACACTTTGTAGCTGGGGGGCACCACTAATCACTAGTCAAATTGCTTGCACCTGTGAACTTTGACAAAACAAAACAAGTCTGGGTGTTTCTTGATACTGCCGATGGTGGGCTTCATGCTATGCAAATTCGTGATCGTACCTGCAGGAGTTATATGTCATGGAACCTCTGATGCTGAGACACCCCAACCCTCCAGGAGTGGCTGAAACCCCCATCTTTGTCGATTGGGTTCCAAGAATGCTTTGCTGGTTGCGATCATAAAAAGGTTACTTCAAGTTCAATACAAAATGGTTCTTGGTTACAAAAATGGTTAACTAATTCATGTCAAATCCAAATCTTTCTGCATTCGCCATGTTCTTACTGTTGCTTAGCAGGGAATGGCTGGGAATGGGGGTTGCTGGGATGATTATTGCTAGTGATGACTGGGATCATTCCCGAACATTCCCTACGTTTAGCACCAGTAAGTATTTTCTGCATTCGCCATTTCTTTCCATGTATTATATAGTTAACTAATTGGTCAATTCCATGTACTATTTTGGATGGTTAACTAATACATTCGCCATTTTTTCCATCCAAATCCCATTTTGGCTTCCTCCCAGGGTCGATGTGATACCTCGGAGACTGGGTCCAAAGGACGGCTGTGGCTGTCGCTGCTCACCTATAGTGAACTCACCCCGCCCGATCCAAAATCTTGCGTTTAGTTGGGGGGGACTTCCCGGGAAAGTCGCCCCAACATGCGTTTACTTGCTGTGGATCAGTTGCGTAAGATAGAAAATGATGCTTTAGAAGTAAATTTTGCTTCATTTAGCTTGTGTTTACACTGGTGAACTTGTTTTTTTGTCATGCCTGGCTCATTCATGTGACCTTCAAGCAAATCCAGTCACGTGTTTACATGTCGCGCTGCCGGGGGTGGTGCCTTTCTAGAGCAGTTGCATCGATTCATCTAATTACAGTAGATGCTGGCCTGCAGCTAGGCTGTTGTCGGGCTGATGCTAAATGGCTGCGGTGCTGAGCTGCTGCCAGACTGCTTCTAGACTCCTGCTATAGAGACTTGCTGCCGGGCTGGTGGTACTGCTGCTAAAGCTGAGGGGGTTCCAAAACTATTTTCTGGCCTCGTTCGGGCCTCGTTTTGGCCTCGTTTTTGGCCTCGCTCGGAACCCGTTGCGGAAATATTGAGTTGAGATGTAAATCAGAACCCCATAGATTTGTTACCAAAACATACCAAAACATACATGAATCATTCGTTCACATTGTGTTTTGATCCAAAAGATGACATTTCTTAGATGTACTTGTTACACTTTTAACATTCGAATTAGATGCGTTTTGTAACAAAAGAGATATTCTACCCAAACATACATGAATCATGCGTTCACATGGTGTTTGGCTATCAAAATATATCGTTTTGTTGATAATTTTCCATAGTTTAAGACCATTGGGGTGACTTGCGTTCTGATTGTGTTTTGCACATTTGGGATGGTAGTTTTTTTTGTACTTTTTCATTTTCGTGCTGCGTTTACAATGGGCGAAGAAGTTGGGGTGACTTTTCCTGGCAGTTGGGGGACGTAGTTCCATGCGGGAATGACACCTGACTGCAACGTTGGGGGACCTTCGGTGGCGATGAGTGCCAGTTCGGATGGGACATGGGAATCCAATGATTTTTGAGGGATGATTGTGGGTTTGAAAAAAGTGGAATTGTTCATCCACAATGGATTTTGATGGATTTTGATGGATTTTTTTTTATTTTTTTGGATTTTAATGGATGTTGATGGATTTTGATGGATTTGTTCATGGATTTTAATGGATTTTGATGGATTTTAATGGATTTTAATGGATTTGTTTATGGATTTTAATGGATGTTAATGGATTTTATAACGCAAAAATTGTAAAACTTTAATGAACTTGGGGGTATGGTTTTTGGCATTGGGTATAAACCACAAGAGTAATGGAAGATCTTGAAGGATCCTCCAAAGTCAATTTGCGATGTACTGTAGATGTAGCGTATGCAGGAATATACCTAACGATGATGATGGTGCTGATGATGATGGTGGTGACGATGATGACGATGTTTGAGCAGATGCGGATATAAAAATGATATCACCAACAATACTTGCAAGTGGTTGAGAGCCCCTCATGGGCTTATCCCAGCAGGATGATCCCCTCTCTGGAGCACCTGAGTGTGGAAGCTTTCCCCGATATGAAAATTCTGCATTTATAGATGACTTCTCTAACTGATTCTTTGGAACATCGGTGTACATCGGTATTTAACTAGTTGATTTGAGTCAGCTGGTTACCAAACAGTGTGGGGTTTTCCGGGATAACTCTCGTGACTTTAGGAGACCCGTCCAAAGCAGCCGGGAGTCAACGCCCAGGGTTCAGGCGTGTTGCCATGTATGGATGACTCTTTGCATCGATGAATGGATGGGTGTGCCACTTTTGCAGATATTTGACGATATGCATGCATTTGTTTTTTTTAAAGTACTCTCGGTTAGATTTCTTAATGTATTGTTGTATTTGTCAGCCCAAAAATGAAGAATGAACTGAGTACCCCACTCACAATTATGCTTTTTGTCTAACAGCGATACCATCTTAGATTTATGTACATTTACCTTTCTCCACCAGGTCATTTTTGTGTGCATAGGAACAGATCCGGTGCCTCACATCGTGGGAAGCTCCGCTGCCAGCCATTGGTGCTCTTTACAGGGTAGTGAATAAGTTCCTGGATGTGGAAGCAAAGTGTTCATGAGCTTTTTTGGCTGCTTACTTCCTTCTTTCCACATTTCCAAGTGGTGTTTCCAAAAGTGTTTAACCTTAAACAGCTTTCTCGGCGATGTTGTTTTATCAAACATGCGACATGTGAGTATAAAATAGCCAGCAAATCAATCCCATTTTTGTTGAAAGGGTATCCATCCATCATTGATATTACAGACAGTTATAGTTGCATGTGTATATATATATATATATATATATATATCACATTATATTATATCATATTATATCATATTATATCATATTATATCATATTATATCATATTATATCATATTATATCATATTATATCATTATCATATTATATCATTATATTATCACATATTTATTGTATCCATTTATGTTACATACTCCAGTATATATCATATATGTATACGATTATTACGTGTTGCATATACTATGAAATGTATTGAAATGTATAGTTTTGCTCCGAATCCCACCCCAACAGCCATACACCAGCCGTATCTCTCCAAACTGCCAAACTGCTGTGCCAGTTTCGGGCGCAGCCAGCGAGAAACGCCGGAGAGGACATCACCTGATACCATGTACCGAGTACGGGTGTGGTATCGGGGCTTGGTGATTCACAGGTCGACAAGTCATGGATTGGTTTAAGGGAACATCTTAACCGGAAACCATAGATGTTCCCTTTAAATATGGCGTTTTCCGGTAATTTTGCCCTTCAACCAATCTATTGAGACAAGTCATGGGCGAATGTTTGAAAAAAACATTTAAAAAAAAAGGAAAAAAACACTTAAACTTTTGCAATCGATTATGGGTCTCTGGACCTGGATTATGGGTCTTGCACATGTGGTTTCATGGACCTTTTTCTTTACATAAATCAACCTAAATCAACCCTTCCTTTGAAAGGTTTTGATGTTAATACAGGTAGCCTGCTAAGATTGCTAAGATATGACCATGCCGACAACTAAGATTCCTTCGACCAATGAGATCATTGGCCCGCAATTCTTATTTAACCAATTGGGACCCTTTAGCCCTTTAGCCGCTAATTGGGAACCATGTTCTTTCAAACCCTTTTCCAATTCTATTGACGCAAAAGGATGTCCAGTCCAAATTTCGAAATAACATCATTCCTAAATCGAAATTCTGTTCAATGGGATCCCAGATCAAACAACTTCAAAGTGATTGCATTTTACATATTCAGGATCTAATTGGGATTAACTGGGTATATGGAGGCAGCAGCGACCGAAAATGGTACCAGACACATGCCTTTTGAACTATAGTAAAGGTGCATAGAGCCAACAAATCAAGATAGTAACAATCCCCAAAAAACTCAAATCTGTCAAAGGTTCAATTTTGTTAGGATCTAAACCTTAAATTTTTCAGCAACTTATTTTACAGACTTTGTGGACCTTTTTTCCGTTGCGGACGATTATGGGGCATGAGACGTCCTGAGATCTGCTGAAAAAAAAAATTTTCGGCGGAACTTTTGGGGGCCTGTGCCCCTTGATCGGTTGCATTTTTTTTTTACGGACTTTGTCCGTCGGCGGAACTCCACTACACAAATTGTGTACCTGACTTCTGCCGATTTTTTTTTTCGGCGGAACTTTTGGAGGCCTCTGCCCCTTGATCGCCTGCAATTTTTTTTACGGACTATGGTTTTTTTTGTTTTTCGGCGGAACTCCACTACACAAATTATGCACCTGACATCTGCTGAAAATATTTTTTTTCAGCGGAACTTAGTATTCAGACCTATGGTTCGGCGGAACTCAACATCACAAAATGTGTAGTGGACTTCTGCTGATTCAATGGTTTTCCCTAGGATTTCTGCTGAAAATATTTTTTTTCGGCGGAACTCAACATCACAAAACGTGCGCCTGAGTTCTGCTGATTTGTATGGATTTTCGGCGGAAGTTCATAAGTTTAGTAACAGAGCGTCCCTGCAGCATTTTCTCTCACTGGCTTGTTACTGACCCAGCTGCAATGGACGCAATGGAAGAGGATTGGAGTGAGCCTGAATTTCAGGACACTGAATTCAAAGTATGCCCCGTTTAATTGATGGACTCTAGGTCCTCTAACATATATTCTCAAGTTTTTTGGGAATTAAATCTTGTATGGGAAATATCACCCTGCCACATATATATATATATATAATATAAATATCATACATATATACATATATGTGTTTCTATCCAGGTATGTACACACAGACACATAAAAGACATATGTGTATATGTAAATATATATATATATATATGTTTGTAGGTCTGACATACGTACATATATATATATATATGTGTATGTATGTGAATATATAACTTATGAGTATACATATTTCATCGGATTCAATATGAATTCGACACACACACACATATATATATATATACAACTGTCTATATCTATCTATCACCCTGAACCACCTCTTGGTGTGTGTGTGTGTGTCTGCGGAGATGGGAATGCTGTGTTATTCTCTATTATCTTAAATATATTTTAATCAGTTATATTTAGTATGAAGGAAGTATATGTTGGTATTATATCACATGACATATATATATATATCACATGATCTGAATACAAATGCACAAACACATATATGTTATATAGTTATATAATCATATACGTGTACCTATATACATATATATATATATATTTATACATAGCTATAATTTCGTATGGGTATAATATGGGGCTCAAAGGATCCAAATTGATGTCCCCAAATCAAAATCCCAAGCCCCATAATTGACTGCAAAAGTTTACTTACTCTCTGGTACTTTCACATAGCTACGGAAAATGGATGACCATTGACCATTGTCCTTATAAACAAGATGATTTGCCTACTACGGATTGGCATTTTCCATGGCTATATGAAATTACCAGAGGGTAAATATAGTTCATAACACGGGGATACACCCGAGCATCCCAAACAAATGCGACCCAGCAGACTTTCTTGCGGGATTGCTGAGGGTCATTTGTTGAAGACTTGGGACGCAATCTCGTTGTCTTAGGGTTCAACTAGATCCGTGTTAAAGTCACAGATTGGGTTTATTCCCATTGTCATATATGCATGAATATATAATTATATATATTAATATATATTCCAATATTTTTATTGGGGAATACCTATAAGCCCACCCAGTTTTTGTTGGGATGAACCGTTGCCGTGCTGGAAGCATCCTTTTTTGCTCATCAGCCACGGTGGGTCATATTAAGGCTTTATACTCAGCTAAACAAACATGATGAAGCATGATGTTTCTCAGAGAATCTAAGGTTAAAAATGAAAATCGTGTAGGGTTTTGTATGATCTTAGATTACTTGATCGTCCTGGGCTGCAAACAAATATCTTGTCGGAATGATGCAGCTGAGACTTGCTCCCGTCCATTGATGGATTGACCCGATGCCATAAACAGCTATCGTTTTGGGATGGTTTATACGACCATGAAAACAGCCATTAAAACATGTGATGCTGGTTGGTGGTTTGGAACATTAATTTTATGACTTTCCATTCAGTTGGGAATGTCATCATCTCAACTGACGAACTCATTTTTTTCAGAGGGGTAGGTATACCACCAACCAGGATGCGGTGGTGACTTGGGGATGACTTACATGATGGCTTATGAAATTGGGTTTAGCACGCTAGAGGTACATGCCACCTTCCACGTTGCGGACGCGTGCAGCATCGTGTGGGGTCCCAGAAGGATGTTCAATAGCAACCAGGTTCCCCTCGCCCAATCCTGCCCATAATGGCACAGCGATATGTGGGATGACTAATACTGGTTGGTGGTTTGGAACATGTTTTATTTTCCATAATATATCGGATGTCATCCTTCCCATTGACTTTCATATTTTTCAGAGGGGTTGAAACCGCCAACCAGAATATGTTTAAATTGGGGATTATGTATATTTAATATGGGATTTACCCTCGCAAGTATGTTTAGCAACCAATCCCATAGGATCCATGGTGCTGGTATATATGCTAACATGACTGGGGTATATTGATGGGATCCATGTTACCATATATAGCAGCACCATGGATCCGTCATGGGAATAGATTCAATAGATCTCCCAACATGACGCCCACAGCCTGGTAAGGTGTTTGAACGGTCATCGTCCAGTCTTCGAAAGCGAGGAAGTGAGGTGCGCTACTGCGGCCCTGCGGCTGTTGGATGGGACTGGTGGATCTTGGGAATGGGGGTAGCCTCTGGTAAACATACAAAAAGCTATTGAAAATGGCCATAGAAATAGTGAGTTTTCCCATTAATAGCATGGTGATTTTCCAGTTCGTTATGTTGGTTTACCAGAGGGTACCTAGCTGTACCCAGCTTGCCTAGACTTGCTGCGAACCGTGAATGTCCCTCTGTCTCAGGCCAGACCCCCAGACGCACGAGGGCTCAGTTGGAGGGGCAGTCCAGAATTTTCACCATGGTTTATCTGAAAATAGGCTACCTCCCAAATTGGATGGTTAAGCATCATCATTTCCAAAAAGTTGAAATAGCGGTAATTCTTCACCATTTTTGATGGTTAACTCATATTAGTTACCTCCCAAATTGTTCACCATCTTTGACGGTTACATCCTATTTTTCTCTAGCATAACCATGTTTGATGTTTGAATCCCATTTTCACCATGTTCAACTCTCATTTTTCACCACGTCGTGCCAGGTACGCTAAGGAGCAGCTGGGCAGCACCGAGCGCGCCGGCGCCTTCGGCGCCGCGCGGCGCTGGCGCTCCGAAGCAGCGCTGGATCGACTGGGACCAGGTGGGGCCCAGGGATGTATTTAGTTATAGCATGTTACAGCTAATAGCCAGGATAGTGGGTATATAGTGGACCTTAGTGGACCATATGTATTTATATATTATATGTATATATATAATTTTATATATATATATGTAATCTTTGGTGTTTTTATCATAGGTGAATAGTTGTTATAGGGTTATACATAATATATATATACTATGCTATCGGGCCACCCCCACATATTTACATATATTTTTTAATGTAATTATAGTATATATAATATGTTATCCGGGTCACCCCCATATGTTTACATATGTGTATATATATATATACTATCTTATCGGGTCACCCACACATACACACACACACATCTATATATACTTTAAACCCCACAACGCTTCCACTCAGCCATCACAGCAGCAACAGCCGGCTGCTGCTGCTGCTGCTGCTGCTGCTGCTGGCTGCTGCTACACCTTTGAAGAGATGGAGGAGATGCAGGCCTCAGCAAACGTTCCAATTCGTGATATATATATATATATCAGGTTTATCATTTAAATGGGATATACAAGATTGGTGGGAAATATAGTCATAATATATTTGAGATGTATATACCAGATTTATCATATTTAGATTGGTGGTAAAATATACATCATATATTGAGATATATACCAGATTTATCATATTTAGATTGGTGGTAAAATATATTCATTCATATATTTGAGATATATACCAGATTTATCATATGTTCGATATATATGTGTAACCGAAATTGGTGGTAAAATATATTCATCATATACTTGAGATATAAACTGCTTAAACTAGATTTACTATATTTTTGGGATATATACCAGATTGGTGGTAAAATATATTAATCATATATTTGAGATATAAACTAGATTTATCATATGTTTAAGATATACCGAATATTGTTTGTATCCCTGATTGGTGGTTTGTATCCCTGATACCATTTTAAAGGGATGATCAAGGGCCCTTAGAGACAATGGATTTCCTTCAAACATAAAGATAATCATGGTTCCTTTGAGCGCTCACTACCGGTAGTGAATTGGGATGTTCTTCAAGAATTGGGATGATCGGGGTTCCTTACAACATTCACTACCAATAGTGAAAGGGGAGTTCTTTCAAACATTGGGATGATCGGTGTTCCTTAGAACGCTCGCTACCGGTAGTGAATGGGGAATTCTTTCAAAAATTGGGACGATTGGGGTTCCTTAGAACGCTCGCTACCGGTAGTGAATGGGTAATTCTGTCAAAAATTGGGATGATTGGGGGGCCCTTAGAACGCTCGCTACCGGTAGTGAATGGGGAATTCTTTCAAAAATTGGGACGATTGGGGTTCCTTAGAACGCTCGCTACCGGTAGTGAATGGGGAATTCTGTCAAGAATTGGGATGATGGGGAGCAATTAGAACGCTCGCTACCGGTAGTGCATTGGGATTTCAAAGAATTTCTTCAAAAATTAAGACGATTGGGGTTCCTTAGAACGCTCGCTACCGGTAGTGATTGGGTAATTCTGTCAAAAATTGGGATGATTGGGGCCCTTAGAACGCTCGCTACCGGTAGTGAATTGGGATTTCAATGGGTTTCTTCAAAAATTGGGATGGTTGGGGTTCCTTAGAACGCTCGCTACCGGTAGTGAATGGGGAATTCTGTCAAGAATTGGGATGATGGCCCTTAGAACGCTCGCTACCGGTAGTGAATGAGAAATTCTGTCAAGAATTGGGATGATGGGGAGCCCTTAGAACGCTCGCTACCGGTAGTGAATGGGGAATTCTTTCAAAAATTGGGACGATTGGGGTTCCTTAGAACGCTCGCTACCGGTAGTGAATAGGTAATTCTGTCAAAAATTGAAATGATGCGGGGCCCTTAGAATGCTCGCTACCGGTAGTGAATTGGGATTTGAATGGATTTTTTCAAGAATTGGGATGATCGGGGTTCCTTAGAACGCTCGCTACCGGTAGTGAATTGGGATTTGAGTGGATTTTTTCAAAAATTGGGATGATCGGGGTTCCTTAGAACGCTCGCTACCGGTAGTGAATTGGGGTTTGAATTGATTTTTTCTAAAATTGGGATGATCGGGGGCCCTTAGAACGCTCGCTACCGGTAGTGAGTGTTCTAAGAGGGAGCGACGGTCGCTCCCTGTTAGAACGCTCCCTAAGATAGATAGTGTTCTAACAGGGTGCGACGGTCGCTCCCTGTTAGAACGCTCGCTACCGGTAGTGAGTGTTCTAAGGGGGGGTTGGCAAACATCGGACCAGGGATGATCTTGTGTTTTCGCTGGGGTCTTAGTGAGAAGAACGCAAGATTGAGGGTGCTCCAGCGACAGGAAACCTCCCTTAGAACGCTCGCTACCGGTAGTGAGTGTTCTAAGAGGGAGCGACGGTCGCTCCCTGTTAAAAGCAGCAATGAACGCTATCTATCTTAAAAGCAGCAATGATACATATGGACTTGGGATTGGGGGGACGATTGGGGTTCCTTAGAACGCTCGCTACCGGTAGTGAATGGGGAATTCTTTCAAAAATTGGGACGATTGGGGTTCCTTAGAACGCTCGCTACCGGTAGTGAATGGGGAATTCTGTCAAGAATTGGGATGATGGGGAGCCCTTAGAACGCTCGCTACCGGTAGTGAATTGGGATTTCAATGGATTTCTTCAAAAATTGGGACGATTGGGGTTCCTTAGAACGCTCGCTACCGGTAGTGAATGAGGAATTCTGTCAAGAATTGGGATGAAGGGGGGCCCTTAGAACGCTCTCTACCGGTAGTGAATTAAGATTTCAATGGATTTTTTCAACAATATTGGGGCCCTTAGAACGCTCGCTACCGGTAGTGAATTGGGATTTGAATGGATTTTTCAAAAATAGGGATGATGGGGAGCCCTTAGAACGCCCGCTACCGGTAGTGAATTGGGATTTGAATTGATTTTTGTTACAATTGGGATGATCGGGGGCCCTTAGAACGCTCGCTACCGGTAGTGAGTGTTCTAAGAGGTTGCGATGGTCACTCCCTGTTAGAACGCTCCCTATATCAGGTAGCGAGCGTTCTAAGGAACACCGATCATCCCAATTTTGGAAAGAATTCCCCACTCACTATTGGTAGTGAATGTTCTAAGGAACCCCGATCATCCCAATTCTTGAAGAACATCCCAATTCACTACCGGTAGTGAGCGCTCAAAGGAACCATGATTATCTTCATGTTTGAAGGAGATCCATTGAAATTCCAATTTACTGCCAGTAGTGATCAATCTAAGGGCCCTTGATCATCCCTTTAAAATGGTATCAGGGATACAAACCACCAATCAGGGATACAAACAATATTCGGTATATCTTAAACATATGATAAATCTAGTTTATATATCAAATATATGATTAATATATTTTACCACCAATCTGGTATATATCCCAAAAATATAGTAAATCTAGTTTATATCTCAAGTATATGATGAATATATTTTACCACCAATTTCGGTTACACATATATATCGAACATATGATAAATCTGGTATATATCTCAAATATATGAATGAATATATTTTACCACCAATCTGAATATGATAAATCTGGTATATATCTCAAATATATGATGTATATTTTACCACCAATCTAAATATGATAAATCTGGTATATACATCTCAAATATATTATGACTATATTTCCCACCAATCTTGTATATCCCATTTAAATGATAAACCTGATATATATTATATATATATATCACGAATTGGAACGTTTGCTGAGGCCTGCATCTCCTCCATCTCTTCAAAGGTGTAGCAGCAGCCAGCAGCAGCAGCAGCAGCCGGCTGTTGCTGCTGTGATGGCTGAGTGGAAGCGTTGTGGGGTTTAAAGTATATATATATATATATGTGTGTGTGTGTGTGTATGTGTGGGTGACCCGATAAGATAGTATATATATATACATATAAACATATGGGGGTGACCCGGATAACATATTATATATACTATAATTACATAAAATATATATGTAAATATGTGGGGGTGACCCGATACTGACCTGCTTTTATGATAGTTGAAAAGGTGGTACTGAATGTACACAGTTGTCACCCACCAGTATTCGCTACTGGTAGCGAGCATGCCAAGGGTTCCCAACTCAGACCAGTAGTGAATGTTGGTCGAGTGGCCGTGGTGTCGAAAAGATGCAAAAATATGCAGTACCACCTTTTCAACTATCATAAAAGCAGGTCAGTAATGACATATTGATTTACATATATATATATATATTTCATGAGGATATGATGAGATATAGATAGATATAGTGCTTTGTATTTTTGGATCTGGATATGGAGGTTTCCTTTTTTTCGGGATTAAACTGGTCTGGACGTGGATGATTTGGGGCAACCATAGGACCAATCCGTAGGATGAACACCACAGGATAAACCACTTGCCATGTTCGGGTAATATGATACTTGCAAAGGACTTTACAACATGTTGCCATAAATGGGGGAATGAACCAATAAATGAAAATGATTGAACATGTAAATTGAGATATATATATATATAATACGCAGCTAAAGGCTCTTTTTTTCAGAGGTCAACAATTGGCATGAGTGGCCATTGGCCATGAAACATTTTTGTTAAAAAAAAACAGCCTGATATTTTTTGTTGCTGATTTATATAAACCATTAGATCAATGGCCATTCCAGGAACCCAAATTGGAGGTACCTACCATATATAAAGCCTATGTAAGGGCTATGTAAGGGGATATACCCCCAAAATATGGCCTTATATGGTACAGTACCTCTGGAATTTCCATTGATTAGAAACCAATCCATGTTTTTTCCGCTCGGAGGCACCTATCAGACCGACACCCCAGCGGTGGTCAAAGGTGTCGTCCGCATGAGCTCGGCGAAGAGGCCAGACTTGAGGCAACTTAGGGCTGTCCATCAAATGCTGAATTTCAATACCATTAATAACACACCAGAAGATTATTTAGGCAAAAAAAATGGGATGTAATTAACAAAAATTGGTACACCAATTACTCACATGCAAGATTATTTAAGCAAGAAAAAATAGATTTGAATGTGTGTAATTGATGTACATGATTTAATTGGTACCTGATGTTCACCCAGACACGTGGAGATTTTTCACCGACCAAAAGAAGAACATGGAGCATGAAAGTGGAGATTTAAACAACAAACCGCGAGGATGTAACCAACTAAACCTGGAGGGCGATGACAATGATGAGTATACTGTAAAGTAAACATGGATGGTTTATCATCGAAATCAATTGATCATAGTGGAATTCACTGGGACAAATGATAATTATATATATATATACTCACCAAATTACACCTGTGGGTCATTTCATGTAAGATGTCTGGGCGCATGCGATTCCAATCGATTCCAACAATTTTGAACAAACAATTTGAGCTCCACACGGAAAGAGTACACTTCACCCTGCGGCTCTTCAGAGCAAGGACCGGGATTCCCGGGATCTGCACGAATTGGTCAGCGCATGTCAGCAGGTTTCCGGAAGTCCATTGGATCGCCGCCATGGCGGAGAGACGAGCGCTAGATCACCATACTTCGTCCCGTTTGAGGATCCTCCAATGGGAAAAATTGGACACAGGTCTCTAAGCAAGCGGAAAACATGGCCGAAGCATTGGTCTATTCAACCAACTCGACTAATTTGTGGCATCATGTTTGGTTCCTATTTGAAAACAAGACAAGACAACCAACAATCACCACCACAAGCATTTTTCGAAAACACTATCCGAATCCCAAACCATTACCATGCTCATTTGTGAATTATCACGCAGATACTGTACATCCCCAAATATTCCCGCATTTTTTCCATGGATATTTCCATGGCGAGAATCTTTGAAAAACTCACATCTTCACTTTGAAGCAGACATGGCAGACATCAACAAATCTGCAGAACTTTTTGTGCCATCGAATCACTGTGCCATACCCTGCGGACCAGTCCATCTGCGGACTTTCCCATGACATTCCCAGACTTGTTGAGTCAATGGCCATTCCAGGAACCCAAACTGGAGGTACCTACCATATATAAGGCCTATTTAAGGGCTATGTAAGGGGATATACCCGCCTTATATGGTACAGTACCTCCATTTTAGGATCCTGGAATTCCCATTGATTGAGGGTTAATTTGTTTTAAATTCCAGCAAATCGCTGACAGTCCCCTTGGCAAAAATATTTCACAACATGGGAGAAGAACAAGATCCCTACTATAATCATTGTAATCTCTATAATCGCTTTGATAAACCATATTCTTGCATATAGTCCCCCTCCCTATTATAAGCCCTATTATAATATATTATAATCCCTATTTATCGATTTTTTGATACCGTTTAATACCTATATTACCATCCTTTTTTTTGTCACCCAACAAAAAGGTTAACTTCAACCGAGGCGCATCTCCTGAAATCTGCCAGGTTCGTGGGCACAGAAGCCGATGGCCAACCTGGACCTGGGGTTCCTTGGGGGACAGTAGGCTGAATGGCTTCAACCAGCCGTGGGTTTTTGCTTGGGTTTATATAACATCTGGTTGGTGGTTTGGAATATTTGGAATATTTTCCGTATATTGGGAATGTCATCATCCCAACTGACGAAATCATATTTTTCAGAGGGGTTGAAACCACCAACCAGACATGATTTAGCCTCTGGTAAACTAACATGACTATGGAAAATCACTATATTCAATGGGTAAATCAACTATAAATGGCCATTACCCTCTGGTGATTTGTTTACGTAGCTATTGAACATGGCACATAGAAATAGTGGATTTACCTATGAAAGATGATGATTTTCCAGTTCGCGAACTGTTAGTTTACCAGAGGGTATGATTAAACTGATTAAACCATCACTGACAGAGATATGGCTGTTATAGAATGGAGTTGATAATTATGGTTGATGGGTTAATTTGTTGGGGGTTGCAGCCGCTTTTTATTTGGAGGTGAAAGATGATCAACTGATTCAACCACATTTTTTTGGGTACTTCGACCTTGCCAGAATTGGCACTTCACGTTTAGTAAGCGGCTCATAGATGCTGTTTTCGCCGCCCCTTTGTAACTGGAATGCACATATAATTCCTAGTCACCAACCACGAATTGCTCCCTCTGGCAACATGATAGGTACCCTATGGGCAGGCCGTCCCGGGCTGCTCACCTTGCCCTAGGCTTACCACCCGGCAGCGCCGTCAACTCGAGGCGGAGGTGGCACGGGTATTCGAAAAGGAACCAAGGGGTATCAAGGGCTGTGTTTCCCATCTTTTCCCATGAATTTGAATACAAGTTACTGCGATAAGGTGTGATATCTTGTGATATCACGTGATATCTGAATAATATTTGAGCGTATAAATATGTTATATATATATATTGCTATGAACGTATCCATCGCTAGTTTTTGAAGAACTACGTGACACATGGGCTTCCTGCCTTGGACCAACCCTATGCCGGAATCCTCGAGGCAACAGGACGACCTTTTCGCGTGCGTCAATGCCTGAGTTGCACGTTGATCAAAGTGTAAAGTGCGGTCATTTCTGAATGGCCATCTTACATGGGTTATCTGTAAATGTTAGTGCATGTTTTGCTTAAGAAGTTATGGCAAATCCCCAATTTTATGTTTAGTTTAGTTTTGTTATGTTGACAATGTTGTTGAGATTGTTGATATGGGTTACCTGAAGATGGGAATATAAGCATACATCTAATGCACCGCAGTCCTAGGGCTGGTGCTGGTGGATGTCAGTCCTAGGCCACGGCATGATCCGCCGAAAGAGTTCAGCCATTTGGGAGGAGAACGTCTGGAAGTCTCAGCGCTGGCAGAGGCTGAAGACCGTCGTTTGCGATGTTGATGGATACGTAATTATTAATTATGTCTAGTGTATTACACTCATATACATAAATCATCATCATCATCATCATCATCACCATCACCATCACCATCATAATCATCATCATAATCATCATCATCATCATCATCAACATCAACGTCACCATCATCATCCTCAGCATCATCATCATCATCATCATCATCATCATCGTCACCATCGTCACCATCATCAGCATCATCAGCATCAGCATCATCATCATCATCATCATCATCACCATCATCAGATTTGATTATATATGATTATATATGTAACTTTGGGTTATGATAGCTTATATTATAGTATCACCCCCCCCTCAACTCAGAACAGTTAATTACAACATTGACAACAACATATGCAATGTAGAATCATCCTGCAGTAGATAGAATATGGAATGTTCAAAGATATTTCCACCTTTCTGAGGGTTGTTTGAAATTTTCATATATATATATGTATGTATGTATGTATACAGATTCTATCTGCTCCAGGATTATTATAGATGGAAAAGTGCGACACCTGGAAACATGAAGTCAGTATCATCAAATTTGCATCCTGGAAACATTTTCACCATTTTTTAAGAGGTTGATATATTGGCTCCAAGTTGTACAAACAGTTGATGTATACATGATTGAGAAAATCTTCTGGAGCCACCTGACTGATATAGTTCTTTCGGCTCCAAACACGCTCTTGGACTGTATGCAGGATTGTTGTTCGATGTGTTTTCGTTCATCCCCAAAAGCGGCATTTGCTGAACTTTTTCATATGTTGGAACGCTTCTATAAATCTCCATGTTGTTCTACTAAAAAACTCTAGGTTGACCTAAAGCCCATACAGATGGCTAAAAACATGTTGTTTTCCAGATGGACTATATATTTACCCTCATATTTAACATAGCCATGGTATTGCTGGCCCTAATCGAAATAGATGGTTTACCTATTAATTATTAATAGCATGGTGGATCTTTCCATGGCTATGTAACAAATAACCAGATGGTATAATATATGATCATCATTTTCCCATTATAACATCCATTAACTATAGTTATATCTACCAGAAAAACCATAGTTAAGCCACTTATAATAGGACCAGATGCTATAATATATGATCATCATGTTCCCATTAACTATAGTTATATCTATATATATATATCTTTCATAAACCATAGTTAAGCCACTTATTAAATAACTTATTGTAACTGTGGTGGCATTTTCAATTTGGATGGACACGCACAAATCAAGAAGTGTTCCCATGTCTCAGGGGTTTTACATGCTTCAGTCATCTCACTGGCATGGCCCCTGCACAAGCGATGATACGCTACCTTTTGGATGGCTCAAGAAATAGGCGGCCCTCTTTTGCTGCCTTGGGTTTTTCCCCCGGTTGGGGGCTCGCAGGTTATGAGCCCAACCGTTTGAGGTTGGGCGTGCTCCGCTGCCATGGACCGGAGACGCCGGCAGATGGGTGGAGAGGAGACGGCCGACCAGAAGCTGGACCGTCTGATAGAGATGGAAAGGAGGTCAAGGCTCCTGACCCCAGACGTGCCTGAGGTGAGGCGCCTCAAGGTGGACGAGGGGGAGATGGCTGCTTCGGGATCTGCTCCTCGACAAGGTGGTCGACCTGGAGAAGATGAACACGGAGCGGTTCAGGAGCGGATGATCCCTTTGCAGCTTGAAGCAGAGGTGCCGGTACAGGATGGCCTACTTGCTCCACTCTTTCAGGAGTTCGGACGAGAAGATGTCCAGGGAGCTCATGGAGTTTTTCATAGAAGGTTGGATGAGGACGATGAGATCCGTCCAGCTGTTGTAGCAGAGCTTTCGGGTGCAGTTGGAGCTGGTCAGTTGTCAGCTCAGGATCAACGAGATGCTAGCCAAGGACGAGGCCTGGGAAACCGTGATGGCGTGGCCTTGCTGGAGGCGGCAGATGGCCTGTTTGGCCAGGATCACAACAGCACTGGAGCTCTGATGGTTAAGCCTGGCATCAATGCCTTCTGGAGCAGCGATGTAAGAAGGGCAGCAGCACTTGAAGGAGTGCCGGATGTTGCCAGGCCTCAGGCATTGCCGCCGCTTGCTGGCCCACCGGTGTCATTTGGCCCTGGGCAGGCCTATGGTGAAGGATGTGGAGGTTCTGGACATCGTCATCCTGGTTGCGCTGCTGGTGGCATAGGTCCTGAGCAGGCCTCTTCGCGCGGCATTGCAGCTGGTGCTGGCCCTGAGCAGGCCTTGGTTGGCGCGGCTGTGGTTGATGGTGCAGGCCCTGCGCAGGCCTCTTCAAGCTGGGTTGCAACGGGTGGCATTGGCCCTGGGCAGGCCCTTGGTGCAGAAGGACGACAAGCTGGCCCTGTGCAGGCCAATGGAGCGCTACTTGATGGTGGTCCTGGATCTCTTCAAGCTGGTCTGAGTGGAGCTCTTTCACAACCGTCACCCGAGAAGTCGGTGGAGGCACTTCGGCTGAGGATTGTGAAGGCAGCAGAGGAAAGCTTCATCAGAGAGGCGAAGAAGTTGAAGGGCGAGGAGCCGGAGGGTGAGGTGCGCTCATACCACACAGCTTCGAGTGGGCCTGGAGCGAATGGAAGGATGGTTCCACCAATGCCTTCATTGCAGGGGGGTCCTACGTTGTCTTTGGTGGCAGGGCAGCCTGGGGTGCAACCTATGTCTGGGCATCATGGACTTCATCAAGGAGGTCAGACCGCTGGACTTGGAGGTGGCATGATGTGGAGCCAACCAGTTTCTCCAATGGTGACTCACTCTCCTGGAACGCAGAGTGTCCTGGGTTTCAATGGTGGATGTGGGATGAATCATGGAAATCATCAAGGTGGTGCAATCTATGGTGGACCGGCAGTGACTTCTCAGAGTCCTGATGTGGGCTTACATGGTGGTGGTCAACTTCCAGGTGGATTGGGAATGTCGGCCAATGCAGGACACCTTGGAGGTGGGCTGACTGGACCCAGTGTTGGTGGAGTTGCAGGTGGAACTACGTCGCTGGTGAGACCTCCAGGCTTGGGTGGACCAGATCTACAACAAGGTGTGGCACAGCCGATGGAGCCTTTGAGAGGTTCCGAGCTTCCTCTACTACCTCAACCTGGGACGGAGCAGTCAGCTCTGCAGTTTGGTGATTGGATCACAGTGGTCACTCCGATGATTGGGGACGTGGCTGGATCTGCTCGTGGTTGGTGGGGTGACATCTTGCAAGATGCCTCAAGCTTGTATGACCGGTGGCTCACTTCGACGCCCTTGGAGAGGATCAGACTTCGGCCAACAGAAGTTCAACGATCCGAGGCCCATCTACGCCTGGAGCAGAGGGTGGTGCCTATGCTGCTGAAGTGCGTGCCGGAGTCCATCAAACAGGGCCTGATTGCCAGCAGGACTATGACGGTCACTGGCATTATGTACAGGTTGTGGACGGTCTTTCAACCTGGTGGCAGCTCAGAGCGGGTGAGCATTCTCAAACAGCTCACGGAGCCGAAGGTGGCCAGCAGCGCACCGGATTTGCTTGGGGGACTTCGGCGATGGAGGCGTCTCATGAGCCGATCCATGGAGCTGAACTTGGCCCTTCCAGATCCGATCATTCTTGGAGGAGTTCTTCATCGCTTTGCAGATGCTCTTGGGAAGCTGGGTGGAACGCAGCTGGCGTACCGGGTGGCCCAGGAGCTGGGGGTTGACATCAGGCCCTTGGCACTCTCCATTGAGCAGTATGCGGAGTACCTCCAGTCTGAGGCCGAGGAGCTGAGCTTGGGAATCGGCCTGAGAGCCACTACTGCTGGAGCTGCTGCCCCAACCTCGCTGAAAGCCATGGTGGGTTTGGACGCTTCAACTTCGACTACAAGTGCATCAGCTCTGAATCCATCGAAGGCACCATGTAAGTTTTGGAAGACTGTGGAGGGATGCAGACGTGGGTCGCAGTGCACCTTTCTTCATGAGACCACGGAGATGAAGGGGCGGTGTTTCAATTGTGGGAGCTCTTCACATCTTCGGAAGGATTGCACAGCGAAGACCTCATCTACTTCAACTCCTACATCCACCCCGGCTGGTGGCCCTGCAGGGGATAGCTCACAGCCAAAGAAGGTTTCCAAGGTGAAGGCGACCCCGAAGTCAGCCGCCAAGGACCAAGTGGTGGATGCACAGAGGAGTCCTGGGAAAACCCCCAATGGGAGTGAGGTCAAGCCCAAGGATGTGGTCAGCACGACTCCTGGGGGTACCCCGGATGGAACTCAAGGTGGTGATTCAACTGCCACTGAACCAATGGGTGAGCCTTCAACAGAAGCGGCAGCTGAGCTGATGAGGGAGGCCACAAGTTTGCTGAAATCCATCCGGTCTCTGAAGGCCGTGCGGATGAAGTCCGTGGGAGAAGGGATCTATGGAGGACCTGGAGAATATGCACTCCTTGATGGTGGAGCCACGCATGGACTTCGACAGGCCAGACCTGAAGAGGAACCTGACCTGATTGCAACCAAGGTGGAGTTGGCCTGTGGATCTACGACCCTCTTCAAGCACCCCAAGCACCAGACCTTGCTGAGCCGGAGCCCTGTTGAGCCGATCATTCCATTGGCCTGGTTGGTGGCAGCTGACTACAAGATCACATGGAAGAGAGACAGCATCGTGATCCACCACCCTACTAAAGGGCCTTTGCAGTGCAGCTTGAGGGGAGGATGCCCAGTGATGTCAAGGACGGAAGGCTTGTCTCTGCTGGGTGACTTGGAGAAGATGCAGCAGGTAGATGTGGACTTGAAGGAGGACGAGTTGAAGTGGTGGGCTGATCACTTCCCACAGGTCCCGCACTCCATCTGGAGGTTCATGAAGGGGCAGGGTGAAAGCTGGCGTGACCACTCTTCTAGCCTTCCCTGGAATCGCCATCGAAGAAGGAGACTGTGGAAGTCGAAGGGCATCCTTTTGCACCTCTTTTCAGGGAAGAACCACAAACAGTGGGATGAGTTGGAACAGGCTGGCTACACGATCCTCACGGTGGACACTTTGCATGGGATTGACCTACATGATGCAGCCACGTGGGCGTTCATTTGGGAGCTTGCATGTGCTGGAAGGGTAGTGGGCATTTTGGGTGGACCACCATGCCGGACGACGTCAAGACTGCGACAACGGCAGCCTGGACCACCTCCTCTTCGAGGACGAGACGGTCTTCGCTTCCATCTTGAAGGGTTGTCCACATGGGACCTGCATCGGGTCAACTCTGATACAGCGCTCCTCTTCAAGCAGCTGGGCCTGTTCTTGAAGGCGGAGGAGCGACGCATGCAGGTGCCGGAGCTTCATTGTCTTCCTACGGCATTTGCACTGGAGTCTCCTGAAGACCCAATGGAATACCTTGGACCTGAGGTTGCAGCCAACTTCCCATCCTTTTGGAACTTTCCTGAACTGAAGGACCTGGTGGGACGAGGGCAGCTAATGGGGCATGTGAGACGGAAGCCAACTACGGTCTTGGGAAATCTGCCGGGCTTGGAGCAGCTGGATGGTTTGAGGGATTCAGCACGCAGATCGGATCCTCTTCCACGAGATCTTCAGGCCTCAATCAATGCCTCGAAGGATTGGGCGAGCTGGGCACCGGGCTTGGTGGCTGCATTCAAGGTAGCGCTGAGGACCTATCTCCATGAACGGGATCAATGTCTTGCCCAGCGCATCCACAAGTTGAACGTTGAGGAGTGGAAGCGACACATCAGAGCTCATCACCATCCTTACAGACGAGACTGCAGGCGATGTATGGAGCTGGCAGGGGTGGACAGTCCTCACAGACGGTCGCATGCCGACAGCTCCGCCTATGTCATGTCTTTGGACTTGGTGGGCCCGTATCCTGTGGGTCGAGATGATGGGCGTCGCCAGAAAGGGAAATACATCATGGTGGCTACAGTTCCTTTGCCGATGTTGGAGCGAGCTGACATCCAGGTGGAAGAGAAGGCGGACGTGGTCTTGGATGAGAAGGAGACCTCAGAGAGCCCAGAAGAACCCCATGGAGATCAGCATGAAGCTTCATCGGAGCCGCAGGTCTTGGAGAAGGAGGCCATCTTGGAGGAGCTGGAGGATGATCCCGACGTGGAGTTGGTGGGTGATGAGGCGGTGAACCTCTTAAACCAGGCCTGGCTGAAACATGTGGAGGGCCTCAAGGGAGCCGTCGGACTCCAGAACGTCACCTTGGTGGAGATCCTGGAGTCGAGGCACATTGGGCACATCGTCGAAGCTGCGAGCAGGGTGTTCGGGCGCTTTAGAGCGCTGGGTGTCCCGATCTTGAGGGTCCACACAGATCGTGAGAAGTCCTTCCTATCCAAGCCTTTCCAACGTTGGTGCATGGGCCACGCCCTTTACCAGACGATGACGAGTGGTGATGATGGGCCAGCCAACGGACGGGTGGAGGCAGAGGTTGGACAGATCAAGAGGAGACTAAGGGTGTTGCTGGCTACCTCAGGCTTGGCACTTCAGGATTGGCCAGGAGTTGCACGATGGGCTGGAGAGGAAAGACTCAGGAACCAGCTGCAGAAGATGGGTGTGCCCTCCAAGCCAATGGTCCCATTGGGTGGTCGAGTGGTGGTGAAGACCAAGCGCTGGCACAAGCAGGGCCCCTTGGCGCCTCCATTCAAATCCATGGTCCTCATGGGTCCAAGCCCCAACATGACCAACGGCTGGGTGCTGCGAGATGGGAAGAATGTCCAACATGCCAGAGCAGTGGTATGTCCAGCTGAATCAGGAGAGACGGCGGTGATGGAGCTCTACGACGCATCAACGAGGAGGGTGACTGGAAAGCAGCCGCCTTATGTGGAGGATCGGAAGGTCCCTCAACCTCTTCAACATGATGGGCTTCCTCAACTCCTACAAGGGGACCTGGGTGCTGTGGGCGACTCCAATGATGTTTGGGGGGAGGCCAGAAATGCAGATCAGGGGGAGGATGTCATGAGCTTGGCCTATTCACCGGATGAAATGCTTCAAGATCAACTTCATGAAGGCGAAGAACATGGAAGTGAGAAGGAAATGCCTGCCCTACTTCGAGCAGTGTGGGCAGGGGGGAGTGCAATCCCACTTCAATGGAAAACTCCAAGAACTTCAATCGAGTCTTTGCCTTCCACAACGACCTCTGCGGCATCGTCGAAGAAGCTTTGGGAGTGTGGGAGTTGTGGCCTGTTGCAACCTGGTGAGGGAGCATGCCAATTCTGTGATGCATCTACAACCTTGTATTCCTCTTCACAATCGGGCTCGCAAGGGAAAGCAGCTACAACCTTGGGTTCCTCTACACGATCGGGCTTGCAAGGGGAAGCATCTACAGTTTTGTGGTCCTCTTCACAGTCGGGCTTGCAAGAGCTGGCCTCTCTGAGGGCGAATGCATCTCCGGAGCTGGAACTTTGTGGAGAAGAAGGAGTTCGAGCCTGGGAATCGGTGGAGATCAACAACCCCAAAGAGCTTCTTGACGGAGTGTATCGGGAGCATTGGGGGTGGAAGACGCTGTGGGAGCAGGAGCTTGCCAGGGAAGCGGTAGGCGCTGAGATGGGGCTACTACATGGACAATGGCTGCAGTATCTGGAAGATCAGGTGCAGAGCTTGGAGGAGGAGCTGGCTATGGTGGATGACGTGGCCCTGAGACGACAGGCAAAGGACTGTCGACTTGCAGCTCTTTCCAAGGAGGTCAACGACCCCGTGAGCAGCCAGGTGCCCTTGGATGTCAGTGACCCACCAGGCCATGCGCGGGCGGTGCTTCAAACCTACACGGTCTCTCTAGCGGAGGTCAAGAGGGACATTGCTTTGTGGAAGGAGCCTTTGCAGGCGGAATTGGAAGCCTTGGTGAACTCGGGAACTATCAGAAGGGTGAAGCTGGAGCAGCTGGCATGTGCGCCGGGCTACGACAGGATGGAGGTGGCCCCTGCGAAGGTTGTCCCAACCATCAAATCCCCGTCTGGGAAGAGAAAGGCCAGAATTGTCATATGTGGCAACATGGTGCATCCTGCTGGACATGTGAAGGCGCCTCAGCCTCTGGATGACGGAGATCAAGGCCGTGAAGATCTTCATGGAGACCTTCCTCTACCTTCTCAAGTGCCTGGAGGTCGAGGACATGGATCTGGTGGTGATCGAGGGGGAGGCAGCAGCCAAACCACTACTGCCGATCTATATGCAGGTGGGGTGGACGCAACGGCTTTGAGGTGCGTCCTACGCAAATCGGCTGGAGAAGGATGGTCCTTAGCATCCACAGATGTGCGTGGGGCTTTTCTCTTGGCCCCGAGGTCACAATCGAGGAGGCAGTTATTAGTTGTGGAGCCCCCGAGATTGTTGACTTCGACAGGACTGGTGGGTTTGGACGGAAGATGGATCTGTGATGGAGCCATGTATGGCTTAGACACATCGCCAGCTGATTGGGCCACTTTCAGGGATCGGCATCTGGGAACCTTCAGAGGTGGGAAACACAGACCCACAGATGTCACTTGGCCAGATCGCCGGAGCCCAACATTTGGTCGATCATGGGAGTGCCCAAGGAGCAGTATCCCACTCCAAACCTCAATGACGATGCCTATGCCAACCCACTTGGCTTCCTCATTGTCTATGTGGACGATGTCTTGTGCGCTGGGCCCAGGGAAGTCGTTGAATCCACGTTGGCCAGGGTTCGCAAGGAGTGGACCTGCTCTGAAGTGGAATGGGTTGGTGATACCCAGTGGTTGAAGTTTTGTGGTATGCAGTTGAGATGGCAAGGAGATACTCTCTTGCTTGGTCAGCCAGATTTTGCCCGGGAGCTTTTGGAGCGCCACGGTCCAGTTCCTGGCAGACAGGTCCCTTTGCCAAAGATCGACTTGGTCCCGGAAGAGGAGGAGAGCCCGGATCCTGATGCGGTGAAGCAGTGCCAACAACTGCTGGGTGAACTCCTCTGGCTGAGTGGCAGAACGAGACCAGACCTTGCATTTGCAATTTCCACGCTGAGTGGATGGGTCACGAGATGTCCAAGGAGAGTCAAAGAATTGGGTCGGCATGTTCTGGGCTACTTGCAGGAGACCGTGGACATGGTGCTTTCCTATGGCAGTTGCCTGGATGACCAAGGGCAGCCGAATGGTGACTTGAGGAAGGTGACACTCCTTTCCGATGCATCTCATATGCTCCGCAAGGACTTCGAGGGTGCCAAGGAATCCTGGCGCTGTGGGAAAATGCCTTGGTCCAATGGGAAAGCCGAAGGCAGCCTTTTGCAGCCCTTAGCAGCACTGAAGCTGAGTTGATCGGCTATGTGGATGCGCTGACGATGGGTGAGTCCTTGCAGGTGATCCTCAATGTGTTGGAGCACAACGACCTGGTGGAGAGCGGCCAGTTTGAGATCCGAGGAGACAACCTGTCAGGGATCCAGCTTCTTTTGGCTCCTGATGGCCCTTGGAGAACCAGACATTTGAGACTGAGAAGCTTCGTCTTGAGGGAGCGACTGGCAGCACGAGAATGGCGGGTTCAGCACACCCCTGGCTCAGAGCTTGCAGCAGACCTCCTCACGAAGCCTGTGGTGCTGATGACGAGCTGGGAAGTTTTTCGTAGGACTGTAGGCCTAGTTATGCAGCCGACTGAATCATCTCGCTTGTGTCGCCTAACAGAGGCGGTGGTAGCCTTAGGAGGTTTGATGCTCCAACATGGGGCGAGCAGTCTTGTGAAAACGGCTGGAGCTGTGAGCTTGTCAGCCTTGACAGCATGGATGTGTTGCATGGAAGGGCTGGCATCTATGGCTAAACCAGTTGAAGAAAAGAAGGAACCAAGACCAGCACAAGAAAAAGGAAAGAGTCTGAGGGAACATGAACCCAGGCCAGTCAAGTGTGATGCAAGGGAAAATGAACCTGCATTGCAACATGAAGTGAGGGACCATGAACCCACTTCATCCCACTGTAGCCCTGAGGGCTCCCCGGTTGCTCCGCGCTTGTGTGCTGTTCGGGCACCGCCGCTTGGGCCAACGCCATGGGAGTCTGCGGAGTTCAACCAGCCGCCATACGCGGCAAATGATGACTTACTTTGGAGGGCTTTGGAAGTTAGATAGGTTATAACATAGTTGTAAGTTATGTTATAACATATCTAACTTAGTGCGTAAGTAGGCTAAGTTCCTCGTAAGTTCATGATTTTTTTGGCTACTTATAAGTTAGTTAGGGATGTTATAAGTTCAAGCGGTATAAGTTGTTAGAAGATACAATGAACTTACGAGGAACTTACAATGAACTTAGCTTTTCGAAAAATAACGTACTTTTGTGCGTTTCTTTGTGAAGAAGATCAAAAAAAAACTTATTTTGCACGAGTTTTGGCTCCAGCAACGATGGTTGCAGCACTAGATAAAAATTTGGAAGCTTCGCAGCGCTTCCTGACTGGTGTGAGATCTCTTTCGTCCTACGCGGACATTGAGAAAAAACAGTTGCGCGGCTTGTTGGTGGCGCTGGATAAATGCCAGAAATTGAGTACGGCTCAGGGTGCTGCGTTTTTGGAGGCTGTAGATCATACTTTATGGTCATCGAGTTCCCTTGAGGAGCTGCGACTACGTGTCGCAGAGAAGACCATGCAAGTCGAGGAAGCTTCCGCGAGGCGCACGCTGCAGGATTTCAGTCAGCTGTATCTGTTTCTCACGGAGGAATTGGCTGCAGCGATTTTGACAGGATCGATGAACAATGACCAGCTGCTATGTGCACTGTGTCAACATGCAGCGCGTCTGTCGCTTCGTTCCCCGTCAGAGCCAACTATTGCGGTAATGGTGACGCTTGCCAATTGGCAGAAGATACAGCAAGGCATAAGCGACAAGGCCAAATTCATGTTGCTACATCAGCAGAAGCCTGTGCTGAAGCGATATTTGTTGGCAGCAGGCGATGCACCGACTGCACTGGCAGCCTTGCCAACGGACTTTCGTCAATTGCCGGACAAGCTTCGGCAAGATTCCTTTGGCGATGGGGCACCTGCGGACCTGACGGCTCATGCCGTAGCGTTTCTGCAGGCTGCGAAGTCTATGCCACTCCGTGGGACGAATCGGGCCATTGCTGCGTCCTCTGCTGTGAGGCAAGACACGCATGAGGAAGAAACGTCAGACTGGACAGCACGCATGGTATCTGCGGCAGTGCGAGGGGCCATGGCAGCGACTCGCGTTCCAGATGCCAGTATGAACGCGTCGGTACGTCCGACGGATATGTTGGCTATCATGGATGCACCGCGTGGTGACAGAGAGGACGTGTCCGTTGCCGAAGTGGCGGCACCTGTGTCTACGGGACCGGGTGACAGTTTGGCTGCGCCCCCGCGCACGGCGACTGCTGCAGTGCCGTTGGATGTGAGTATGTCTCCCTCCGCCAACGGTTGCTGAGCAGCTTGCTGCTCTGTGTGGGGACGCGCAGGCACACAAAAACAATCGGGGATTGAAGAAGCCTGCCGCTACAGTGAGGATGAAGCGGCCCGCGGCAGCCATCGCATCTACGGGGTGTGATGGCAAGAAAGCAAAGGCAGGCAAGGCCGCCGAGCGACAGGAATCCAAGAAAGCGAAGAGCAAGGCAAAGCCCAAGGCTCAAACTGCGACAAAGCCGAAGGGGCAGATGTCGCGGGAGGAGCGTCGGCGTGCGATCCTGGCAGTAGTTCCTAAGGCGATGCAGCAACGCTATAAGGATGGATGCTCCAAGTGTCGGTACACACGCTGTACTGTGTCTTGCTGGATTGGTCGTGGGTTCTTTCCCCACGAGGGATGAACCTTTGAAAGGTGCCACGCGCATCGAAAACTGGTTTGCAGCCTATAGATATCGTTGCTACGAGCATCGAAATGCGACAAGCAGCCGCGCGCATTGGCTGCTTCAATATAGATGTGATTGTCTCCTTGAGACATGTGCCGCTTTGTGTGAAAAAGACGATGTATATGGAGGGGAAGGGTATTTCGTCGATGTTGCGGTATGTGTGTCACTTGCTGCATATGTAATATTGTTGCCATTCAGTTCTTGTGAATATATGCTGTTATGACCGTGAGGCGTTTGTCGTTGCAGGTTTGGCTAGCATATAGGGAACGAGGGGCGTTTAGCGCCACTGCCAGCCGGCGGCGTTCCGCTGAGGCGGTGGGTATATATATGGGATCACGATATATATATATATAATATATATATATTATATAAATATATGTACGAAGATGATACTCTTCCACCACGAAGAAAAGCATAATATACATGGAATGGTTCACCAAGATATATATAATGTCCGGTTCCACATGCTCTTCTCTTGTGCAGGCGTCTGCATGACGCGCAAGGAGGTCAAGGAGGAGGAGTCCTCCGATGAGTACACGTACGTGACGACGGAGGGGGAGGAGGAGCCGGCAGCGGAAGCGCCGACGCGTGCTGAGAGAGAGCGCGGAAGATCAGCTGCCCCTGTGCGGACGGCTGGTGCCACTTCTGCACCAAGCATGCCGGAGCCCCCCACGTCTCCTCCGCCTCCGAAGCCGGCAGCTACGGGCTGTGACCGCGAGCCATCGGAGGAATCGGACAGGGCGCCACGTGCGCGGCCTCCACGTAGTCCGTTTTCACCAGGAGGCAACGACAAGGAAGAGACTCATGGCCGCCGCAGGCGAAGGCACGCACGTCGAGCGCAGGAGCAGGACGTGGCGGAGCCAAGTGGAACTGCGGCGCCAGGTGCGGAGACGCAGAAGGGCAAGGGGAAACGGCGCCGCCAGAAAGCTCCTGACGCGCGGCAGTGTCCGATTTGCCGAGCTCCTGTCGGCAACCATGAGTCTTCCTTGTCGCAGCACCAGTATTGGAACGAAGATTGCAATGCTCGCCGCATCTGGAATGAGCAGTACTGCACTTGGACCGCAGCTCGCCGGCAAGCGCTGCAGCTGAAGGAAGAAAGAGAAGACGCCTATTACAATCGAGGTGTTCCAGTGACACCGGCTCCTTCGCTGGCCGTGAGAAACAAGATCGAAGGCCGCGAAGATGGAGGCAAGGAAGAGGAAGAAGACAAGGAGCCCGAGCACGGTGGCAAAAAAAAGAAAGAAAAGAGCAAGCGGAAGAGACGCCGCCACCATCGTCGCCATAGCCCATCTCCAGACGTGCCCCGGGATCGTCGCAGGTCCAAGCGACCACCAAGCGACGACGAGGACGAGGACTTGCCCAAGGTGAGGCGCGGACCTGGTGGGAGCTTCATCTTGCAGTTCACACCAAAGGTGAGCTAGCTGCTCCAAGTGAGCATGTCGCAGCAGAGATGCCATGTGCAGCTCTGGTATATGGGCGCCGGCGATAGGGACACAGACGCGCAGACATGACACGGCTCGTTTCTGCAAGCACAGAAAAAAAAGTGGGTGTCAACGAGGGGTATAATATAATATATAGCGGGCATGAAGGACGTGTCTCCGGCTTTGTCCATAGTCTGGCTCAAGCGCGTGCATCTAGGACTCATAGCGGCTCAAGGGTCTAATGGTGCCCAAGATCCCGGTGTCGGTTTCACCTGCTGCTCTCCGTGCCATGATTGAGTCCATGCGACTGACAGTCCCAAGTGCCTCACATGAAGCTTACGCAGAAACTTGGGGTGAGGTTCTTTTTTGCTTGGAGTGTGTCTCCAAGTGGGCTGCGAGAGACGGATCGTATGGCGATCGCGTCACCTTGCAGCAGATGCATGCGCTCCTGTTGTACGGTCAATGGGAAGCATGCCCTTTGGACTTAGATCCTCACCCGAAGTTGCTGGGCTTCTGCCTGCTTCCCGCTGTCCTGCCTACGTGGCAGGGCGAGTGGGAAAAGATGTTGGGATGGGCGGCTGAACATTGCAGCGGAAAGTGGACCAAGTGTCGGAAGCTCCTGAGTGTTTTGGCGTGGCATTTGTCTATGCGACAAGTGTGCCGGAAAGAAATGGTCCGTTGCATACGTTGCGGGAAGCTTGTACGTCAAGCTCAGGGAGCGTTGCGGGCTGCTGCACGTCAGCTCCCCTGACGCCAAGCGATTGTGGCAGAACGGAGTTTCGGTGATGACTGCGAGTTGACTGCGCGTGACTGCGCATGACTGCGGACTCCCGAAGTTCTGTCGCTCGTGACTGCGGAGAGGCATGACTGCGGACACGATTTGCAGTTAATTGAGAATGTGCATGGCTGACCCCATGACTGCGCTTGACTGCAAGAGTGGATAAAACAGCTAGGAGGACATGCCGCCGGCAGGGGAATGACTGCGGATGACTGCGGCTGCGCAGACTACCGTCCACGTAGGCTCCTATAAGCATGACTGCGGGGTTCAGCAGGTTTCCTCCCAAGTGTGAATGTTTTTGCCTTTTCGTAGTTGCTGTAATTCAAGTGTTTGCGTGCATGTATCCCGTTGTTTGGCTCAATATACAGAGATTCCTTGTTCAATTCTGCGTTTGTGGCCGTTCCCCTGTGACCATGGAGCTGGTGCCAGCTGTACAGGAAGGCGCGCACTACGTGTGCCGTCTCTGTGGCAATGGGTACCCTGAGTCTTACCTGTTGGACGTGCTTAAACATTCAACAGACGATTCGTCGCAACCTTGGGACAACAGCCCCGCTGAGCGAGTTCACCACGGAAGAGACGCACTCTTTCTTTCAGAAGGTGCCGGAGACAAAGGAAGAGAAAGAAGGCAAGCTGTCTTGAACCACGGTTCGGGGGCAGTTACTGAAAGTGATGACTCAGCGGCATTTGTCCCGCTTTGCAGCCAAGGTTGACGTGGAGGAACTTCCCCTCGGTGTCTACGAGGCACGGGGATGGAAAACGGAAATTGTGGAAAGATTTCCGAAGGAATGGAATGCTCAATACAACGATTACATCTACAAAGTTCCAGTGCGTACTATGACGTGGGAAGAGGCCTATGAGACTGTGAAGGAGACAATTATGCAATTAGAAAAGGAAGCTGCCCAGAAAAGGGGTAAAAAAGACGGCAAAGGGGAAGCTGGGCCGAGCCTGGACTTGCCACGTGCAGGACCGGAGAGAAAGGAAGACAAGAGTGAGAAGAAGGCAGAGCGCGAAGCCGCTAGTCAAGCGAAAAAGATTTCTACGGGAAATCAGAAGATTGCTTCGACAGCGGCTAACGCGTTGGGCCCCCTGAACTCGCTCGAAACATCTTTGTCGAAAGTTCTGACCAAGGCTGACGCTGTGTCCCAAGAGGATTCAGCTGCGAAGCAATTGTGTCAGGAGACGCTCGATAAAGCAAAGATGTGGAAGCAGCGTGCACACGCCGCAGTGACGCGGCATGAGCAAGACAAAGGGTCGGCAGGGCAAGTCGAAGCCTTGGAAACTTTACCGTTCGGGGCTACTGAGGTGAAGACGCTCTGCAAACAAGGCGCAGAAGCGACCAAGGAGTTGAAAGCGAGTTTCCCTAAGAGGGAAGCAAAGGCCAAAGCTGCCCCGAAGGAGGCTGCGCTGGCAGAGGGCGGCAATGGTGCGGCCAAGAGACGACGCATGAAAGGCCCCTGAGTGAGCGCGACCTGGTGGCATGGCGCGTAAATTTGGTGTGGATCCCTGGGGAAAGGGATTCACCTTCGGAGTGGAAAGCGTGAGTGCATTGTCTCACGGCGGAAAAATATAAGCAAGGTGTGGGCGTGGGCAGGATCAAGTGCTATAGATTACGTACGGTTTGTGGGACACCATAATAAAGACCCGTAGTTCATACATTCATCATGGCAGGCATATATATAATCTATATAGATATATAGGAACATTGCGTGAAGGCGAAGGTGACCGAAGACGAAGAAACGTAAGAGGGATGAACGGATGGGGAGCGGTCTGAGCCCGTTGTTTCTGCAGCCATTTGGCTTTCTGAGGGACCACGTAGAAATGAAACGGAAATTCGTAGCGGATGCCTCCCCTGCGGAGCAGTTTCATACTCTCCGACAAATTCCAGGGCTAAGTGCTGCGGACTGTCGGGAGGTGATTCATCTTCTACGGGAAGATGATAAAGGCGTCCATACATGCCATCGTCAAGAACAAAAAATTCCGGAGGCATCGAAAATGATGCGCCAAGTGCGCTTGCCGGGCGCGAACGGGTTAGTATTTCACTACAACTCGTTTCCAGAGTTAGTCTACGAGAAGACTCTGCGTTGTCCACTCTTTGCCACCATGATGAAGGAAGCAATGAAAGTGGCAAATGGACATCTCACGTTGGTTATCTTCAGTGATGAAGCGAATCCGGGGAATATCTTGCATGGCAGACATCCCCGTAAGACCAATCTGGTATATGCCTCATTTCTGGAGTTGCCCTGTCTCTTTGTAGATAGCATGTGGTTGCCGCTTTCAGCGCAAAGAGCGGACGATGTGTCAGCTCACGAGACTTCCTACGCGGAAATCATGCGGCACTTGCTAGAAGCTATCTATGCGGAGACAGAATGTGGCGTGCCGATATGCATTGAGTCTTCTGGCCACTTGGTCTTCATCGATCGTGTCCTTCTCTTGAATGACCATGAAGGATTGCGAAGTGTGAGCGGGGCCAAAGGCTCTGCAGGCATGAAACCGTGTTGTCACTGCTCCAATGTTCTCAGCTTGGGACGCCCATGTCCACCAGGCTATACAGATATTTCAGAGATGTCGCCGTCCAAGTTTGTACGTCAAACGGACGAAGGCCTGATGGATATACGCAATCATTTCGCCATGTGCACAACCAAAAAGGAGAAGAAGGATGCCGAGACGATGTTAGGCTGGAACGCTGACAACCTGGAAAAGTCAGCCCTAGCTTCACCTTTGTTGCAGCACTGGATTCGGTTAGATTCCTTATATTTGGACGCAATGCATGAATACCACAGCTGCGGAATGGTAGCACAAGAATTGGGTCTCTGGTACACACAATTGAAAGATTGCGGTTACACCCTGGAAATCCTGCAGCGATGGGTAGCTATCGGATGGGCTGCGTCACACGGTGACCAACAACCACACCTCGTTTGCAGTGACAAACTCTTCAAATATGAGATGGATTACCGTGGAGATGCCAGCGCTTGTAGGATCGCTCTTCCTTTAGTTTGGGCTTTCTGTATGGAAGTGCTGCACGGAGATAATGCAATGGATGACGCAGTGCAGTCAATCTCTGCATTGTATGCTGTTGTTCAGTGTTTGCAACGCGCTAAAATTTTTGTTTCCCAAGGGGAACGTCTTTTGGCGCTGCAATGCAAACATCTCTCGGCCTTTCAGAAAGCGTATGGCGCATCTGTCATGAGGCCAAAGGCGCATTATGCCTTGCATCTGTCCGAACAGATGAGAAAATGGCATCGCCTCATCGATTGCCATGTTGGCGAAAGAAAGCATCGCTTATTTAAAAGATATGTTGGTCCCAAAATTTCCAGGCTGGAAGGATACGCCAAGAGCGTACTTCTACATCTGACAGAAATGGAGTTGTCTGGCTACGAGCCAGCAGAGAGACTCCTTGGTCAGACAATTGGTGTTCCACATGAGCACCCATGCATGGCGCAGCGGCTGAAGCTGCAAACCAATGCAACCTTTTCCTCTGGTTTTGAGATTGGCTGCGTATCGTATCAGAATGGTGCCTACTTGCGCATGTCGCAAGATTGCTATGTGGAGGTGCAAGGAGGTGTGTCCTCCGGCCACGACAGATATCTTCTGGTAGCTCCTCTACACCGAGAAACCAAGTCCATGATGATCTTTCCTAAGTGGATAAAATCATCTACACACTTAGCATTGCTGCCAATCGAACGGTTGAAAGGCCAAGAGCCCTATCGACTAATTCGAAAAGACGCTACTGGAATTTGGCTGTTACGATAACGGCTCAAAAATTAAACGCGGTTCACCCGAGCCGAGCCAGCGCCCAATGCAAAAATGAATGCTAAGCCGATCGTTCCTGCACAATCAAAATATCCACCCAGCATGATTTTTTAATTTTGACTTCGAAAAAAAACCCTTAAACCAATGAATAACATAGAAAACAAAAAAAACGTTCAAATAAAGGTACAAAAAGATACGATGAACTTACGATGAACTTACGATGAACTTAACATAGCCTCCAAAACCTAACTTCATAAGTTCCTCGTAAGTTCATCGTAAGTTACATAAGTTCAAAATCCCTCCAAAGTATGGATCAGCCTCAATGATGGTTGGGTTGTGAGGGTTCATCGGTCGCTGAGAAGCCGGTTGTTCCACCCGATCCATCGCAGCTGTCCAGTCAGAATCGAAGACTTGGAGGCCAGAAGGATCTCTGTCATCTGGTGGTCAGGGCCTCGAGGCTGGGAACGAGCTGTGCAGGAGGATCAGTGGTCCCATGGCCAAGTTCCGCCGCAATCTCCCGTGACGGGCCGATGGAGAGGATGGTCTTTCTTTCGCCTTGCAGAAAGTGCTCAAAACGGACGAAGCTCCTCTGGTGTGCCCCGCCTACAACCTGACACGGTGGTGTGGACGCCTGACAACGAGCGGGCGTGGAACATGCCGAGGCAGTTTGGAAGGTCTTCGGGAAGTGGAAGAAGAGCCCAGGTCGATGCCATTGGACGAGGTGCAGCCGCTTTTGCATCAATGGGGACTGGACAGGTCTCTCGTGAAACTAGCTCCATTGGAAGCTGGTCTGTGGCTGGTGGCCATTGTGGCCCACCTTCGTCCACACCTTCGGCATCATCGGAGGCTTCGGTTGTGAGGCCAACTGGCTCTTTGGAGGAGTCCTCGAGCCTTTCAGCGAGCTGGGGGCCTACAAGGAGATACACTGTTTTTCCCCCAGGGACCCAGGTGTACCAACGGCTACCAGCCCCTGTGAATAGGTGGAATGATGGACCAACATTGAGTGTCCGCGAAGGAGAATCTGTCCGGGAAGCCACACTTAGGGCCCTGCAGGCACCACTTCCTCCCGACCTTTACCCTGGACGTCCTCGAGAGGATCCAACAGGCCGCAGAACCCGATATTTGCGATCAAACCGCTCTGACGTCAGCGATGTGATGCTCTGGGACTTCCTCCATGGAGCTACTGTGGAAAGGGGAACGGATGAGGACCAGTACTACGAGGAGGCAGTGGAATCCGAGGATGAGACCAGTGATGGCAGCTACTCTGTGGTGACTGATCAACCTGCTGATGTTCCGAGCCCTGAAGACATGTGAGAGCCGGGCCATAGCTCCTGAAGTTTTGCCTTTTGGGCTGCCACCGACATGTTGCTGTGTCGCAACATAGGGGAGTGTGGTGGCATTTTCAATTTGGATGGACACGCACAAATCAAGAAGTGTTCCCATGTCTCAGGGGTTTTACATGCTTCAGTCGTCTCACTGGCATGGCCCCTGCACAAGCGATGATACGCTACCTTTTGGATGGCTCAAGAAATAGGCGGCCCTCTTTTGCTGCCTTGGGTTTTTCCCCCGGTTGGGGGCTCGCAGTAACAAATAACCAGATGGGCCTATCTTGTTCTCCTCGTTTCGTTGAGATCCTGAGGTCGCGCCAAGGTGATGCGCAGCTTCTTCCGTGCGGGCACATTGCTGGGACGCTCACAAGGGACCGAGACGTGGGAAATCAGCGAAGAATGGCAAAAAAAACATGAAAAATGGAGGTTTCACTGGGAAAATCTTTTATAAATGGCGGTTTTATTGGGAAAATCCGGGAACATACCGTATATTTTGTTTCCCCTGTTTTCGTGCCTTGCAGGCTCATGTACTAACCTCACATCTAGGGGAAAATCCCTTATAAATGGAACAATTATGTTGATCATTGTACAGTCACCGACAGAATTTCCTGGAAATGAACAGTTCATGTTTCCAATGCTTCGGAGAAGACGCTAAAATGATCAGATCATGATCGGTCATCAAACATCAGTTGGTGGTTATTATCCTGGTTAACCATGGTGAATCAATGGTGAATCAATGGTTAATAATGGGATATTAATGGTTAATACTCTGATTGGTGGTGACTGGAACATGAATGGATTATGACTTTCCATATATTGGAAATGTCATAATCCCAACTGACTTTCATATTTTCAGAGGAGCTGAAACCACCAACCAGAATGCATACAAAAGCCTCTAATTCACGATGCAACATGATGCACTTTTTTCGGACCCTGATCCGCCAAAGCCACGGTGATTTATATCCGGTTCATCAGGAAACACCAAAGGATAGAGATATGAGGCAAACAATTATGCACTGTAGCTATGGCAAAAAGAAAAAAAGGAACGATGTCAACAGCCATGTTGTCTCCCTTTCAGATATGTTTTTTGTTCAATATGGACATGTTCTCCCTCGACACAGCACCCTTACATGGAAAACACACTTACGGAATTTAACTGCAACAGATGCTAAAAGGTTCGGAATGCGACAAATGATCGAAATGGCAATTGTCATTGACACAGACTGGTGTAGTTAGTTGCTTGCACATTCCGAACCTTGTGTCCATTTCCATAATTCTGTCGACGACCCTAATTCTCAACCGTAATTATTGATGTTCCATTGCTAACTACTACGGTTTGATTATGTTTGATTACAAATTTAGGGGGGTTCATGTCAACCATTGATTAATGAACCAACAGTTTATTAATAGATGGTACCATGTGTTTAAGTTTGTTCCTCAGCGTCTTATGGGTAGCCCCACCCATGAGCTCATTGATCAGGTTTGACATTACAGCTTGCAACTATTTGTGATTATAATTTAAATCATAGATGGATCCTTATAAAATTATAAGCAATGCAGGTAAGATTGCTAATGTGGGTTCACCCCCCCAGTCATGACTTGGTTTTAAACCCCGTGTAATCCACCATATTCCACGATATATCCTGGTTAGCGTACTTGTTTTGGCTTTGTGATATCCCATTTTACCACTATTACATAACCATTAAATTATCGATTTATGCGTGGTTTGCCACAGAATGTCCGGGATCCTAGTTCTGTAATATATTCTCTGGCAATTTAAGATTGCGATGGAAAAGGACCCATTTGTAGATGATTTCCCTATGGCACATGGTCATTTTCCCTTGCTATGATCACCAGGTATGGCATGGTATGGCCATTTTATGGATGGACAATGACAATTTCTTACAGGTTTTTATCACCCATCTATATCACCATAAAAACCATAAACTATGATAAATGTAATTATATATATATACAATATTATGGCTTCTCAATGCTTCTCAAGCATCTAGATCACAACAAACAGCGGTAACTTTATATCGTTGCCATCATGGACCCTCTGGTCATTAAACATAGCTATGGCATCGAAGCCATAGTCCGTTTATGATATGTGTTTCTCACATTTTCCCATTGAAAATTCCATTTATCAAGGACTTCCCATTGGTTTCATATTTTATATCAACCACTTCCCATTGGCTTCCCATTTTCCACATTTATTTCCATATGTTCTCATATTTCCCATTGGATTCCCATTGTTTATGGCTTATCTCAACCACTTTGTTGGCGCGTTGTCACGTTGTCCAGGCCTGCCGGCACCCTGCGTTCGCGCGGTCCACGACTGCCACCGCGCTGTGGCCCGCGCAAGGCCAAAGGCGCGGCGAAACCCTTGGTGAATAATTATATCCTTGATCCTCCCTTGACAAGATTTTTCTAGGCGTTCATGATTTCATATCGTTTCAAACAAAAATCATGTCGTTCACGGCGTGTTGCTGGAAATCATGGCGAATTAAAGAAAATCATGTCGAGTGCATATATATTCAAGTTTCTTGGGTGCCCCCATTGCATCTCCAAGCCAATATTCTCCCTTTCAACCACGCATACTGATTGCAGAGCCACATTGCTTGTGTATGAATTTTCACGCTTCTAGTGAGCCCATCTAGCAGAAAAACTGAAAAAAAACACTTCCCCTGATTGGAAAACAAAAATTACCACGTTTCTGGTTTTGCGGGCGTTTGCGGGTATTTGCGGGCGTTTGCTGGATATTTGTGGGCGTTTTGCGGGACGTTCTTGTCGCAAAAAACGTCTTTCAGTGGCTTTTGTGGTATTTGCGAATTATTGCGCTTTCAGAATCCATTTAGGATGCCACAAAGCTCCTCGGTGCTCTGCGGAGCAAATCTTGATTTGCCTAATGCATCTTTATGTTCCAAGTACTAGTGGTTCGAATTGATAACAGATAAACTGCTGTACCAGAGTGGCAGGCCAAAAAGTTGTACCATGGCTGCAAACCGGTTCAAACCATGGGAATAGGGTAATTCTTGTCAAGATAGTCATTTGCACAAAAAACTTACTGTAGCGATTTAGGCAAACACAAGAACTACAAGATGTGTTTTTCCCGTTGGACGTTCTAGTATGATGGTTTGATAAATATCTTATCCGAAAAACGGGATCAAAAGCGGGGCTATTTGTTTGGCCATCTATCTAGTTGTCTATTTGTTTGCCTATCTATCTATTTATCTATCTATCTATCTATCTATCTATCTATCTATCTATCTTTATATATATATACATATATCTATCTATATGTGTCTATGTATCTATGTATGTATGTATCTATGTATCTATGTATCTATCTATCTATCTACCTACCTATCTATCTATATATATGTGTGTGTATATCTATCTATCGGTCTTTCTTTCTTTCTTACTTTATTTTTTTCTTTCTTTCTTTTTTTCCCCACCTGCCAGGTGAGGGTTGTTAGATTTTATGTCAGTTGCCTCCTCCTGCCTCCTGCCTCGTCCTCCTCCTCCTCTTCCTCTCCTCCTCTCCTCCTCGTCCTCCTCGTCCTCCTTGTCATCCTTGTCGTCCTTGTCGTCCTCGTCGTCCTCGTCGTCCTCGTCGTCCTCGTCCAACTGCGACCCGCGATCCACAGCGTTCTCTGCCGGACCTCAACCACGACCATCCACGCCCAGTGTTCCCTGCCGGACCTCAACCACGACCATCCACGCCCAGTGTTCCCTGCCGGACCTCAACCACGACCATCCACGCCCAGTGGTCCCTGCCGGACCTCAACCGCGAGTATCCACGCCAAGTGTTCCCTGCCGGACCTCATGTAGGAAGATAAAATGTCAGATAGAGTGCCAGAAGATTTGCCAGGTAGAATGCCAGAAAATATGCCAGAAGATTTGCCAGATAGATATGCCAGAAGATATTCCAGAAGATATGCCAGATAGAATGCCAGATAGAATGCCAGATAGAATGCCAGAAGATATGTCAGAATATATGCCAGAAGATATGCCAGATAGAATGCCATAAGATATGTCAGATAGAATGCCAGAAGATATGCCAGATAGAATGCCAGAAGATTTGCCAGATAGAATGCCAGAAGATATGCCAGAAGATATGCCAGGTCATATGCCAGAAGATATGCCAGATAGAATGCCAAATAGAATGTCAGAAGATATGTCAGATAGAATGCCAGAAGATTTGCCAGTAAGAAAATGTATAAATGTCATGGTGGGGATCACACGAAGTAAAGTAATTTTCTTTCTTTCTTTCTTTCTATTCTATCTAATGTACTAATCTATCTATTCCGTCCGTCCGTCCATCCATCCATCCATCACTCCGTCCGTCCATCCATCCATCCAGCCATCCATCCATCCATCCTTCCATAATCTATCTCAATATATTTACACTATACTGACTGTAATTAAGGATCTTTTCTATGCTTCTCTAGTCATTATGTTCTTTTCTGTTTGTCTAGCTATCCATCTCTCTCTCTCTCTCTCTTCTCATGGTCAAGCGATTGAAATTCACCAGGAAGACAAGTGCAGGAACACAAACTGTATATAGAAACAAAAGTTCTGTCAGGGTTTCACCATGTTGAAGGTGTTCATTGTAGCTCAAGCTGGGCTTAAAACATCCCGATGAAGTCTCAAATGTTGAATGCAGCAGCTATGGCACCAAAGGCAGTTAAGTTTTTGTTCTGAGGATTGCACCCATTTTAAGATCCGCTGGCTTGGTTCAAAAACTCGCTGACACCCCTATCTTGGCGTCATCAAGCATGGCTGGCTTTGTTCAATCCCTGTATCAATCTGTATCAATGGATGTTTTGATGCAATTTAGATCATCGATCTAAATGGATCCATTCATGGATCCATTCATGGGTGATTTCCTATCAAACCATGTTTGATCACCGGAGAGTAAAAGATCTTCGGGCCTGATCTCCATGCAGACCCGCCCCGTCCCAGCGATGCCAGGTGAGAAGCAGCCGGGTCCAGGCCAGGTCGATGTGGTAAACACCACTCTCCACAGGTAACCTGGCCGGTCGCTATTATAGTGACTATGGTTGCTGACCATATTAATGTTATATGACATATATATATATATAGTCAATATCACTATCTTATGTTATGATATAGTCACTATATGTTGGTATGACTATATATGTTGCTTGTCCAATATAGACTGGCCAGTTCTTATAAATTCACTAGTGAACTACGAACGACATCCATATTTACGTTGTACTAAAGCACCACATAAAAGTAATATATAGTTTTAAAACGAAAACATACACATATTATACAAATCAAACATTGTCCTAACACCTACAATGTGGGTCTCCCATGCGCCCCCAGTTATAATTAAGTTGGAAAAATGGTTTATAAACCCCATTAACTACATAAGTTTTCAAAAACCATATAGTTATTGGGGTTATAATTATCAACTTTGCTATCCACGGGGTGCCCACTTTGTAGCGAATTCGTCGTATTTCGTCGTACGGTCTCTCGCTGTGAGCGCAGGATCCTTTCATGTGGCGGTGAAGCAAGGGGAGGGGCGAACGACACGACTTCTTGGGCCAGTGTATTTAATGAACTTTACCAAACATGACGATACTGTAGGCGGATATGTAGAGGATACCAAATATAATTTTGGGATATTTTCCTCCGCCTACTATTTGGACTTTAGGCAAGCATCAATTGGGTATACGGTATACGGTATACATAATTTGTGTGAAATTGGATATGAGAATTGGAAAACATGTGATTTCAATGCGATATAAAACATTCAAGGGATCTTACTCTGATATTTGACCAACACATTGATATTGCGTTTTGTCCAAAAATAGCGGTGCCCTGAAATTAATTCTGTTAATTGCTGATCGGGAAAGTGATGATGATCATTCTACTGGTATTGGGTGTGTACCATTTTCAGGCAAACCTTTGATGTGGGGTCTTAAAGCAAACAATGATGGTATTTCTAGATATTTGGGATTGTTTTGATGAGTTGACTTTGTAGATTCGTGGTGGTTTTTGGATGTTTTTTGTTGGTGAAATCGAATCCCCTGACGCGGCTGGGGGTTGGTACACTCGCTGATTTCTCGGGGTTTTTTGGCTCACAACGGGATATATCAACGATATGGAATGGGACAGAGGTCTTGTTTTCAAGGTTTACCTTTATAGATGACTTCAGTGTTCCTAAATGGTGAGATGGACAATTGACCACTTCACGGGCAAAACCAAGAACTGTTCAAGTAGGCATTTATTTGAGTGCTTCTCTAGACTGGTGAACCCCAACCCTTGGAACCATTATTGTTGGTTTCCAGGTTCCCGCTTTTACGGAATCCTCACGTTGTGGAAAAATGGGGTCTTGATGGGGTCATGGATCTTGCGGCAACAATTGCCCCAAACAGGTAAACATATGCCTCAAACATGAAGCGTCCAAGTCCATGCTGTCACTTGCAGTATCCAACCAGCCAAAAAATCATCCAATGGGGCGATTATATTGGCCCAAACTCCGATATTTCAAAGGACTCCGAAGGTTTTTTTTGGTTGCACCCTCCTGTAAACTAGTATAGATGTGGAAGACTCCACCATTTGTAGATGATTTTCGGGGGTTGAGTTGTCCACATCGTTAGTTTAAGCTAATGGCAAGTTAGGATCCATTTTAGTACCGCCAACACATTTTTCCTGGGTGGTGGTTGATGAATCCCTAGTAGATATATAATCCTAGTTTGAATTATATAATTTGACATATATAGGTACATGTCCAGGTGCCAATAGAAATGACCATCCAAGCCGGGCTTCACGTGCCGCGTTCTGCGCTGGATCAAGCTATGACAAGAGCAGGGGCCTGGGAAACTGAAAAAGAATGGGAGATTTAACCAGCCAAAATATAATGTGTACATATGTATGTATATATATATATATTCATTAAATAATGGGATATAGAAGATGTCAGAAGGTGCTGTATCCTCTGGTAATTTCAGTTTTGCAAACTGGAAACTGGAAACCATGACCCATTTGGTTCGATGTTTGACCTATCCAAGACGGTGATTTCCAGATGCTATGTTAAATTACCAGAGGGTATCAAGATGTTCAGACTCCAAAGCTCCTGAAGTCTGGGTTTGGTTGAACGATTGAAAGGCCAACCAATATTTTTTGGATCCCGTGTCTGAAAGTTTATGGAAGTGTTGAAGTGTTGCCTAAACTGTACGCAAAAATCTGAAGCATCCCCAGCGAGAGAGAATTCCTACTATAGTAGTTACTTCTCGCCATAGATTCTTGGATCTTGCCGCCCGATTTCAGGAGGTGTGAATGGGAGTGGCTTTTGGTTTTGGATGTTGATTCAATATGATTCAATGGCAAACAGAGAATACGTCGAGTCCCCCGAATGTGCGACAAAGTGGTGTGTGTATCGAGTAGGGGAAACAAACC